GAAGAACTGTCCGACCTACTCGGATAGCACCAAAGCGCCAGTGTCCGGCATAGAAGAAGGGGGGGGGGGAGAGAGAAAGAGAAAGAGACAGGGAAGGGGTGACATGGCAGTGTCCTGAATCGCCCCAGCCCGTCGGGCGAGAAAGACGCGATGCCCAAGTGCTATCGCTGGAGAAGGGCGCCTCGCCGTCGGAAGTCCCAGGTTGCGAGCAGGCGCCTCGTCCAAAAGCGCGCTTCTCGCTTTGCTGCCTGCCGGCTCGTGGAGCTGAAAGCCGCCCATGCCGCTGCCATCAGACGGGACTGGAGAGCTCCGAGTAGCCGTCTGAGCGGCTGCCTCGCTCTCCTCCTCGTCGTCGTCTCTTTCTTCACACCTTGGTGCCCAAGGAGGGCAGCTCAGACTTCTGGGTCTGCCCGCTGAGGGTGGAGGAGACGGAGCCGGCCTGGGCGCGCAGGGCCCGGCGCAGGCCTAGCAGGAGGAGACACTGGGCGCGGAAGCGGCTGTCGAAGAAGGCGTAGAGGAAAGGGTTGAGGCAGCTGTTGATGTAAGCCAGGCAGGTGGCGTAGGGGTGCAGGCGAGGGATGAGTTCGAGCCAGGAGCAGGGCAGGTGCAGCACCCCCACCCAGTAGAGCACGTAGAGGTTCTTGAGCAGGTGGAAAGGGAACCAGCAGGCGGCGAAGACGGCCACCAGGGTGACGATGATGCGCAGCAGGCGGCGGCGCTGGCGGCCCTCCTCCTTGCGCACGTGCTGCTGGAAGTGGCGGCTGACGGTGGCGCCGATGCAGCAGTAGCAGAGCGTCATGAGCAGCAGCGGCAGCACGAAGCCCAGCGCCGTCGTGGAAAGGCTCAGAGCCGCCATCCAGTATTCTTTTTCCCGCGGGCTGGACGCCACGCTGCTGAAATCCATGTCGCACTCGACGGCGGCCTCAGCAGCCGTAGCTGCAGCAGCGGCATCGGCAGCAGAGGCGTTGCCGTCGGTCTGGTGGGTTGGAAGGCGCGTACGCGTGTTGCGCAGCAAGAGCGCGGGCAGCGCCAAGAGCCCGGCCAGCAGCCAGACGGCGACCAGCGAGAGCAGCGTGGAGGTGCGCGGGCGCGCCGAGGCGGGCCGCCCGACGGAGCGCGGCAGGGCGTGCACGATGGCCAGGTAGCGCTCGAAGCTGAGGCAGCCCAGGCAGAAGGCGGACGCGAACATGTTGAGCAGCACCAGGTAGCTGCTCAGCTTGCACAGCGCCGAGCCGAAGGGCCAGTGGAAGCGCAGCGCCGTGTAGGCGGCCCAGAGGGGCAGCGTCACCACGAAAGCAAGGTCGGCGAGCGCCAGGTTGCCGATGTACGTGTCCGCCGAGCGCCGCTTCGCCGGCGGACCGCGCCACACGGTGAAGATCACCAGGCCGTTCCCCGACAGGCCCAGAACGAAGACCAGCATGTAGAGGACGGGCAGCAGCGAGAAGGAGACCTCCCAGTCCGTCTCGGCCTCTTCCCAGGCACACTGCAGCTCCAGGAAGCTGTCGTTCCAGGCCCCCGACGGCTCCTCCTCATACTCGTACTGGTCCCCCGCCAACGGGTAGTCGAGAGGCTGCTGGTGGCGCTCCATGGCGCAGGCAGCCCACCGACCGGAGAGCAGGCGGCGCGAAGGGTCTCGTCTTCCGACGGCTGGCACCAGCGGCTTTCTCCTCCGACAGCTGTCCTCTGGCTAGGGGAAGCTATTAAAGAGCGGGGTGGGTGGGCAGAGGAGGAGGAGGAGGGGGGGTGGCTTGAGGAGACACCGCCCTCTCGCTGCGCGCCCGCCGGGACAGAGCCAGCCCCTCCCGTCGGGGTTTGAGAGGGGTTTGAGTGGGTAGACGGCCAGTCTGGGATTTTGCGATGAGTTTTTGCTTGCCTGCTTCGCCAGGGACAGCCAGCACATCAGCCCCAGCGAAAGGATTTGCTGGGATGGACGGCAGCCGTCCATCAGAACCTCTTCTCCCAGGTGACAGGTCCTTTATAGGGGAGAATGCCCCTATCCATCTTGCCTCTCTTACCGTTGCAGGAAGCTGCCTTACAGCAAGTCAGGCAGATTGGTCTATTTTGTACATGGGTAGGCAAACTAAGGACCTTCTAAATCCTGCCGCCAGACGGTCCGGGAATCAGCGTGTTTTTACATGAGTAGAATGTGAGCCAGTGTGGTGTAGTGGTTAAGAGCGGTAGTCTCGTAATCTGGGGAACCGGGTTCGCGTCTCCGCTCCTCCACATGCAGCTGCTGGGTGACCTTGGGCCAGTCACACTTCTTTGAAGTCTCTCAGCCCCACTCACCTCGCAGAGTGTTTGTTGTGGGGGAGGCAGGGAAAGGAGAATGTTAGCCGCTTTGAGACTCCTTAAAAGGAGTGAAAGGCGGGATATCAAATCCAAACTCTTCTTCTTATTATTATTATTTAAAATGCATCTCTGGGTTATTTGTGGGGCATAGGAATTCGTTCACCCCCCCAAAAAAATATAGTCTGGCCCCCCACAAGGTCTAAGGGATAGTGGACCAGCCCCTGCTGAAAGTTTGCTGACCCCGATCTAGTGTTTTGTAAGCCGTGACTGGCATTGGGTTTCAGGTGAGGAGTCTTCCCGGCCCTACCTGGGGATGCCCAGGACTGAGCCCCTGAACCATTTCTATGCAAGGCAGGTGTTCTGACCCTGAGCTACAGCTTCCCCTAAAAATGAAGCAAGATCCCACAGTCACCATAGGATTAAAGGCTGGTTTAAATAAGAACCTAGGACACTGCCTTCCAACAAGTCAAACTGCTGGTCCATCTAGCTCAGTATTGTTGGCACTGACTGGCAGCAGCTATCCAACAGGGAGTCTCTCTCCCAGCGCTACTTAGAGATCTGAGGGATAAGGCAGCCCCCCCCCAATGTTCCTATGGCAATTTATGGGACAATCCTCCCTTTCCAGCTGCTTTGAAATAGGTGCGCACTCTTGGACACAGTTCGCATTCATTTCAGCAAGGAAGCCTTCCTGGATCCTGACCCTTGTCCATTAGTGAAGGGGGGGTCTACTTGGGGAGGTTTCTACATTGGGCAACGACGTGTGCATCTGGGCGCTGAACTGCCTCGTTGCCATTGCTGCCCCCGCCCCCTTCCCAAAAGAAAGAAGACGATTCAGCGTCGGAATAAGAGAAGCTGCTGTTTCGTTTTCCCTGGCCTTCATGTGGGAATATTCCAGACCGGATGCTTTGCCAGGGGAGCGCAATGGGTGCTCAGGGGCTCCTGCTTCCCATGAGAAAAAACCACCAGAGATTGCAAACCCTTCTCTTTCTCTCTCACTTGCAAAAACAGTAGCATCACGAATGCTTTTCATGAGCATCATAAGGATGTGCTCACAGCGATGCACAGCTGCGGGCTTCAGAATTGTGTGCAGGCACATGGCCACACCAGAGGGGAGTATTGGGGGTGCTCCTCCCCAGTGCCCATTGCTAGGCTCATCACCCCAGATGGATAGGGTGACAGGGAGGGAGGGGGGTGTCTTTGCAATCCTATCCAGATGTTGCTCTCTCTTTTGACAGAGAGTCAGGAGCTTCCCAAACTCAGATTATGGATAGCGGTACATGCACAATAAGGGTGTGTTTGCACCATTCCAGTTTGCATTTTGAGCTACATGGGAATACAGGAAGCTGTTTATACTGAGTCGGACAACTGGTCCATCTAGTTCTGTACTGTCTACACTGACTGGCAGCAACTCTCTAGGGTTTCAGGCAGGGGACATTCCCAATTTATACTCCCCCCCCACACACACACTCTCATGGGTTCCCAAGCAGCAAACAGATACACAATTTATAAACAAAGTGGGGGAAATAATCTAAAACAGATTTAAACATTCTAAAAACAGATTAAAATTAAAAGCAATTGCCATTAAAAGCATCCTTCTAGCCAATGATCTTGAGGTATTCTTCAGCTACCAAATGCACTTGGATAAACAGGAATGTTTTCAAATTCCTCCTGAGAATGGAGGCAGGCAGGCACATCTCACTTGTCTGAGCAGTTTACAAGTGCAAAACCCATTCTAAAAATTAAAATGCTCAATGAAACAACCACATGATAAAAGGATAGCAATTAAACCAGTTACAACAGCAATTAAAATCGTTGTTGTTACAGTTTATTTTTGGTTGGGCCAAAAAGCCCCCAAAGCAGTGAATAGCATATGAAAACATCAGCAGATACACCCCCCCCAATACTAAAGAATATTGAAATGGTACAAAATGGCTATAGAGACTTCTACCCCCAATCTTTCCTTGGGTACTGGGGGCAGAGGAAAAGAATGGCCAGGGAGGGGGAGTGTCACTGCCCTCTTTTTCCCTCTGGGGTCTTCATGAGCTGAGAGAAATCCCAACTTGTTTTCCCTTCCTTTTCCTGGTATTTTCCCAAGGCTTGCCAGGTTGAATTCTCCCAAAAGGATGAGGCTGATAAAGTGGGTGATTGCTGAAGCCATAATAGGAGAGATTCTTTCTGCTTTCTAGCCTCTGCTATCCTGGGGCTGCACGGTACACCCTGTGTAACTCAGCCAGGGTGTGGGCAGATTTCAGGCTTATGGGATTTACTTTATTGTTATTTTCTACTTAGACACCCAAGATCCACCACCAACTGCAGCCTGGTGCAAAAATCAGAATGGAAGAATTATAACGTACAGTCAGAATGAAAGAATTCTGAGCACGGGGTTTGTTTTGAATTCTGGAACTTGGACAGAGAGAACACAACCCTTCCACAGAAAACCACGCTAATCTTCTGCCAATCCATCACAGAAGAAAGAGACAGTTCGTAGTCTACTCAGTACTTTATTAAGACTGTACAAGTATAACTGCTGTCCTGAGCAGCATAACACAAGAGTCTCCGACTCGACTCAATCTTCAACTCAGAAGAGAAAGTAACACTCTGGTTACATGAGAACTGGCAGAGACTTCCTGTCTCACGCTCAGAATTCAGCAGTTCTCAACCTGTGGGTCCCCAGATGTTGTTGGACTACAACTCCCATCGTCCCTGAGCTCTGGCCTTGCTAGCTAGGGGTGATGGGAGTTGTAGTTCAACAACATCTGGTGGGAGTTGTAGTTCAACAACATCTGGGGGCCCACAGGTTGAGAAAGGCTGCTGCAGATGAATCAGCCCAAAGGGGCCTATCTGCATCCTGTTCTCACAGTGGCCAACCAGATGCCCGCAAGCAGGACCTGAGCACAAGAACCACTCTCCCCAACTGTGGCTTCCAGCAACTGGCATTCAGAGGCCTTGTTGTTGTTGTTGTTTAGTCGTTTAGTCATGTCCGACTCTTCGTGACCCCATGGACCAGAGCATACCAGGCACTCCTGTCTTCCACTGCCTCCTGCAGTTTAGTCAAACTCACGCTGGTAGCTTCGAGAACACTGTCCAACCATCTCGTCCTCTGTCGTCCCCTTCTCCTTGTGCCCTCCATCTTTCCCTGAATCAGGGTCTTTTCCAGGGAGTCTTCTCTTCTCATGAGGTGGCCAAAGTATTGGAGTCTCAGTTTCAGGATCTGTCCTTCCAGTGAGCACTCAGGGCTGATTTCCTTAAGGATGGCTAGGTTTGATCTTCTTGCAGCCCATGGGACTCTCAAGAGTCTCCTCCAGCACCATAATTCAAAAGCATCAATTCTTCGGCGATCAGTCTTCTTTATGGTCTAGCTCTCACTTCCAGCTCTCACTTCCATACATCACTAATTCAGAGGCCTACAGGCTCACAACAGTGGAGAGAGAACATAGCCATGTTAAAGGTAAATGGACCCCTGACCATTAGGTCCAGTCACGGATGACTCTGGGGTTTCGGCGCTCATCTCGTTTTATTGGCCGAGGGAGCCAGCATACAGCTTCCGGGTCATGTGGCCAGCATGACTAAGCCGCTTCTGGCGAACCAGGGCAGCACACAGAAACGCTGTTTCCCTTCCCGCCAGAGCGGTACCTATTTATCTACTTGCACTTTGACGTGCTTTCGAACTGCTAGGTTGGCAGGAGCAGGGACCAAGCAACGGGAGCTCAGGCTCTTTGGTTTAACCCACAGCGCCACATGTTAGCTGGTACCTATTGCTACCTGCCTCCTTCCCCCAGTGGCACAATGGGTCAGTGCACTTGGCTGTTAACTAGAAGGTTGGCGGTTTGAGCCCACCTGGGACAGCTGTGGGCAGAATTCCTGCATTTCAAGGGGTTGGACTAGATGACCCTGGGGATTCCTTCCAGCTTTATGATTCTGTGAAGTTGTCTAATCCTTAAACTACCCTAAGCTTTCTGCAATGCAGCAACATAATGCAGGCGGGGGGGGGGGAGGTGGTAATTATTTTGCAGCTGCTATCATTAAGAGTCTCTTCCTTTAAATTCCTAGGAGTTTATCTCAGTGAAGACCTTACTTGGAAAATCAATACAACCCAGATGGTTAAGAAAGCCCAACAGAGACTCCATCTCCTCAGAATATTGCGAAAGAACGATGTCAATCAACATTTGATGATCTCCTTCTACTGGTCAAGAACAGAAAGTGTCCTTTAATACTGCATCACGGTGTGGTACGCTGGTTTGACATCATCTGATAGGAAGTGCCTACAGAGGGTGATGAATACAGCACAAGATATTATGGGCTGCCAGTGAATCCGCTGCATGAAATAGCGGAAGAATGTTGCCTCAGGAGAGTGACGGAAATTCTCAGGGATGATTCACACCCTGGCCGCATGATTAGTCGCACCAACAGGGTAAAGAACAGCTTCTGTCTGTGGGCTGTTAGGCTGCTGAATGAAAAGATAACAACAGGGCAACTGACTTTCAGGTTTGGTGGGTGTACGTCAGTAAACGAGGGGAATTAAGACTAAGAGAGCTGAGTGGGGGGTGCTTGTGTAATCTCACCGTATACAAGTTGTACAAGTGACAATGAAGTATTTCAATTAAACAGCTGAGAGACAGATCTGCTTGCTGGAGATCTTGCCAACAGATCCAGCCCAGATGGGCTTCTGCCAGCCATAGGATGCAAGGTGTGAAAAAGATGGAGTGTGTCATGTAGTGCAATTCCACTCAGTGCCAGGAGGGGCACAGCTCTCCTGTTTCGCACAGGCTGCCTTCGTAAGTGAGATCATTGTGCATCAGTGCTGCCTTTGGACCTGTGTTGAGGCTGTATCATGTCACACTGCGGGGCGGGAGGCTAAATGAGAAAGAAAAACCCTGTACGTAGGAAAAACTTGCATGCTCAGCCCTAACTTTCTCCCTGATGTGCCGATTATTCTGACAGTGCTGAATGCTGGAGGCCCATTTATTGTTCCGGCCTTGTTTTTCCTGTCTGTAAAATGGGAATAACCACAAGTTTCCAGAGCGGGTTTTGGTGAGTTCAACTGTTCAAGGCAAAGACTTTGCATTTTATTTTTGTACAAAGGAGTAAGCAATCATGGGGGGGACGGGGGACCACACCTACCTAATTTGGAGACAGACAGTCAGGTCGTGTAACCACAGCAGTGATCCAGAGGAGGAATAACTGCTGGGAGGACTGCAGAGAGAAGAAAACCCCATGGTGCATCTGCCTCAGCTGCAACAAAACATGTCTCTCCTGTATTGGTCTCTATAGCCACAACAGGCATTGTAACCTTCCGATAGTTTGACTTCACCCCAAAAGCACACTCATCCATTGTCTCCCGACATGTTACAGCCACGAGACGCATTTATACTTCCAGATGTCATCAGTCAATATGGTGGGGAGTGGGCACTTATGTCCTTGTGTCCTATCAGCTTAATTCTCCTTGCACCCCCTGCTTTATAACAAGGCTAGGGGTCCAGATCAGGCCTGGGAGCCAGGTCATTTTCTCACCTGCCCACTGTAGGCCAAATTTGATCACCTGACATCTCAGGTAATTGTGGCCCCTTATCACCTGTGCAGCTTGAGAACTTCTTGCGCCTGATTAGGGATACAGGCTGGGTCTTCCCACCCTGATGAAAAATGGAATGAATCTATTTTATGATACGTGAGTCAGGAAGCTGTTTTGAGGCCTGATCCAGGCTTGAATGGTGGGATGTGAACTGAACAAATGGATGCTATCCTGCCAGGATTCCATATGGGCATTCCAGTGAAGTCTGGTCCATTCTTGCTGTTGCCTTGAGGTTGCCATAGGAACAAAGTAGGCTGCCTTGGTCCACCCAGTTCAATACTGTCTGTATTGTCTTGCTGCAGGGGTGTATAGGGTGTTAGGGGAGGGGGTAGAACCTCTAGAGGGGAGGCATATTGTGCTCCTTCTGGGGTAATCTGTCCATTTTTTGTCCTCGCCTTACACTCAGCTCTCACCTGTGGCTCCCAGAAGCTGTCAGCATGCAACGGTAGCCACACCCCGGGAAAGGCTTTGATTGGCTGGCTAAACCAGGTGAGGGTAGCTGATGGGTCTCAAAACCTTGGTGAGTTGGTGTGGCGTTTGCCCATTCTTTGGGGATACGTTTGTGTTGGGGGAGACAAAGGGTTAATAAGGTAACGGGACCCCTGACCATTAAGTCCAGTCGTGGCCGACTCTGGGGTTGCGGCACTCATTTCACTTTATTGGCCGAGGGAGCCGGCGTACAGCTTCTGGATCATGTGGCCAGCATGACTAAGCCGCTTCTGGTGAACCAGAGCAGTGCACAGAAATTCTGTTTACCTTCCCGCCGGAGCGATACCTATTTATCTACTTGCACTTTTGACGTGCTTTTGAACTGCTAGGTTGGCAGGAGCAGGGACCAAGCAACAGGAGCTCACCCCGTCGCGGGGATTCAAACTGCCAACCTTCTGGCCTGATCGGCAAGTCCTAGGCTCTGTGGTTTAACCCACAGCACCACCCGCGTCCCTAAAGGGTTAATAGGTTGACCAATAAGAAAGCCCGGAGGCGGAGCCTACCTGATTTTGAGGCTCAGCCCAGAGGATTTGACAGTTAGTTCTGTTGGTTCTCTTTGGGGGAGGGGGGGATAGAGGAGTCAGAGTGAGTTAGAGACAGGGACAAGCCTGAGAGGGAATAGAGTGGCAGCATTTTGAATATATTTTAAAACTCGTTTGTGTTTGAAATAAAATTTAATCTTCATTGTTAACTTTACCTGACTAAGACTCAGTACTTCACTGGAGAGCCCTGGGTTTCCCCCCACAAAATTGGTGGCAGCAGAAGAATAAAGTAGTGGTGTACAAGTCAATAGTCTGGGAAATGACCGGGAGCTCTGTACAAACTCCACAGTTGGCGACTTCCCCTACATGCAAAGACATGCTCTGGCAGATGAGACCAATAGTGGGTCCAATGATCAAGAAGATGTCAATGTTTAAGTTACCGGTAAATTATTTTAAGAACTATGATTTGGAAAACCGTTAAAAGGACATGCAATGAAATTCAACCAAGGGGAAGTGAGGAAGTCACTTAATAATGTTAATAAGTGTAATTTTTAATAAGGTTATGATTTATGTTTGTTTGTTTTATGTGTTTGTTTATAATGTTGTGAAAATCAATTTTAAAAAATTGGAGAAGAAGAAGATCATTTCTGTATGTGCTGAGGAGGGAAGTGAAGGGCAGATGGGATTCGTCAACGTGGGAAGGTAGCCCATCGAGGAGAAGGAAAACTCTGATCCTAAACCTCCCCTGCCTTGTGGGATATCTTCAGGAGAAGAAATAGCTATGGAGTAAACCCAACACAAATCCCGAGTGGAGTCCCAAAGTTGAGTGACGCCATGTACACCTACCTCCTGCAGCCAAGTTGGTGCCAAACATATTGCTCTGCTTTCCTTTGGACCACATCAGCGAGGCCAAGACGGGGGTCTTGTCATCTGGGCAGCCCAGAACCTCCCTACACGCTGCCCAGGCTTGCACCCTGGGGAGGTTACCTTGGTGCTGCTAACGCAGCCTTTTGACTTCACCCCCAGAAGTGCACTCCATTGTCTCTTGAGATGGATGCCAACAATGTTCTCCAGGATTGTAGGCAGGAATCATTCTCCTACCTGGAGACGCTGCCACAAATTGAACCTGAGACCTTCTGCATTCAAAGCAGGGGCTCTGCGCACACAGAGACACCATAGGGGGCTGCCTTTTCTTTCTTTCTTTCTTTCTTTCTTTCTTTCTTTCTTTCTTTCTTTCTTTCTTTCTTTCTCTCTTTCTCTCTTTCTCTCTTTCTCTCTTTCTTTCTGGCTTTATTGGCATAATTTAAACAGTAAGATCATAAAGGAGAAAGTAAGAAAAATCTATAAAACACTGGTAGTATCAAACTGGTAGTAACCACCATTAAATAAAATTAAGAAATTTTAAATTTGACTTTAAAAATCTCAGCTAAATATCCTGAAACAATCTGAGTAGTTTCAGAAGCTGCCTTCTACTGGCTATACCTTTTCTTATCTTTTCTTCTTTTTTTGTGCTGTTTATTTTTATTAAAGATTTTCTTGATTTACAAAAGCGTTTGCAATGTCTCTCTCTCGTATTTTTTTTCCCATGTAACATTTTTACAAATCAGTTTCATTTGTTGAGACATTAAGAAGAAAAGGGGAAAGAGGTGGAGGGGGGGAGATGGGTGGGGTGGGGGTCGGGTGGCGATGTTTCTATTTTACTTACTATATGTAGGGTTTGGTGTCAGCGTTGCTTGTCAAGGTTCTTTGTTGTTCGTTTGTGTTCCTTTGGTGGTGAGAGAGGTTGGGGATGGCCTAGGGCGTGGTTGTTCATTTGTGATTGGCTGTGGTGGTCTTTGTTTTTGTGTGTGAGTGGGGTGGGTGGGTGTTTTGGATCAGGTTAGCTATATTGATTTGTATGCTGTTGGTGGATTATTGTCATTGTCTTGTTGGGCTATGTATATGATAAAGGGGAGCTATACTGGGGTGAAGGTGTCTTCTTCTATTTGTCCCCATGTCAGTTTCAGTTTATTGGTTAATTTTTCTAGTAGGGCTGTTTCCCATACTCTTTGGTACCATTGTTGCTGTTTAGTCGTTTAGTCGTGTCCGACTCTTTGTGACCCCATGGACCAGAGCACACCAGGCACTCCTGTCTTCCACTGCCTCCCGCAGTTTGGTCAAACTCATGCTGGTAGCTTCGAGAACACTATCCAACCATCTCGTCCTCTGTCGTCCCCTTCTCCTTGTGCCCTCCATCTTTCCCTTACATCAGGGTCTTTTCCAGGGAGTCTTCTCTTCTCATGAGGTGGCCAAAGTATTGGAGTCTCAGTTTCAGGATCTGTCCTTCCAGTGAGCACTCAGGGCTGATTTCCTTAAGGATGGATAGGTTTGATCTTCTTGCAGTCCATGGGTCTCCTCCAGCACCATAATTCAAAAGCATCAATTCTTCGGCGATCAGCCTTCTTTATGGTCCAGCTCTCACTTCCATACACCACTACTGGGAAAACCATAGCTTTAACTATACGGACCTTTGTTGGCAAGGTACCATTGGTCCATGCTTACTCCTGACAGGTCTCTCCAGTGTGGCTGTACCTTTTCTGTCTCTAGCTGGAGATGCTGCTGGGGCTCGAACCCGGGGCCTCCTGCATGCAGAGCAGATGTTCTGCCAATGAGCTACTGCCCTTCCCAAACTCTGGGGACTTTTCACAGCTAGCTTTGTAATCGTCCCATTTATTCCTGCTCTTTTCACAGCAGACGAACTTGCACATGATCCACCTTCTCTCCAGAGAGGAAAAAAGGCTTAGGTTTTCTCCCTTCTGCAGATCAAGCTGCAATCCATGTCCCAAGAAAATGCAAACACGCACTCTTGGCAGGCCAGAGACGCTTCAGCCTTGCATTTGACCGGGGCAGCGTAACCTGGCACAAAACAGAGGAGGCTGTATTCTTGTTGATAAACAGTGGGTCGCCCGTTGGATCTGAGGCCAGGGAAGGTGGGCAGCCCCGGGGTCTCCTCCGAGACAATTCCTGGAAGGGCTGGTTTGTTTAAAGAAGATAAACAGACGGGCTTTCTGCCACTGAGGCCATCCCACTGAGGTCGTGAGTTCCTCGGATGTTGGGGAGAGCCATTAGAGACAAGGAAAGATGCTGCTTTCACTGCCCAGGACTGGCCTCATACCATCTGAGAGTTCAAGCAAAACAAGAACCCCAGGGGGTTCATCCTGCTTCTCATCCAAAATCCTTCCTTTGGAGCTGAGCCAGGAATGAGGAATATTTTTTGAGCAACCTTCCAGTGGTGGGCAGGGTTGAGACCAAAGGGGGCAGAGCAGCGAGTGTAAATTTCACCTGTGTGTGGCAGGCTGGTTTCTACACAATGTAGGGGGTGCGGGTAGCGCTGTGGTATAAACCACTGAGCCTCTTGGGCTCGCCAAGTGGAAGGTTGGCGGTTTGAATCCCTGCGATGATGAAATGAGCTCATGTTGCTCTGTCCCAGCTCCTGTCAACCTAGCAGTTCGAAAGCATGCCAGTGCAAGTAGATAAATAGGTACCGTTGCTGCGGGAAGGTAAATGGCATTTCCGTGCGCTCTGGTTTCCATCACTGTTATGTACTGAGTTGAAGAGGATCCAAAATGCAGCAGTCTGATTGGTCCTAGAACAATAGGATTCAGAATGCAGCAGTCTGATTGGCCCTAGAACAATAGGATTCAGGATGCAGCAGTCTGATTGGTCCTAGAACAATAGGATCCAGAATGCAGCAGTCTGATTGGTCTACAGGAGCCACCCAATCCAGCTCCAGGTAGAACTGAATCCGCAACCTGATTGGCCTACAGGAGAATCCCGGAATTAGCCAATCACATGGTAAATAATGTATATAAAGCAGACATTCTGGGGGAACTTCTGTTCCTCCTCACCACTATGAGCTGAATAAAGAGCATGGAATCCACTCTCGACTCTGAGTATATTTCAGTCATGGTGTTCTGTTGTGTCAGAAGCAGTTTAGTCATGCTGCCCACATGACCCAGAAAGCTGTCTGTGGACAAACACCGGCTCCCTTGGCCTGAAAGTGAGATGAGCGCCGCAACCCCATAGTCGCCTTTGACAGGACTTAGCCATCCAGGGCTCCTTTACCTTTTTACCTTTACCTCTACACAATGTCACCCACACCAATCTTCAGCCTCCATCCAGACAAGCAGGAATCATGATCAGAGTTCAAAGACTTTCCCCAGCAAGCAAAAAACTTGGGAGGCACAGCAGGACCAGTGAGGGACATGGCCTCGGCAAAGTTCTGAGGGCCAGAGAGAAAAGATTCAAGGGCCATATTTTGCCTGAAGTTCTGCCCCTGAACTGTGACATACAGGATATGTCTTATTCCTTCTTGGTAGAATCGCTGTAAACACCTTTGATACCATTAAGATACACACACACACACACACACACACACACGTATTTCATTACATATTTGTAAAATAACATATATATGGAACTAAATACAGGCAACCCCCCATTTACGTGGGCGTTGTGTTCCAAAGTACGAACATTTAAGTGGAATTGTATATATGTGAAACACTGTTGATAAAGCCTGCAAACACCCCATTCCACCCATTTTTGTGATGTTTTTTGTGACATTTCTGGGTCACTTCCAGGTTTGGCGCAGTCATGCATGTATTGAACATGCATAAATCAGAAGGTTGGTTGTATATGGAAATTTTACTGATGTTTTCACTTTCCCTGTAATATCCCCACCGCAGGAAAATGTACCAGTTTGTACATTTGTACAAATATGGACTGTAGATCTGAATTCCACTCATTTTTTTCTAACTACGGTACTTAAGAAGCAGTTATGAAACCTTCTGTGCTCAAGACATACAGAGAAGCAAGGCTGGCTCTTGATCCAAGCTGCCCCCCTCATAGCAAAGGATCTTGCCTGTCCCACAGTGAGACGATGCCACTCTCACTTCCACGACTCTTCCTCTGCCCTCTCTTCTGGTTTGGTACGGTGGAATTTTAGGGATCATGACAGCTCCATGGCTCGGGTTTCTGGGCCTGCTGAATACCTTACAGCCCTGGGCAACTGTCCTACAGCGCTGAATACTGGCGGCCCATCTATTCCTCCAGCCTTGGTTTTCCTGTCTGTACAATGGGAATAACTAAAAGTTTCCAGAGGGGGAAGCTGTGCCCCCCAAGGCAACACCTTTATATTTATTAAACTAGTAACATTGGTCCATTTACCAGCTTTGCTGATAACCTGGTCCCTGTGCATCTTCGGTTGCTTGGACCAGGCTTACACTGCAAAGGGAATCCAGGTGGATGCTGAAATCACCCCTCCTGGAGTCCAGAGCACAGCCTTCTCCAGCTCATTCTTGAGATTCCCTTAGGTTGGTCTGACTCCTGCATTCGGATGTGTGGGTGTTTGTGTTTGCATGCTCACACCCACATTCATTTTGCAAAGCAGGAGAACTGCTTGGTGGGCAGTGGAATGCAAATCCTACTTGACTTTTCCATGACCACCTTTTAAATTGCTCAGAAGCAGTACTGCCTTCTGTTAAAGGTTCTCTTCTATTGTGAAGAGAGATACTGGAAGCTTCTGAACGTTCTGTGATGTCTCTCAGTTGACCCCTTTGACCATGGGAGAACCAGCAAATACCCCTACTGTCTTCAAGGTAGCATCAGTTCCCCAGAAGTCTCTCCCACTCCCAAATGCAAAAATTACAATTAGAATAGACCCTTTGCTTTTTCAGGTAGGTTTGAAACTGTCCCAGGCTGTGCCCTTTCCACCATCCCGTTCAAGCAGGTGGGTTCTGCTAGGAAACACCAAACAGCTGAACAATGGAAAATTCATGATGGACAAAAGTAAGGACTTCTTCAAGCAGCACACAGATAAACAATGGAATCTGCTCTCAATAGAAATAGTGATAGCTACCAGATATATTTTGGTACCTGAGGCAAATGGAGACCATATAACACCGGTCCTGAAAGACCTACATTGTCTCCCAGTACGTTTCCGAGCACAGTTCAAAGTGTTGGTGCTGACCTTTAAAGCCGTAAACAGCCTCAACCCAGTATACCTGAAGGAGTGTCTCCACCCCCATCGTTCAGCCCGGACACTGAGGTCCAGCTCCAAGGGCCTTCTGGCGGTTCCCTCCCTGCAAGAAGCGAGGTTACAGGGAACCAGGCAGAGGGCCTTCTTGGTAGTGGTGCCCTCCCTGTGGAACTCCCTCCTGTCAGATCTCAAGGAAATAAACAACTATCTGACTTTTAGAAGAAATCTGCCGGCAGCCCTGTTTAGGCAAGTTTTTAATGTTTGATGTTTTATTGTGCTTTTAATTCTGTTGGGAGCTGCCCAGAGTGGCTGGGGAAACTCAGCCGGATGGGCAGGGTATTATTATTAATAATAATAATAATAATAATAATAATAATAATAATAATAAATTTGTTGTTGTTGTTGTTAACCGCAAAATGGCACTCACCAAGGAAGAAGGGGTGAATGAAGATCTACATTGAGAACAAGGGGGCAATCAAACCAACCTTACCCAACTGTTGAAGTGTCCATTGTGGCAGGAAAAGAGCCTGCTCTGAATCATGCCTAGTGGGTGCAGAGCCCAGGAGATGACAGAGGGCAGCCCCTGCCATTTCCTCCCTGGGGCTGGGAGGAGACCAGCAGCACCTCCTGTTCAACAAGATCCAACCACCAAGGAGCACATCACAGCAGGAGCAGGCGATGCATTTGTTGGAAGCCAGATCTGCTGCCCCTAGGGATCCTGTAGCCCAAGGAAGTCATCTCACCGTGCCTCATGAGTGGGCCGGCCCTGGCTACCAGCTTTAAAAGAGGATTGGACAAATTCATGGAGGATGAACCTATCAGTAGCTACCAACCACGATGGCTATCTTCTCCCTCCACTTTCAGAGGCCTCTGCACACCAGTATCTGAGGACCACAAATGGGGAAAGTTGCTGTTCTGCTCAGGTCCTGCTTGTGGGCTTTCTGAGGCAACTGGTTGGCCACCAGGAGAACAGGATGCTGGGCTAAATGGGTCTTTGTATATATCGCTGTGTTGACTGACGCATTTGCTGCTGGTGTTCCCAGAGGCAACATAATATGCGGTGGTTCCTGCCCTAAGAAATAGCAGTTGGAAGCGTGTGTGTGCACGCACACTCACCCACTTCATTTTTTAACTTCCAGGATATTTATTTGTTTTATTATTTATTTGTTCGGTTTATATCCGGTTCTTCCTCCCAAAGGATACCAGGGCGGCAAACACATCACACACTTCTCAGTACATTTCCCCCTCACTTTCCTAACTACAAAAAGCGGTTGTTTTAAAGTAGATTTGTTGTGCTAGGGAGACAGAGTGCTTTAACCCACTTTAATTGCCTCAACCTCAATTTCTAGCACCTGCTTGACTCCCTCCTGCCAAATATCATCTGCCTGGAGGGGACCTCAGGCTGTGTTTTTCTTCCAAGGTTGCAGCACACAGTATCTTGGCCATTGTAAGAATATATGATAGCCATTTTCAAATATCTGCAGGGCTGTCGCATGGAAGATGGAGCAAGCTTTTTTTCTGGTTGGGGAGGACCCAAGCCAATAGATTCAAATGACAACAAAGGAGATTCTGAACAAACCTTAGGAAGAATTTTCTGATGGTAAGCACTGTCTAAGGGTGGATTGGACTCCCTCAGAAGATGGTGGTTGTTGTTGTTTAATAGTTTAGTCATTGTCTGACTCTTTGTGACCCCCTGGACCAGAGCACGCCAGGCACTCCTGTCTTCCACTGCCTCCCGCAGTTTGGTCAAACTCACGCTGGTAGCTTCGAGAAGACTGTCCAACCATCTCATCCTCTGTCGTCCCCTTCTCCTTGTGCCCTCCATCTTTCCCAACATCAGACTCCCTGGAAAAGAAGATGGTGGAGGCTTCTTCATTGAAGGTTTTAAAGTAGAGGCTGGGGTTGGACTAGATGACATTTGGTCCGTTCCAACTCTATGGTTCTGTGATTTTATAGAATACCGATACTTGGTAGATCAGATCACTGTGATGTTCTATTTGACATAATTCCACAAAGGGACTCCATTTAAGTCTCAGACAGGGGAAGGGCCTCAATCTGTTTTCCCTGAAAGCCTTACCTTTCGACCACCTTAAGGATGGCCTGCTTAAACATCTTTCCCCATTGACTGCCATTTCCTTCATTTTGTTTGAAGGACCCTCCTTTTCTAAGGAGTCACCTGCCCTCCAGCAGGTAGCAATCAGAATGATAGCAATCTCCATCACTATCCAGGTGTGAAACCTTTCCTGCCCTCTTCCCCCTGGGCATTTTTGTTTTGTTTTCGAAGCATATAATCTCTGGCAAATACCTGCATGCCATTGACTTCCCCATCCTCCTTTTCAAGAAGGGCCTCCTGGGCTTAATTGATGCCTAGCTGAAGGGAAGGCAGTAATTTCACCACATTCATTTCCTAGGCAGAAAGTACCGTCCCTTAAGAGCAGAGCTGAGAAGTCATCCGGGAGGGTTACCTGCCGAAGGGGGCAATAGGATGAATGGCAGGTGCCTCCAAAAATGCAGCAGAATCTATTCCAAGAGCCAGTGATTTTGAATCTAGAGCTGGACACGTCTGTTATTGATTCTTAGTGGTTTGCACCTTTTGCTGCTCGGCAACTTAATTCCAGTATCTTTTAGTGTGCTTTTCTTTGAGAAATTCAGCACCAGGCAGCAGTATTATTTGTTGTCGTTTAGTCGTGTCCAACTCTTCGTGACCCCATGGACCAGAGCACGCCAGGCACTCCTGTCTTCCACTGCCTCCTGCAGTTTGGTCAAACTCATGCTGGTAGCTTTGAGAACACTGTCCAACCATCTCGTCCTCTGTTGTCCCCTTCTCCTTGTGCCCTCCATCTTTCCCAACATCAGTGTCTTTTCCAGGGAGTCTTCTCTTCTCATGAGGTGGCCAAAGTATTGGAGCCTCAGCTTCAGGATCTGTCCTTCCAGTGAGCACTCAGGGCTGATTTCCTTCAGAATGGAGAGGTTTGATCTTCTTGCAGTCCATGGGACTCTCAAGAGTCTCCTCCAGCCCCATAATTCAAAAGCATCAATTCTTCGGTGATCAGCCTTCTTTATGGTCCAGCTCTCACTACTGGGAAAACCATAGCTTTAACTATATGGACCTTTGTCGGCAAGGTGATGTCTCTGCTTTTTAAGATGCTGTCTAGGTTTGTCATCGCTTTTCTCCCAAGAAGTAGGCGTCTTTTAATTTCGTGACTGCTGTCACCATCTGCAGTGATCATGGAACCCAAGAAAGTAAAACCTCACACTGCCTCCATTTCTTCCCCTTCTATTTGCCAGGAGGTGATGGGACCAGTGGCCATGACCTTAGTTTTTTTTTATGTTGAGCTTCAGACCATATTTTGTGCTCTCCTCTTTCACCCTCATTAAACGGTTCTTTAATTCCTCCTCACTTTCTGCCATCGAGGTTGTGTCATCTGTATATCTGAGGTTGTTGATATTTCTTCCGGCAATCTTAATTACGGTTTAGTATTATTAGGACCATCCAAAAGGTCCCAGAGTCGTTACTAAGCTTTTGGGTTCTTCAGAAGCCTTCTTCATCATGCTGCATGTCCTGAAGTTTTGGAGAACTTTGCTCACTGTTTTGAGAAGATCAGAAGAGCCTTTCTGCTGTATCAGGCCCAAGGCTCATCTAGTCCAGTTCATAAGGACAACAACCCCCATTAAGAACCCTGTTGGATCAAGATAATGGCCCATCTAGACCAGCCACAAGCACCACAGCCACTCTCCCTACTTGTGATTCCCAGGAACTGGTATTCAGAAGCATATTACCTCCAACAGCAGAGGAGAACATAGACATCATGGCTAGTAGCCATTGATAGCCTTCATTCATTTTTAAAATCCTCTTTTAAAGCCATCTGAGTTGGTGCCGTTTTGATTGCTCCTCACGTAGGTTTTTGTCCTTTGGTGGATTTTGATATTTTCCTAAAAGACCAGCAGAGTGTTGGCAGAGTAGATAAACTACAGCTAGGATGCCAAATCATGTGCAATACTGACTCTTTTCTTGAAATTAAAGCAATGTCCAAACAACCTGTTGATATATTCAAAAGCGTTTGCTTGCAGAACATACGACTAAAGAAGAATATATGCAAATTATTTTCATTCACATGCTTCTCCAAGCATGGGCTTAGTTTTTTTTAGTTGAAGATTACAGCTTCTTCTTTAAGCATTCAGAAAAGCTGTGTCTCTCTTTCCAATACTTGCACTCAGCCTTAGGTCCATTACCCAGCTAGGCCACACAGTTCCATCTGAGAGGTTTCCACTTTCTCCTTCCAGCAGACTTGTCCTTACTGCTTCTTTGGGAGAACATCAACTTCTGTACTTCTTTCTGTCACATCCACACAGAAACATCATTCCTCTCCTCTATTGCATTTAGAGAGTTATCTGATACAGTCTCTTCTTCACTGTTCAGGGAGATGCAGCAGTTACAGTCAAGTCACTCACACACAAAACTACCAACCAATCTTTATTGCGGTCAAAGACCAGTCAGTAACACAGAGAACAAAATAGATAATGTAATAAGATGCCAGGGTTGCCATATGTCCTCTTTTTCCAGGACACGTCCTCTTTTTCATGTGTAGAGCTATCATAGTGATCCATAATTAAAAACAGAAGTCGGGAAATGTGTCCTCCTTTTGGCTCTTCGAAACATGGCGACCCTAAAATACCTCCCATGTGACCAGAGTTAACCAATCACACAAGAGTTACTGCGGAACATTCCAGAATTAAACACACAGTAATGCATTTAAGGGACGCGGGTGGCGCTGGGGGTTAAACCACAGAGCCTAGGACTTGCCGATCAGAAGGTTGGCGGTTCAAATCCCCGCGACGGGGTGAGCTCCCGTTGCTCGGTCCCTGCTCCTGCCAACCTAGCAGTTCGAAAGCACGTCAAAGTGCAAGTAGATAAATAGGTATCGCTCCGGCGGGAAGGTAAACGGCGTTTCTGTGCGCTGCTCTGGTTCGCCAGAAGCGGCTTATTCATGCTGGCCACATGACACAGAAGCTGTCTGTGGACAAACGCCAGCTCCCTCTGCCAATAAAATGAGATGAGTGCCGCAACCCCAGAGTCGGTCACGACTGGACCTAACGGTCAGGGGTCCCTTTACCTTTACCTAATGCATTTAAGCATTCCCAATTTCCCAATTATAGTGAATTAAATCACTATACTCAACACAGGGGGCTCCCAATACTTTCTGGAGAGTTGTGAGTGTTGTACTAGGAGGGTCTGAGGTGCCTAACATAGCCACTTCCGGCCTGCCCAGGAGGTGGGGTTGCAGGCTTCACGCCCACCCCCACATGAGCGGGGCTGGTTTCAGCCCCCACGAGAGCAGGGGAATCCCGGCCGCGTCTCCCCCCCCCCCCAGCCAGCCAATCGGCTGGCTGGGGGGGTGGCCTGCCCTATTTAGGGCCGGCGCAGAGGGGGCTCGCCCTCTTTTCGCCGGCTAGCCCCCATGTTTTCCCACCCTCCCTCCCTTTGGGTAGGCTTTAGGTAGGTCTCTGACTTTGCTATGGACTTCGGTCTGTCGCCGCATGGGGCATGGTAGGAATTTTTCCCAATTGGCAATTTACAGCCATTTGGTTTTTCGCCTACCTCGTAGCAACTCGTCACAACTCCTCGGCATTGGCGGTTAGGCATTGGTAAGAAGGGGTTAAGAGGATGTGTGTGTGGGGAGGACCGCCATCACCTCCCCCCAGTGAACGAAGGGTGGTCCGATAAAGGACTCCGGGGGGCGTGGCCCTGTCCGAAGCTTATGGAGGTGTGGGCCAAAGGCACGCCCCCGAGCGGTGACCCGGGGAGCTCCTAGTTGACGTGCCTCAGCAGGAGACTCCCTCTCTATGGTGTTAACCCTTCCCGTGTCTCCAGCAAATGGGCTGGAGCCGGATAGTCGATAGGACCAATGCCTAAGCCAATGCCTCTCATTCCTGAATTCAATAAAGTTGTGGCCTAATTCGCCCATTTAACCTTAAATTATGGTGTCTTGTGTCTTTATTTATCCTGGTGGGGGGGCGGGAACTTGCCACGCAACCACCTCTGATGGCACCCAAACTCTGCCCCATGAAGATTCTTCCTCCCATCTTCTGAATGCAAGTTTGAAACTGCACACAACTCTGATCCTAAAAAGGAGAGTGGAACTTGGGAGGCAGCTGATCTCTGTTTCTGAGGGTGCGGAAATGAATAGAAAGGGGTCTTGGATTCAAACACTCCTGTAAAAGGCGGTCCCCATTTGTGCTGCCTTTGAAATAAGCACCTCTGCAAGGCATTTGGGGAGTCTTGTTTGGCAGGACAGAGCCCCACGCTTGCTGCTGGTGGATCCCCTCCCCTCCTTTATAGGGATCTGATTTCAAAGAGAGTTTGCCCAGGACCATCAGCTGCTTTTCCATCCCCCCTGATCTGCTTTATGATGCAGAGATGGAGCAATGAGATTAGCAAAATAGACTCTGGTTACGGTACTTGGGATGGTTTTAAGCAGGTTTATCGGCACTGAAGTAACATTTCAAGGCTTAACCAGTGTACAGTGGTACCTCGGGTTAAGTACTTAATTCGTTCCCGAGGTCTGTTCTTAACCTGAAACTGTTCTTAACCTGAGGTACCACTTTAGCTAATGGGGTGTTCCGCTGCCGCCGTGCCGCCAGAGCATGATTTCTGTTCTCATCCTGAAGCAAAGTTCTTAACCTGAGGTAATATTTCTGGGTTAGCGGAGTCTGTAACCTGAAGCGTCTGTAACCTGACGCGTCTGTAACCTGAAGCGTCTGTAACCCGAGGTACCACTGTATTTTAATTGGTTTACCACATTTATAGCTCAACCTTTTTCTCCAAGGAGCTCAAGGTGGTGTAAATAGTTCTCCACCTCCTCATTTCAATCCCTGCAGCAACAACAACCCTGTGAGGCAGGTTAGGCTGAAAGGCAGGTCACTCAGTGAGCTTCATGGCCGAGTGGGAGGATTTGAACCCTGGCCTCCCACGTCCTATTCTGATACACTAACCACTACACCACACTACCTCTCATGGTAATGTTCAGGACCATGGCTTGGACCTCCAGACCAATAAAGTGCTGAGTATGGACAAAGATTTTCTTCCTCTCTGCTTATAATTATACTGTACCCCCACTTCGTACATTTAAGTCAGCCTCTGCCAATCTTCTGGCTTCCTGAGGTTTTGGACTACAAGTCCCATCAGCTCAAACCTTGTTAGTGAAACTTATATTTTAGCTCAGTATTCCCAGTAGTGATGTATGGAAGTGAGAGCTGGACCATAAAGAAGGCTGATCGCCAAAGAATTTATGCTTTTGAATTATGGTGCTGGAGGAGACTCTTGAGAGTCCTATGGACTGCAAGAAGATCAAACCTCTCCATTCTTAAGGAAATCAGCCCTGAGTGCTCACTGGAAGGACAGATCCTGAAGCTGAGGCTCCAATACTTTGGCCACCTCATGAGAAGAGAAGACTCCCTGGAAAAGACCCTGATGTTGGGAAAGATGGAGGGCACAAGGAGAAGGGGACGACAGAGGACGAAATGGTTGGATAGTGATCTCGAAGCTACCAGCATGAGTTTGACCAAACTGCGGGAGGCAGTGGAAGACAGGAGTGCCTGGCGTGCTCTGGTCCATGGGGTCATGAAGACTAAACGACTAAACAACAAAATTGTCTGCACTAACTGGCAGCAGCTCTACAGGATTTGGGACAGGGGGTCTTTTCACACCCTACCTGGACCCTCTTAGGGATTTAGCCCATGAAGTTCTGTATGCAAAGCAGATGTTTTTTTCCACTGAGCTATGCCCCTTCCCCACATCTATCAGTGCTTGTCAGTTCATTATAAGAGACATTACAGCTGTTTGAGAGTTAGTGGTGGAGCTAATCCTTTTTCAAAGCCATCCAAATTGGTGGACATCAACTACCTCTCTCAGGAGAAAATGCCAGAGTGTGCTAAGTGAAGAAGTCTTTCCTTTTGTTTGTCTTGGCTCTTTAAACATCAAATGATGTCCCTGTTGGGTTCTGGTATTCCAAGAGAGGGAGAAAAATCTCCCTGTTCACTTTCTAGCAGACAGTAAAAACCAGCAGGCTTTCTGAGAGTGGGGTGCTGATAAAACAGAAGTGATTTCTCTCTTTTTCTTTTCAAAAGAGCTTCATTGTGATAGTCGCCATTCTCCTTAGCCAGTACATATCTAAGGAGATCCAGGTCCCTATGTCTTTTTCAACGGATATTTTTTTTATTTTTATGATTGAACAAACGTTTCAGATTCTGGGTTGTATGCAGACTCCTAGATATTCAACTGGACTAACTTTCCATGGATTAAAAAAGAAAAATCCTCCCCCCTCCCCCCCAAATCTTTATCTATCAGAACAGGTAACAAGAGATAAACATAAAATAATTAAAACATCCGATGCACTGATATAGGATGGAAGACATCTGGCTTGACAGCAGTATGCACGTAAAAAGGAACTAGACCGCAAGTTTAAGAGCAGTCTGATGAAGCAGCAAAAGGCTATGTTGACAGAAGCAGAGTGTCCAGATCAAGGAGAATAATAGTCCCACTCTATTCTGCCTTTGTCAGACCCCCACCTGGAGTCCTTTGTCCAGTTCTGGACACCACAATTCAAGAAGGATATCGACAAGACAGTCGCTTGAGTTGGGGCATTGCTTAGAGGTTTTTTGTTGGAGTGGGGATTGTTGGTGAGACTGATACTATTTTTTTGTATTTTTATTTTAAAAACTTATGATTTATGTGCAAATCGTTTAATGTAGCTGTACACTTTTTGATGTTTTATTTATTGTTCATGACTACTTTGGATTATGTTTGTAACCATGTGATATCCCCCCCCCCCCGTTTTGTAAGCTGCCTTGAGCATGGTTTGAACTGTGAAAAGGTGGCATACAAATGAAATTATGTATGCTTGTATGAATGTGTTCAGCGAAGAACGACAGAGTGAGCTCCCGTTGCTCTGTCCCAGCTTCTGCCAACCTAGCAGTTCGAGAGCATGCCAGTGCAAATAGATAAATAGGTACTGTTGTGGTGGGAAGGTAAATGGCATTTCCATGCACACTGCTTTCCGTCATGGTGTCCGGTTGCACAAGAAGCGGTTTAGTCCTGCTGGCCACATGACCCGGAAAGCTGGCTGTGGACAAATGCCGGCTCCCTGGGCCTGAAAGCAAGATGAGCGCCGCAATTCCATTGTTGCCTTTGACTGGACTTAACCGTCCAGGGGTCCTTTACCTTTACCTTTCAGGGAAGGGTGACATAGATGAGGAAGGGTCTGGAAACCAAGCCTTATGAGCAACAGTTGAAGGCATTGGGCATGTTTAGCATGGAGAAGAGAAGGCAGAGATGATAGCCATCTTTAGAAACTTAAAGGGCTTTCAAATGGAAGATGGAGCAAGCTTGTTTTCTGCTGCTCCGGAGAGGAAACCCTGAACCAATGGAATCAACTGATGAGAAAGGAGATTCTGACTAAATATTCGTAATAACTCTCTGAGCTGTTTGACGGTGGAACAGACTCCTTCAGAAGGTGGTGGATTCCCCTTCATTGGAGTTTAAAATGAGGTTGAATGGCCACCTTTCAGGGATTCTTTAGCTGCATTGCAAAGCAGGGACTAGATTACCTTTGGGATCACTTCCAACTCTACTATTCTATGATTCTATCAGCACTTTCCATTAATGTTAATCCCTGATGTTAAACTGGTTCCTTAATTCTATTTTGCATATTAAATGCCACCCATGCGGATTTTACTTTCATTAATTTTACAATCAGGCACATTTACTGAATTGATTCAATATATGGTCTTTATGTGGAGGAAAGTTGAAGACCATCTCTTGATGTCCCCCCTCTTCTCCCCTTTCTACCTCTACTTTCCTCACACAAGGGTCAGATCCACACCATTCATTCCCCCAAATAATACAGGGAGCTATAATTTCTCAAGGGTACTGGCAATTGTAGCTCTGTGAGGGGTAAAGTACAGTTCCCAGGATTCCTTGTGCTTTAAGTGTCCCTTCAATTTGCAAATGTAACGATCTCTCAGACAAGCTTGTGCAAGGAGCTCTGGCAAACGTCATCATTTGTGTGGTTTGATCCAACAGCCCAAACCTTTGGGAGATTATCTGAAGGCTGGAATTAACTGGAAAAAGGAGCTCTGGTCAGTTTCACTATTGTCAAGTAGGTGTGTTTTGTTTTTAATCTCGAAGCTCAGTTCTTGCAAATTTATCTCGCCTGATCTCTTAATTGCAGGTCAGATGGCTTTGGAAACCTTCCTGCAAAAATAAACACATTTTGAAGCAATTTTGTTCCATTTAGGAACATGACCAAGCCGCTCTGCTCTGAGTCAGACCATTCATCCGTCTAGTTCTGCTCTGCCTTCACTGGTTGGCAGCAGCTGTTCCAGGATCTTTGAGAGAGACATTCCAAGCCCAACTGGGAGATCTTGAAGACTGGACCTGGGACCTGCATGCAAAGCAGATGCTCTGCTACTGAGCTACTTAAATCTCGACCTCAGCAATAAGCCCTAAATGGTACCCCACCCCTTGCTGGTCCCTAAGCATATCAAGCCTTTGGAGCTGGAGTCAGTCAGGTCCTGCCCTTCCAGGTCACGTGGAAATAGGCCAAGTATATAGCTGCTGCTGCTGCTGCTGCTGCTGCTGCTGCTGCTTCTTCTTCTTCTTCGTCTTCTTCTTCTTCTTCTTCTTCTTCTTCTTCTTCTTCTTCTTCTATCACTCCTAGCCAAGTAAGATTGTCTTCCATAAACACGGGTTTAACAGTGAGTCCATAAGTGACTGTTGAGGCCAATTCCGGATCCACACGTCCTTCCACAGTGGGGACATAGGTTCCTGGATGGGAGTTGATCAAGGTGAGGATTTGCCAAGCATGCCTTCCTCTTAGCTTGTTTTCCCCTTTTGTCCTGAGTTTGAGCGTCTTCAAAGTCCATGACACCTTTGTAAAGGCTGTTCTCCAATTGGAGCACTCGCAGGCCAGTGTTTCCCAGTTGTCGGTGTTTATACTACATTTTTAAATATTTGCCTTGAGAGAGTCTTTAAACTTCTTTTGTTGACTCCCAGCATTACGCTTTCCATTTTAAAGTTTGGAATAGAGTAGTTGCTTTGGAAGACGATAATCAGGAGACTTCCGGGTCAGCGCCATCGGTGAATGGCGGAGTTCCTCCGTCCGGAGGAACAGGCTCCGTGGAAACTGGGTCTTCCCGCCGCGGCGAAGGTGGGGACCCGCTAGAAATCTCAGGCAGAGGAAGCCTGGGAACGTGGGGTTCGGCAGGACACCAGGAGCGCCCCCCTACTCGCGGGGAACCCCATTTAGGGGCTCCGGAGCGAAGTGGGGTGAGAAGCGCGGTGCTGTGAACTGACTGCTACTTTCATGGTGTGAAGCCGCACAGCCATTGCCAGAGAGCGCTGACTTTTTCCTGTGGACAATTGGATTTAAAACAAGTACCCATGAGTAGAAACAGAAAATTGGATCAAGAAATTAAGGTAATTTGAATAATAGAATTTGGGGAAAGATGGAAAGGATTTGTTGAGCTAATTATTAGGTTAAATTGTTAGGATAATTATTTTTTTTAAACAAAAATTGAGAAAGATGGAAAGAATTTGCTGAAATAACTAACTAAACTAGAATACTAAAAGGGAGGTGTGAGGAAGTCATTGAAACAAGCAAATGGAAGTTATAGATATGTAACTTGGGATCTGTGTTGTTTTCTTTTTTCTTTTTATCTTTTTGTCGTATTGTTGTATTGGTTTTTGTGCTTTTTTCTTTTTTTCTTTTTATGTATTATAGTGTTGTCTTTCAATGTTTCTTTTTTTTCCCTTATAATTCTGAAACTACTAATAAATATTATTTTTTTTAAAAAAAGGAAGACGATAATCAGGCATCCAAACAACATGACCAGTCCAACGAAGTTGACCTCAGGTGCTGAATGCTTGTGCCTGGGTCAGTCTAATTTTTCTGGTTGTTGGGAATGATGTGATATATCTGCATTGCAAAAGCTGGAGAAGGTTTAAAAGAGAGCTGCATTTCAGTTTGGGTATTGTTTCGGGAAGTGACAAGGAGATTCATTTTCAAATTTATTCTCCCCCCCCCCAAATCCTTGCCTCCTTGAAGACTAATAATAATAATAATAATAATAATAATTTTACCTATTGAATTTATATCCTGCCTTTCCTTCCCAAGGAACCCTGGGTGGCATATACTATTTAAAAACCACAAACAAAGCCAAAACATTCTAAAACAATTAAAACATTCTAAAAGCAATTAGAAATAAAAACATCCTTCCATCCAATGATCTCAAGGTTTCCAGAAATAGTATTCTTCAGCCAACAGATGTATCTGGGTAAACAAGAACATTTTCAAATTCCTCCAGGAAGTTAATAATGATGGACATACTTCAGCAGGGAGGGCATTTCGCAACTGGGGAACCACCACTAAAAAGGCCGTGTCAGGGCCAACCCCAGCTCAAAATTTTATAATTGGATGCAGGGCCAATAAAAGGATGCAATGTAAAATTATGACACCAGAACCGGAGAGTCCCTTCAAAAAAATCAGTTATAGCTTGCTGGTGGGTGAAATGGTTTATCTCCCTCATGAGGTCAAAGGTTGCAGCATTTGGGGATTTTCAGTTTAGCAAAAAAGTGAGTAAGAGGCGATGTGAGAGAGGTTTATAAAATGATGCACAGCCTGGAGAAAGCGGACAGAGAATTTTTGTTTTTCCTCTCTCACAACACTAGAACTCGGGGACATCCAAGGAAGATGAATGTTGGAAGATTCAGGACAGATCAAAGAAAGGACTTTTTTTTAACTGTGGAACTCACTGCCACAGGAGGTAAGTGATTGCCACCAACTTGGATGGCTTTAAAAGAGGACTGGGCTGCATCAATGCAACACTGGAAAAGGTACTATGATACATATATGGTGGAATTCTTTAAACATCAAACAATTTTGGGAAACAATATATAACGAAATGAAAAAATGTTTAGATATTCATTTAGGAAAACACCAGAAGGTTTTCTATTGGGAATAGTACCAGGAAGTCTAAAGGAAGAAGACAAGACATTATATTTATATACAACAGTAGCCGCAAGGCTGTTGATTGCGAAAAATTGGAAAAGTGGTATTATACCGACAAAAATAGAGTGGCTTGCCAAATTATTGGAGTACTATAATATATCCAAAACAATGGGAGAAATTGGAAGGATCTCAAAAGAGAAGATAGACAGGGACTGGAAGGTGTTTAAAGGATACATGCAAAACCATATTGAAAAATCAGAACTCCTATTAGAATAAACAAGTTCTGTTTTAAATACTGGAATACTAAATAAGATGGATAACAATGTGTAATAGAAAAAGAAGTATGAAATTAGGTTAAAGGTGTGTGAAAGAAAGTAATAGAAGTGGAAAGAAATTGCAATTGAGAAGATTGGAAGTCTAACACAAAGGTGGGGTGAGGGGTGGTGGATGATGATGGGAAAAGGAATTATCTGTGGGATTGAGTGTAGGTATGTTTGAACATTTTTAAGGATTGTATGAAATGTATGTTTGTATATTCGCAATATGTGTTTATTAATGCTGAATTATTTTCACAATAAAAACTTTTTTTTAAAAAGGGACTGGGCAAATTCATCAGGAAGGCTATCCATGGCTACTAGCAATTATGGTTCTGCTCTGCCTCCATAGTTGGAGTCAACGATGCTTGCTGGAAACCGCAGGAGGGGAGAGGGGTCTTGTGTTGGGGTCTTGCTTGAGGGTTCTGTTTGTGGTGGACTAGACGGGCCACTGGCCTAATCCAGCTGGCTCTTATGTAAATTTGTCCCTCTACGTGAGTCAGAGATTTGCCCGTGTGCTTTCCTACAAATGCCCCTTGCTGGTTCATATCCTAGGCTTCCTCCTTTGCCTTCCACAGAGAGTTCGCTGATCGCAAGGTCTTCCTCTGACTGCGCTGTCCCCTTTTTATCCCTGATTGCTTCTTTTTCCAAGGGCATCTTCCTAAGGACGCAGGAGCGGAAAGTGGCGATAGCCAGGCTCTTTCCTGTTTGCTGGTCTGCAGGCGACGGGGGCCCTGACCCACTTGGCCTTTGCATCAAGGTGACTCCAGCGCAGCAGCCAAAACAGTCCCCGTCTTGGTGCAAAACATCCCTTCCACCCCCACCTGAAAGGAAGATACCCTCCCACTAAAACAATGCTCTTTCCCAGCAGGAGTTTGCTCATCTCCTTCTGATGCTACAGTAGGGATACTGAGGCCCGGGGACTTTTATCTGCTATTGTTTTATTTATGAATTTTTTATCCCATCCCAACCTTCCTCCCCAAGGAGCCCAGGATGGCAAACAGATTTTAAAAACAAAAACAGCTCAAAACTATTAAAGGAAGTTACAATTTTAAAAAAATCCATCTGTCCAGTCATCTCGAGGTTGCCAGAACAGCATTTTTTGGCCACCAAATGCGCATGGGTAAACAGGAATGCCTGTTGTCTTTGTCCATGGAGTTCTCTTGGCAGGGATACTGGAGTGGCTTGCCGGTTCCTACTCCAGGTGGATCACGTTTGGTCAAAACTCTCCACCATCACCTGTTCATCTTGGGTGCCCTGCTCGGCATAGTTCATAGCTTCTCTGAGTTATTCAAGTCCCTTCGCCACGGTAAGGCCGTGATCCATGAAGGGAATCCAGTGAAAGCTGGACCATAAAGAAGGCTGATCGCCAAAGAATTGATGCTTTTGAATTGTGGTGCTGGAGGAGACTCATGAGAGTCCCATGGACTGCAAGAAGATCAAACCTCTCCATTCTTAAGGAAATCAGCCCTGAGTGCTCACTGGAAGGACAGATCCTGAAGCTGAGGCTCCAATACTTTGGCCACCTCATGAGAAGAGAAGAGTCCATGGAAAAGACCCTGATGTTGGGAAAGATGGAGGGCACAAGGAGAAGGGGACGACAGAGGACGAGATGGTTGGACAGTGTTCTCGAAGCTACCAGCATGAGTTTGACCAAACTGCGGGAGGCAGTGGAAGACAGGAGTGCCTGGCGTGCTCTGGTCCATGGGGTCACGAAGAGTCGGACACGACTAAACGACTAAACAACAAACAGAAATGCGTTCAAACTCCATCCTCAAATATCTGAAGGGCTGTCACAAGGAAGGTGGAACAAGCTTGTTTTCTGCTGCTCCAGAGGGGAGGACCAGAACCGATTGGTTCAAAGAAAGGAGAACCTGACTGAACTTTAGGGAGAACTTTCTGATGGCAAGAGCCATTTGATAGTGGGACGGACTCCCTCAGAAAGTGGTGGACTCTCCTTCCTTGGAGGTTTTCAAGCAGAGGCTGGGTGGCCTTCTGTCCATGACCCTTGAGGTCCCTTCCAATCCTATGATTCTAGGACAGGCATAGGCAAACTCGGCCCTCCAGATGTTTGGGACTACAACTCCCATCATCCCTAGCTAACAGGACCAGTGGCCAGGGATGATGGGAATTGTAGTCTCAAGACATCTGGAGGGCCAAGTTTGCCTATGCCTGTTCTAGGACTCCTCCAGGAATTGTAATAATGCTGGAAGCAGGGACACCTCACTCAGTGTCTGCTCAGCCTGCGCTGCCCAGACAACATTGCCAGACCTCAGGCGAGAACAGGGGGAGAGAAATTTGTATGTGTGTGACCATGTTTACATGATGGGAAGTATTAAATACAGTGGTACCTCGGTTTAAAAACTTTTCTGTTGATGAACATTTCAGTTTTCGAACGCCATAAATCCGGAAGCAGTGCTTTTTTCCCTGAGGGTACGCAGGGGTATGCATACCCCTAAACATTTTGTGAATCTAAGTTTGGCTTCATTGAGGGGCAGTATTTCAATATGAGTAGGAAAATGAGACTACCCCATAAACATTTTTTTTAGGGGAAAAAAGCACTGTCCACAAGTAAATGCTTTGGTTTTCGAACATGCCTTGGAAGTCGAACAGGCCACACGGCTTCCGCAGATTGCAAGATTCTTAAGCCTAGCTGTCGGCTATTGAATTCTCGGTTTTTGAACGTTTCAGAATTCAAACGGTCTTCCGGAACAGATTATGTTCGAAAACCGAGGCACCACTGTACTTCCAACTCTCTGAACATCTATCTATCTATCTATCTATCTATCTATCTATCTATCTATCCATCCCTCCATCTAATCTGTAACAGGGAATGTGTTTCACCCAGAATGTATTTTGTGCTCAAAGCTACTGCTTTTGTCTCCAACCCTATAAGACTTGGGACCCTGCTCTGGAAGCTAGGACTCAAACCAATGGCTTCAAGTTACAAGAAAGGAAACTAAAAACCAGGAGAAACTTTCTGACCGTAAGAGCTGTTCAACAGCGGAGGCTGTGAATTCTCATTCACTGGAGGTTTTTAACACAGAGGTTGGATGGTCATCTGTCATGGATGCTTTAGCTAAGATTCCTGCATTGTTGGGGGCTGGACTAGACAACTCTTGGGGTCCCTTCCAACTCTCTCAATTCTATGACTCTATGCTTCTATGAATGTGACATTTAAAACACCCACAAGCACACCTCATGGCACTTTCATTCATTAATATCAACCCTGAGACGCTTGAAGTGAGACGAGTAATAATAATAATAATAATAATAAATTATTTATACCCCGCCCATCTGGCTGGGTTTCCCCAGCCACTCTGGGCGGCTTCCCACAAAACACTAAAATACAATGATCTATTAAACATTAAAAGCTTCCCTAAACAGGGCTGCCTTTAGATGTCTTCTAAAAGTTTGGTAGTTATTTTTCTCTTTGACATCTGGTGGGAGGATGTTTCACAGGGCAGGTGCCACTACCGAGAAGGCCCTCTGCCTGGTTCCCTGTAGCTTTACTTTTCGCACTGAGGGAACCGCCAGAAGGCCCTCGGTGCTGGACCTCAGTGTCTGGGCAGAACGATGGGGGTGGAGACGCTCCTTCAGGTATACTGGACCGAGGCCGTTTAGGGCTTTAAAGGTCAGCACCAACACTTTGAATTGTGCTCGGAAACGTACTGGGAGCCAGTGTAGGTCTTTCAAGACCGGTGTCACCGGTATATGGTCTCGGCGGCCGCTTCCAGTCACCAGACTAGCTGCCGCATTTTGGATTAGTTGTAGTTTCCGGGTCACCTTCAAAAGTAGCCCCACGTAGAGCGCATTGCAGTAGTCCAAGTGAGAGATAACTAGAGCATGTACCACTCTGGCGAGACAGTCCGCGGGCAGGTAGGGTCTCAGCCTGCGTACCAGATGGAGCTGATAAACAGCTGCCCTGGACACAGAATTGACCTGTGCCTCCATGGACAGCTGCAAGTCCAGAATGACTCCCAAGCTGCGCACCTGGTCCTTCAGGGGCACAGTTACCCCATTCAGGACCAGGGAGTCCCCCACACCTGTCCGCCTCCTGTCCCCCAAAAACAGTACTTCTGTTTTTGAAAAATACCCCTGAGTGTGTGCAGACTGCATTTCCAATACTACCGAACCCTCCATCCTGAGTGCAGCACAGATAATTAGGCGCGGGATTTGGCATCCCAAGAAGCTGCATGCACCTTTTAAAAGCAGGTATCTAGTCCTCATGAGGTAGAGGTAATGCCTGGTGAAGCCTCCACAATGGGCAGGGGTGGTGTTGCCGGCCAGGGCTGACGTGAGCTGTAGCCCGAAACTTTCTGGTGGGTCTCAGACTGTGGGAGGCTGCTCTGCTCCCTCCAGCACTCAGCTCTTATTCCAAGGAGTGCTCTGCTTTTTTTCTGGCCTCCCCCAGGAATTCCAGAGGAGGATGTGAGTGACAACGAACATGGGCTGATCCCTAGATGGCCGTGTTTATCAGCGGACCCAAATTGCCAGCTGTTTGCCTGATGTCTTGAAACACTCCCCCTTCCTCCCCCCACTGCCAAAGCAAAATGGAGCTGGGAATGGAGCTGGGAGAGGTTCCCATGAGCGGATCTGGTCCCCAAGCCTGCCAGGTTAGAGTGTCCGCCTTGTTTAGCGTCATCTTGCCATTTTTAACTCCCTGGTCCAAGCCAATAAAAGCTACTGATGTTTAGGATGGCAGGAGCAGGGCAGGGGTCTGGGAAGGGCAGGGGGAGCCCGGCACCCTAGACAGCAGACACACAAACGCGACTTTTCGGAGGCTGACAAAGCCCATTCCCAATCTGTCAGTGGGAAGTCAAAATGTGGGAATTATTTTTGCGAGGCAGATGGAGCCGGGAGGCATCGGATGGCTCCGTTTCAAAAAGGCATGTTGACAAAGAGGGCCACGAGGGAGCAAAAAAGTCAGTTCAGTTTGCACATTGACACAGACCTGCATAATTCCCACTATCCAAAAATGATATGTGTGCTGAAATCTGCGCTTCTCGGAATTTTGCAAGGCTACCCAAAACGGCGTTTGCAATAGATGCATGCGTTAGAGAAAAGTGTGCATAGATATGTATAGATCAGCGAAAACAACATGCGAAAGGTATTGCATTAGGGGGAACTGCTTGCCCCAAGAGGGTGTTTTTAAGGCAAAATTGTGCTTGAGCTGCCCCGAAGTGTTTTGCTGCCTAAGATGAATGGGGAGCAGGAAGTAAATTGGACTGCTCTACTTTTAATTGCAAATGTTTTGGGGAGCAGATAAAAGGAACTGAATTAATGCTCCTAGCCCAGGAAGAAGGAGTAGAGGGAAAGAGACACAGGTTAGATACTCAGAGAGAATAACAGGATCAAGCACACCCACCCCTGTTGCTTCCTCCCATTGTGTAATGAAGGGGGAGTTAAGGAGAGGATGGAGCTGCACAAACACTTAAGATGCTTCCTTTGGACTTCCAGCCAACGTCCTTTAAAAAAACCCCAAAAATAAGTGGTTATGACAAGCAGGAGCGTCAGCTTAGCTCCAGAACTCTATTCTCCTAAGCCAGGCGCTGCCGACTTCAACTAGTATGCAAAAAGCAGAGCATTTAATTTTCATAGTGAATGTCAAACATCAGGATCAAACAGAGACTTCTTGGGACTGGTCAACCCCTTCACTCCTAAAGGAGGCCACCCTGGGTATCTTTCCCCTGCTTTTTTGAAAGCTGGGGATGCAGTGACCTTTCTTTACATTGGTATGTGCAGCTGGGAATGGGCTGATTTCTTATTTCTTTCTGATTTTTTTTTCAAATTAAAAAAATTATGTTATTATTTGGCTTCACATGGTTTGTAAATTGAAATGGATCCTGTGGCAGAATAAAATGTAGCCTTTGGGTGCACCTAAATCATAGATTGCAGCTAAATCATAGATAAGATCTAACAAAATCAATGGGGCTGCATCTATACGGCTATTAAAAAACTATACGGCTATTAAAAAACAAGTCTCTCATAAACTTGTTACTTTTCTTGAGTTCCCCTGGTTTTTTTCCATCATTGTCAACAATAGATGCTTGCAAATTGGTAACTCTAGAACAATTATTCCTTTCATCCTGGAGCGAAAAGCAAGGCTCACTCCATCTCCATCTCCTTAATTCCCCTTCCCAAAGGAACACCCAGCCCTGCCCCCCCTTTCCCCCACCACTGATAGAAGAGTCCCCAGGGATCATAGAATCATAGAGTTGGAAGAAACCACAAGGGCCATCGAGTCCAAGCCCCTGCCAAGCAGGGTCCATAACCTTGTAGAAGATTCTCAGGAAATGCCTATGGTTGCTTCTGAAACATCAGTTGCTCTCCTCCCCTGAAAACCTTCAACTCAGCACTGGAAACCTCAAGGGCACATCATAAGAGGCAGTCCCCACCCCAAAAAGAACCCTACCCTGACTAGTATTCACTGAGGAAATCAATAAAACGATGCTTTGGCAGGTGGTCTTAAAAGTGTGTCAACTCCAGATTTCAAGGCTCAGTGGCAGAATCATAGAATCATAAAATTGTAGTCTTGGAGGGGATCCTTAGGGTCATCTAGTCCAACCCCTTGCAATGCAGGAATCTCAACTAAAGCAAAACCTCCAAAGGAGAGGTCACAACCTCCTAAGCTACTACAGATCCCACCTGACTTCTTCAGAGCCCCCCTCTCCTCTCCAGCCCCATTGCACACACAGCTAGCCAGCAACCCTCTCCTCTGCTGACCTCTGGCACCAGGGGCTAGCCCTACCATGAGACAGAGAGAGGCAGGTGCCTCAGGAGGCCCAGGAGGCAAGCCTGTGTGTGTGTGAATGTGTTGCTGAAGTGTATTAGAGGATGCTAGTGCAAGATCCAACTCCTGGTCTGGTTCAGCTTATGCTTGTGGTATAATGGGAGGCACCATCTTTCCCTTTGCCTCAGGTGGCAAAATGTCTTGGGCCAGCCTTGACTGGCCCTCAGGCTGCTCCCAAAGGGCTTTGGGGGCCAGGAGAGGAGTGGGACTGACAATTATTTTGCCCTTCAGTGGAGGGATTTAAAGTAACAGTCCCTTTGCAAAACCCATAGGGCACGTGAGCTGGATAGGGCAAACCAAATGAGAAATGCACTCTGCATACACTCAGAGGTAATCTCCCCTTTCCTCGATTTGTCCCCGAGAGCTGAACCCGTCGAAGTTCCCTTATTATGGAATGCTGTAAAGGAGGAAAAAGTCTGGCTCTCCCTTACTTTCTTTGTGTCAACAAGCCCTTTCCCCTGATTATTTATAGCTTAAGCGGCTGGGAAAATTGTGCTGAGTTTTCTCCTTTCCCCTAAATGCTTCTTGGCCCGGAGTAACTCTGGTCAACAACAGCAGGGAGGGGTGGTGTGCCCAGGCACGCTGGGAATCAACTCAGGGCTAAGCAGCAGTACCAAATAGGAAGCAGATCGGGGGTCCACCCAGGGTTTAAAATAGCATTGATAAAGGCTAATTGGATGGACTCAAGACACAGTCCTGGGAAGGCTGTATTTTCTTTTTGATTAGCACATGTGCTCCATCAACGAGCGAAACCTGCATCCCACTCCACTCTTCCCCCCCCGCCCCCCTCCGTGGTCATAACACGGCCCACCAGGATCTAATGAATGATCAGTTCCTGGAAGCCACATGAGTGGGAACAGTTGCTCTAGGGTCAGTGTCCTCCTTGAAGGCTTCCAATTAAAGTTTCTGGGTGGCCACTGTGAGAACAGGATTCTGGATTAGATGGGCCATTGGCCTGATCCTGCAGGGCTGCTCTTATGGTCTCATGTTAAAATATATATCAATACCTCTCATGTGAAGTGCCCAGGGGTCTAGACAAAGGGATATGTGAACCCAGATGCTTAATGGATGAAGGCAGTGATTCTGCGTGTGCTTCCCTGGGGAGTAATCCCAATGAACATAGTGGAACTTACTTCTGAGCAAGGTTGAATGAAATCTGCCAATTTCAGAACTGCAGTTGGAAGGGGTAACGAGGGTCATCTAGTCCTGCAATGCAGGGATCTTTCATCCAAAGTGGGGCTCAAACCGACAACCCTGAGATGAAGAGTCTCGTGCTCTGCCGACTGAGCTATCCCACAGTCTCTCAGTTTCTCATTTTCCACGCTTCTCCACATTTCTGCATCAATTTCTGTGTGTGCGTCTGAAATTCATTGGCATTTCAGAACACATTTTATCGTTCTTGTAATTTCCAGTTTTGCTTATTGGACACGTTTTGCACGTAACTTCCCTGGAGCATAATGCCATTTGGGATGTTGTTTTCACTGATGTGTGAGTTTTTAAATGCACACTGTCTCCTAACGTATGTATATTTGCACACATTCATTTGGCTGGAAAAGCTGCATCATAAAATTGGGAGAAGTGCAGGTTCCCAAAGTTGTTTTGGTGCACAAACTGCTTTGGGTAGTGCGAATTTGGCAGGTTCGTATTAAAAATGTGGGCCGAAACAAACCTTTGCAAGGCAAGAAACTTCTGTGTTATATAAAGGAGGCAAAACCGCCAGGAAATTACTCCTCCAGGAAAATTGCAAGAGGTGGGTCTCTTATTTGCACCATAATAAAGCCATACATACTCTCCTGTGGTTGCTGTCTGGCCACTTCCCCACACCTGGTTTATCTAACATGCGGGCAGAAGGTGTATAATTTTGGAAGCTGCCATAAACTGCTCCTTAGCAGGAATCCCTTCTGATTGCTGCCCCTTCATGGACAAAGGGAAAAGACGACTCTTCAGCTGAAAAGGATAGAGTGCCATCATCCGGTGGAAAGTGGCATTGCTTGGATAGATGTGGGACTAGTTTAAAAACCTAGCCCCACCTGAGATTCCACCTGTCAGCCCTCACCTTTAAGCACCTAAGACACTTGTCTCCAACAGAGCCTTTATGCCCGGGATGGAGGTCCTCAAGTGCCAGGACTGGATGTGGCCCTCCAAATCCCACTATCAGGCCCTCAGGGACTTTGCCCAGACCATGCCCCCAAAGTACTGGCAGTTGTCGGTCATGATGCAATTCACGCACAGGACACTGTTGTTGTTGTTTTTAATTCCCACCCCCGACTTTTGATTTATTCACTCATTTTGAATATCAATGTTGGTTCAGGATCGCATGAGTCACTTCCACAGGCAAACCCACCCCCCTGAAGACGAAAGGTCCCCGTCTGAGCTGGTGTACAACTGCAACACAAATGGTCGGGTGTCACAACCACGGGGTGCTAGAGTAGAAACAAAAGGGGTGTGTGGGGCAGGGGAGGGAGGAGCCAAGGAGTCATTTTGGACTCACAGCTGTCCATGGAGATGCAGGTCACTTCTGTGTCCAGGGCAGCTGTCTACCAGCTCCACCTGGTACGCAGGCTAAGACCCTACCTGCCCACGGACTGTCTCACCAGAGTGATGCATGCTCTAGTTATCTCCCGCTTGGACTACTGCAATGCGCTCTGCGTGGGGCTACCTTTGAAGATGACCCGGAAACTGCGGCAGCTAGACTGGTGACTGGGAGTGGCCGCCGGGACCACATAACACCGGTTCTGAGAGATCTGCATTGGCTCCCAGTACATTTCCGAGCACAATTCTAAGTGTTGGTGCTGACCTTTAAAGCCCTAAACGGCCTCGGTCCAGTATACCTGAAGGAGCGTCTCCACCCCCATCGTTCAGCCCGGACACTGAGGTCCAGTTCTAAGGACCTTCTGGCGGTTCCCTCAGTGCGAAAAGTGAAGCTACAGGGAACCAGGCAGAGGGCCTTCTTGGTAGTGGTGCCCGCTGTGTGGAACGCCCTCCCATCAGATGTCAAGGAAATAAACAACTACCTGACTTTTAAGAGACATCTGAAGGCGGCCCTATTTAGGGAAGTTTTTAATGTTTGATGTTTGATCATGTTTTTAATATTTTGTTGGGAGCCACCCAGAGGGGCAGGGGAAACCCAGCCGGATAGGTGGGGTATAAATAAATAAATTATTATTATTATTATTTTCAGTATCCATATCAAGGCTACTGAATCTTTCCAGTCAAGCCTCTTGGTGGCTATTCCTCCTTTTCCTCCATTGCTTGGGGCAGCTGTGTTACATTGAGAGGTGGGTGGGGTGGGATCTGAGCACCAGGGTAACCCAATTATAGCGTGCTGTGGTAGAGGAAAACCTTGGGGTCCTCAGAATCATAGAATCGTAGAATTGGAAGGGACCCCATGGGTCATCTAGTCCAACCCCCTGCAATGCAGGAAACTTTTGCGCAACATGGGGCTCAAACCCACAACTCTCAGATTAAGACCCTTGTGCTTTGCCCATTGAGCTATCCCTCATGCATGGGGTCTCAAATAAGACAGGGGTGGGGAACCATAGGCTCTCTAGTTCTCTCTGGCCCTTGGTATGCTCCCCAGATCGTACCTCCTCAAGTCTTCCTCAAATGCTTTTTCCTGGCTGGGATGATTCCTTGACCTGGGATCATCTCTCTTGTTCACCTGGCTGGCTGGAGGATGGAGGAGGTGTGTGTGTCAAAACCTCTGGCTTCCGATGTAGCCCATTGCAGATAGGTAAAGGCCACGCCCATCTCCCCACCCACTTTTGTCTCTGGCCCCGCCCACCACTGACATGTGGACCCCAGAAGGTTCCCTGTGAGGGAATGTGGCCCTCAGCCTAAAAAAGCCCCAACCTTCCCTGCCACTCCCTGCAACAAGGAAGTGAGCCCTGGCAGAGCAGCTTCCGTGATAAACAGGGTATCCATGGCAACCGGCCTACCTCTGCCTTGCCACAGTCTCGCTTCTGATTATCAAGCCACTTGTAAAGCCATAAGAGCCCCTTGAGAAAGAAAATGCTGGCACCTCTGCACCCCAAATAGTATCGCACCCCCTTCCCTTCCCACCCTTAAAAAAACTGCATATTTCATGACACATTATCCAAACACAATTCAACATTAAAATACTCGTTTAAGTAAGAAAATAGCAGCCTCGGGCGGATTTCACGGAAACTCACAAGGACGGCAAGACAGCGTCAACAGGGAGATTAAAAACGGTGCTGGACGTTGCCAGTTTGGAGTAAGAGGCTCTGTCACAGAATTGGGCTGTGCAAGCAAAGTCCCAGGGTAGCTACATTGCTGCCTTTTTGCTTCAATGTGCAGAAACCATCAGCGCTCGGGTATTGTCCCAACTAAGGAGTCCACCCCTCCAAGCCATCATGGGACGCGGCTATGAAAGGAGGCAGAAACAGGCAACCAAATTCGGCACGGTCAGCCGGGATGCCTTTCTTCGCAAGACACACTGAACAAGGCAGGGGCTGTGCAGAAGTCTTCTGTTCATTTACAGGAAAACATCCCAGGCAACAGAGCTTTTAATTTTCAGGTGCTTATTTGGGTATCCCAAAGCAAGAACCTTATACAACGTGCACTCCAAGCAAGGACCTCTCCGTGCCAGTGCTCAAAAGGAACAGCACTGAAGTCAAAGCAAGGAAGTTTTAGGCGAAAGCTTCTTGGGTGGCAAAAGGGAGAGCTGGAGAGAAAATGTCCAACCAGCTTAAATTTGAGCATTGGGGAAACTGAGGCTCAGAGCAACTGTAACGATGCAGAGAGTCTGAGAGGAGAGGGTGGGTGTCTGTTCCTTGCGGTTTCCAAATTCTGACGGGGAACACCTGCAAGTCTTCTTTTGGGCAGGTGCAAGACCACACCCTCAAGGGGCTATTTTGCTTTCTCATTTATCTTCTCATTTCTCATTTATTCTCAGTCTGCACTTGGAATACAACCCCCTACCCCCGGCCCAGCAATAAGATTTCGGCCGACAGTTTGAAGCGACTACCTGGGAGCAGGGAGGGTGTGTTTTTTCTGGGTGCAAAGCAAGTTGAGACAAAAGGGATGAATAAGCATGGTGCCAGGTCTATAAAGAAACAATTATCAGCGGCCTTGTCTCCCAAGAAGAGCCAGGCACGATTAGGCAAAAATGAATAAATAAAGCACACCTCACACTACGGTGGTGCTAAGATAACCACCAGAGGCTGTGAACGCAGAGGCTTCATCTAACCTGGTGCCCTTCAGGCGGTTTGGGGTACTACAACTCTCATCAGTCAATGCAGCTGTTTTGGACTACAACTCCCATCAGCCCTGGTCAATGTGGCTGTTTTGGACCCCGGCTTCCAACAGCCCCAGTCAATGTGGCCGCTTTGGACTACAACTCCCATCAGCCCCAGCTGACAGGGCTGTTTTCAACTACAACTCCCATCAACCCTGGCCAATGTGGTTGTTTTGGACTACAACTCCCATCAGCCCCAACTGACAGGGCTGTTTTCAACCACAACTCCCATCAACCCTGGCCAATGTGGTTGTTTTGGACTACAACTCCCATCAGCCCCAACTGACAGGGCTGTTTTCAACCACAACTCCCATCAGCCCCGGCCAATGTGTCTGTTTTGGACTAAAACTCCCAACAGCCCCAGTCAATGTGGCTGCTTTGGAATACGGCTCCCATCAGCCCCAGCTGATGGGGCTGTTTTCAACTACAACTCCCATCAACCCCAGCTCACACCATCGTGTGGGCTGAGGCTGATGGGACATGTAGTCCCAAACACCTAGATGTCACCATGCTGCTGGTCTACTTGGAAGCAAGAGCCTCAGCCACTTCCTTCAATGCATCGCTCCCATTTACAACTCAGCTGGGGGCAGCTCTGCCTTCATATATTCCAAAGAGGCCTCACCAACAGAATTTGCCTCTTCCTTGGGATTTGATGGGGGTCCCTTTCCCCCTCCCTCCACACTTCAGAGGGCACTGCCTTACTTTAGTTTGTAATGTCTGCCATTGGGCGACCTGCCCCCAAAACTCTGGAGATCGACCGATCGGCCCAAACCTACCAGTGTGGAGTCGATCTCTCTCTCTTCTCCCCTCTACAAAGCCCAATTCCCCATCTTTTTTTTAACAGGGGTCCTGTAAAAAACCCGAGGTCACATTTGGGGTTCCCAAGAATTCCCGGCTGGATCTTTCTCCTGCTTCGGCTCCTGGAGGTTCAGCAAGAGAAGCGCCCCCACGGAAACCGTCTTCAGGCTCAGCACACTGACGGCCTCGGGCTGGACAGAGGGGACCCCCACGCCCTGCAAACAAGGGCCCCATTCTCTGTGGGCGTTCTCCACCGGCTCGTCCTTCAGCGTGTGGATCCTCTGGTGCTTGATGAGGTTGGCACTTTGGCCAAAGGTCCTGTCGCAGTGGGAGCACTTGAACGGCCCCTCTCCCATGTGGATCCGCCGGTGCCGGATCAGGGTGGACCCTCGCCGGAAGGTCTTATCACAGTGTGGGCACTGGTAGGGCTTCTCGCCGTCGTGCAGCCTCTGGTGGCGCATGTATTCCTGCCGGCAGGTGAAGGTGGAGTCGCAGGAAGCGCAGGGGTAGGGCTGCTCGCCCGTGTGGATCCTCTGGTGCCAGTAGAACTCTTGCTTGTAGCGGAAGCTCTTGTCGCACCCGGGGCACTTGTAGGTCTTCTCCCCGGCGTGGCTCCTCTGGTGCCAGCTGAACTCTTGCTTGAAGCGGAAGCTCTTCTCGCACTCGGTGCACTTGTAGGGGCGGTCCCCGACATGCGCCCGCTGGTGCCACATGAACTCCTGCTTGAAGCGGAAGCTCTTCTCGCACTCGGCGCACTTGTAGGGGCGCTCCACCGAGTGCGTCTTCTGGTGCCAGGTCAGCTCCTGCTTGAAGCGGAAGTTCTTCCCGCACACCCCGCACTTGTGGGGCCACTCGGCCGTGTGCGCCCGCTGGTGCCACATCAGCTCCTGCTTGTGGCGGAAGACCTTCTCGCACACGCTGCACTTGTAGATCTTCTCCCCGGCGTGGACCTTCTGGTGCCACGTGTATTCGTGGACGAAGCGGAAGCTCTTCTCGCACTTGCCGCACTTGTAGGGCCGCTCCTCCTTAGGGACTCTCTGGCGGACGCCAAGCCCCGAACAGTGGCTGCAAGAGCAGGGTTGCATTGTTGTGTTGTGGCTTCGCGGGTCTGCCGCGGCGGGAGTGCCCTTGTGGCCACTGCTGCTCTCGCACTCGGGGCAGACTTGCGTCGCTTCTCCCCCGGAGGGGGCGCCGTGAGCCGAGCGGGCAGGGAAACATTTCTGACACTGGGTGCAGATGAGCAGCGTCTCCTCGTAGGTGCTAGGTGGGGGCACCGTGACACTGCCAGGCCAGAAAGCGCTGCCAGAGACCCCTGGGTGCCCCACCTGAAATTCCACGGGGGGCGCTTGCACGTTCTGCCACTGGAGCTTGGTGGACCAAGTTGGCAGTGCGGCCATTCCACTCACAGCCGAGTTGGCCCCGAGGTGGCTCCCTGGCCACGTGGAAAATTCACCAAAGGTCCCGTTGTTCGGGCCTGCCTTCAGCACCTCTGGGTGCCCCACACAGCATGGTGGCCGCTCCTCGAGGCAGGATTCTTTCTTAATCAGGATTTGGCCATCTGCAACGGCAGGAGACAAGAGCGAAAGGTTGTATGTGAGCCAACAGAAAATTGGTGAGATCACAACGGAAGAACTGACTATGTTTTGATCAAGAAGGGTTAAAAACCTGCCTTTTTACCATCACCCAGTGTGGAGAGGTCCAGCCTTAGGGACCATGTTACAGTAGCATAGCAGCAAATCCAGAAGTGCAAGGGCCCTTTATAATAGCCACAGCAACTCCTCCTCACACCCGAGTCCTTTTCTAAGGTTATACAATAACCTTCTAATTTAGGGTTGCCCTATTTCAAGAAGTAAAAGTACAGACACAGTTGCTTAGTTGTTCAGCTTTTTGTGGGGCGATTGGCAGAGGCAGACAGAGGACACCAAATTAGCCCCTATCCCCTGGACATTACAAGAATTTTCAAGTTTATATTTGCACACCATTCTCTTGAAAGTGAAGCCCCTTGTCTTTTCAGGGTTCCGAAATGCTTAGCTTTTGGAGCACACAGAACTATTTCTTCTTCTCTAAATGACTTTTCGTGGACATTTGAGCCCTGTTTCAGGAAACGTTTAATATTTGATGTGTTTTTTTCTTCTGGTCCCCCCGTATTTTGTTGGAAGCTGCCCAGAGTAGCTGAGGTAAACCTGTCAGAGGGGCAGGGTAGATGGATAAATTAATTCATTCATTCATTCCTGCACGCCTTCTCCAGAGTGGCCCTAGGAGCCAATCCTGAGTCGCTGACCCACCTCCTTACACTCTGATTGGCTCTAATCAGCACAAAGGACGTAAAGACTTCATGCTGATTGGGCAGCTCTAGGGCCCTGGAGACAGGGCCCCTGCTGCAGAAATAGTAACGGTGATGTTCCCTGAATATGATGTATTGCTATAAGTTGTTTTCACTAAGGCATGCACCTGTACTGTATGCAATTTTGTACACGTCACATTGCAAAATTCAGAGATGTGCGAATTTCGAGGGGCAGGACCTGTGATTCGGTTTGTGTATTGTTGCAAAGAACACAAATTCGGAAGGGTTCCCCTTTCAAGGCAACCCAAATTTCTCCTTCACCCATTCCAGCATGTGGCCCCTGGAAAGCTGCTCTGGAAAGCCTGTTGCCCTTGAGGCAGAAAGGGGTCTCCGTCCTCCTCTTAAGCAAAATAAAACATTTAGCCTGCAACACCATTTGCTTCTAGAGACAAGGAAATCTTCAGTACACTTTTCTTCCCAGTAACACCATGCGAGCATGCAATGTAGAGCAGATCTCCCGCCGCACTGGCACACCGGATTTGGCAGCCATCTTCAGATCAATCAGAAGCTGCCAGTATTCTGATCTATGAGCTTGGGACTCACCAAAGATGCTGTGGTGTGTAACCTCTCTTGCCTCTGAGGTCTGGAGTCTCCCAACGCAAGGCTCCTCCCCTCGCTCGATTCTCAAAATGATGTCGGGCTTCTGTAAGGCGAGGCCTAGTAAAGTGGAGATGGATAGGGCACTTGAGGACCAGCCCAAGACATTATGTAACCTGAGGCAAAGAACAAGATGGCATACCCCCTCATTTTTTGCCCCTGCCTCAGTGTCTCTCTTTATTTTTTAAGTACAGTAGTACCTTGGTTTCAGAACAGTCCTGTTTACGAACGATTCGGTTTACGATGGGGATGCCCAATTTTTTTTCAAAGAGGGCCAGATTTGATGAAGTAAACATGCGTGAAGGCCAACTAAAGCTGTTGAGCTTTTTTTGAGATTTTACCCCAGGAAATAAACTGCCCCAGGAAATAAACTGCCAGGGCTGGATTAAACTGACCGAAGGGCCGGTGGAAGGGAAAGCATGCCTCGGTTTAAGAACAGTTTCGGTTCGGAGCAGATTAAGTTCGCAAACCGAGGTACCACTGTATAACTATTGTTTCTTTTTTAATATAATAATTTTAATTAGTTTTCAATGACAATAATCCAATAATAGCCTCATTATATCAATGCCAAATTATAATACAATTCCTATTACCAATCATTCAAATACCAAATTATATAATTTAGGTGGCTAGAATTTAGGCATGCTAGAATTGATGGTTTTATGATTTACTTTATTTCTGCGTTCCAAAATCTTATTAATTTCAATCACATTCCAGTCATAACAGTAATCCCTTATACAACAGCTGCAATCTTTATAACTCCTATTCATGTTAACACATTAAATGATTTATAAGACTACAAGTGAAGATCTCATACTGTGTCCTTGTTTTTCCTGTGTGTGACATTTATTCTGTCCATATTGTTTCTTCCTGTTCTTGTAAAATATTATGTCTATCTTTTCCCGGTTGTTGCTGCTGTCTGTCAGGGCTTGCGCAGAGCTAATATCCCGATGCTATTCCAAAAACTGCTCCCTCACTCAGTCCCGTGCTTCTTTGTTTTTGTAACTTTTAACAATAATTAAACAATTGTTAAAAGATGCCTCACTGTGTCTCATGGCCTGTGGTAGTTAACTGCCTAACCTTTCTAGGATTTTGAGCAGGCCAACTCACTGCCCTTTCTTCCCTCCCCACACCCTTGATGAATTATTACCCTTTCCTTACAGTTCCTGTCAGGAACCTAGTATAAAGCAACTTCCAATGTTTCTGGTTTAGATCCATTTGTTTGTTAGTTATATTTCCCTGCGAGAAGTAAAGCTACAGGGAACCAGGCAGAGCACCTTTTTGGTAGTGGCCCCCACCCTGTGGAACATCCTCCCATCAGATGTCAAGGAGATGAGTAACTATATAACTTTTAGAAGACATTTGAAGGCAGCTCTGTATAGGGAAGCCTTTTAATGTGTAATGTAATGTTCTTATATATGTCAGAAGCCACCCAGAGTGGGTCAGATGGGTGGGGCATAATGATAATGATGATGATGATATCCCACCTTTCCTCTAATGAGCTCAAAGTGGTGGAACCACTTCCCCTCCTCTCCATTTTATCCTCACAACAACCCTCTCCCTCACACACACCGTGGCGGCGCCTCCTCCCTCCCTCCTCCTGGCTTCTCCCTGCCCTGCCTAGAGGAGGAAGGGGGCTGGGCTGGGCTGAGCTTGCTGAGCACCATTTTAAGCAGCCCCTCTCCGGACCCAGCCGTTTCGTGCCCCTCATCTTCTCTCCGCTGTCTCTGTGGCAGCCCCTGGGAGGTAAGCGCAGCAGCTGGGGCTGGGGAAGAAGACTACTTGCCCCCCTCGCCTCTTCTTCCAGCCTCCCCCCCGGTGCCGCTTCTCCGGCCCGCCACAAGGTCTGAGGGACAGTGGACTGGCCCACGGATAAAAAAACCTGCTGACCCCAGCTCTAGCCACTATACCACATGGGCTCTCATTGATCAGTCTAGATGGGTCTACAGCAGGAGTGGCCAATGCAGAGTCCTCTGCATGTTGCTGAACTCCTGCCATTCCCAGTTAGCAGGGCCAATGGTCAGGGCTGGTGGGAGCCGTTGTAAGAGCAGCAAAACTACAACAGCACAGCTTTGACTCTCCGGAGATACACAGCTCTGAGAGGTTTGAGGTGGGATGCCAAACCCCATCAGTCCCAACCAACATGGCCAATGGTCGGGGTGATGGGAGTTGTACCTCAGCAACATCTGGAGGCCCAAAGCTTTCAAGGTCCAAAGTGGGATATTAATTATAACTGAAGTGAAACAACCTCTTGCCTTTTGGAGCCCTTCAAATTCATCGGGTGAGCACAACCCGTGAGCCATCCAATAAACAGCAAATAGCTTACCTAATGAAACCAGCATCTCGTAGCTGGCTCTCGTCACATCCTTATAGAGATTTTTCTGCCAATCTGCCAGCTCTGCCCACTCCTCTGGGGAAAAGTAAATGGCCACTTCGTCAAAAGTCACTGGGTCCTGAAAGAGCAATTTGTTTGTTTATTGATTTATTTGTTGCATTGATATCCTACCTCTTTTTCAAGGAGCTCAAGGCGGCAATAGCTGGTTTCCCATCTCCTCACTTAATTCCCCACAAAAACCCTGAGAGGTAAATTAAGCTGAGAGCCAGGTTCATGGCTCAATGGGGGGTTTGAACCCTGGACTTTCCCAGGTCCCGATTCGACATTCTAACCTCTATGCCACACTGGTTCTCAAAGCGGTGTCAAGCCATGCTCCACGTCTCTGTGGCTCAAGAGTCTCAGACATGGGTAGGCAAACTAAGACCCGGGGGCTGGATCCAGCCCAATCGCCTTCTAAATCCGGCCCACGGACGGTTTGGGAATCAGCGTGTTTTTACATGAGTAGAATGTGTGCTTTTATTTAAAATGCACCTCTGGTTTATTTGTGGGGCATAGCAATTCATTTTTTTTGTTCTTTTCAAAATATAGTATGGCCCCCCACAAGGTCTGAGGGACAGTGGACCGGCCCCCTGCTGAAAAAGTTTGCTGACCCCTGGTCTCAGGGTTGTGGGTTTGAGCCTCAGATTGGGCTAAAGATTACTGCATTGCAGGGGGTTGGACGAGGACTCTCATGGTCCCTTCCAACTCTACAATTCTGATTCTATGATAATCCAGGTATTTTCTAAATGTTGGGGTGTGGATTTTACACACACACACACACACACACACACACTGTTGGGGTCTCTTGACACCAAAAACAGATGTGAAAGTGACGCCCCACTTGTATGAAGCTCAGTCAATGAGAACATTGACTGTACTCATTGAGGTAGGGACCTGTTTGTTTTTTGCTTCCATTACAGGTAATTACAATGATGGCACTACAGACATCCTAACTGATAACATGCAGAACTGACAGAAGCTTTTACACAAAAGGGCAAGAGCCTCTTACCCAGAGTGTGGGCCCAGCAGCCCCAGCCATCTCTGAAGTCGATGCTCCTCTGAACAGGGCGGTCAATGGTTTACCTGCCTCAAAAAAACCGTGGGGAGGTCTTGGGTGGAGTCACCACCAAGGGCTAGGTGGATCCATTTTTGCGGGACGTCCTTCAGCTGCAGGGGGGAGCGTCAAGAGGAGGGCTCCAATTTTAGTTTTGATGCCTGAGGGTGGGGTGGGGGAGAGAAAACAGAGGGGAGGGAGGGCGGGGAAAAGAGGCAGGCATGACTGCAAATTGCAAGTTTCAGAAACTCAAAGGCGTTGGTGGCTTTGAATAAATTTGCATGAAGCTTATGCAAATCGCTCCTTTGCTCCGGGAGGAAGAACTCGTTTGCATAAAGGGAATTTGCAAATGCTTCGTTGCATCACGTGTTCTCCCTGTCGCTGCATCGAAATGATTCTGCAATGGGGCGGAAGGAAGCAGATGGAGACCGTTTCCTGGCACGCAGCCCCACAGCAGGGATGTTTCTCTTTGCAGTGGGAGGTTGCCGACTTGAGTCAAGGAGCCCCAGGAAGAACCGGCTCCTAACCCCAGGCGAGTTAACACATTCCATAATCTTTGTTTATCCACCAAAGCCCAGCTTCCACAAAGCACTATTCACTGGGCCTCCTGGCTGGCCTGGCATCAGCAGCCAGCTCCCTCAGGCATGTGCCAGGGTCCAGTTTACCCCATGAGACCCACAGATCCTGGACCCTCTGACCTGGTCAGCTGGATCTGATCGCCACCATTTTTATTTGTTGAGAGGCTATATCAGGGGCATTCTGGGAAATTAAAATGGCGGCAGCACACTGGTGCCCCCACTAGGGGCCAGTTCACACATTCTGCTGCCCGTCATCAAGGCCTGGCATAAATGCTAATTCCTCATTAAAGTATTTGTATTCTGCCCTCTCATAAAGCATCACGGTGGTATACGGCAGCATAAAAGCAACATTTTCTCAAAAATGCTAAAAGCAGTGCAGAACAATCATTAAAAGACTGGCTGCTGTCAGACATGAAAGTGCCTCTGGGCACGTAGAGAAGCCTGTAGAATAAGGTGTGTCCTACTTTATAGAGAACAGTCCTCTGAGAAAGGCTGCCACATGGGCGGTTCTTTAGGCGAAGGCATCCCCCATTGTTAAAGTCCCAAACGACTCAGGCCCCAAATACCCTAAAGGCTGCCTCCTTCTCTATCGATCCCCTCGGGTGATAAGATTGATAGAGCAGGTCCTCTTGTTTGTTCCTCCACCCTCAGAGACTTAGGGGGTGGTGGCCTGGGAGAGGGCCTTCTTTGTGGCAGCCCCCAACCTGTGGAACTCCCTGCCCACAGAGGTGCACCTGGCACCTTCAGCTTCTGGTGAATATTATTAATAATAATGTCAATATTTATATGCCGCCCATCTGACCGGGTTGTCCCTGACATTCTGAGTGGCTCCTGACAAAAGGTTAAAAATACAGTAAAACCTCAAACATGAAAAACTTCCCTGTACAGGGCTGCCTTCAGGTGTCTTCTAAAAGTGAAATTGTTGTTTATTTCCTGGTGGGAGGGCGTTCCACTACTGAGAAGGCCCTCTGCCTGGTTCCCTGTAACTTCACTTCTTGCAGTGAGGGAACCACCAGAAGGCCCTCAGTGTTGGACCTCAGTGTCTGGGCTGAATGATGGGGGTGGAGACACCTTTTTTTACCCTGGCCTTTGACACTTGAGATGCGTATTTCAGGACCCATCTTATTTCTGTGACTGTAAGTTGTTTCAAATTGTTTTCAGTATTATAATGGTTGCAACTTGCCCTGGGACCTTACAGCAAAGGGCAGGTAATTAAACAATAACCATAATAACCACAGTAATATGTCACAGAGGATGTGAAGAGCCAACCACTCCAAATCAGTTTTAAAAATACTTGAAGGTGGGAGAGCATGGCAGGGGTTCAAAACTGACCATCTACAATTAAAAGGTCAAGGACCCCTGGACGGTTAAGTCCACTCAAAGGCGACTATGGGCTTGTGGCGCTCATCTTGCTTTCAGGCCGAGGGAGCCGGCATTTGTCCACAGACAGCTTTCCAGGTCATGGACCAGCATGACTAAACCGCTTCTGGCGCAATGGGACACCATGATGGAAGCCAGAGCACACAGAAATGCTGTTTACCTTCCCGCCAGAGCGGTACCTATTTATCTACTTGCAGTGATGTGCTTTAAAACTGCTAGATTGGCAGGAGCAGGGACAGAGCAACAGGAGCTCACTCCGTTGCGGGGATCCGACCCTGGTCAACAGACCCATACAGGCCCACAGCCCTTTATGTTTATGTTTGTTTGTCTGTGTGTTTGTTTGTTTGTTTATAATATTGTGAAAATTAATTTTAAAAAATTGGAAAGAAACCAAAAACATACAGGCCCACAGCGGCACCTGTCCACAGTCTTCACTGGGAAGAATTGCATTTCTATTGAAACTGCAGTAACAGAACCCCCTTCCGAATCCTCGCCCTCTTGGATTTCTGACCCACATGTCCATTGGAGGGTGTAAACATTGTGGTTGTAGAGCAAGGCAGCGAAAAGTCTTCAAAAACAGAACAGGCAGGAAAGTCGATCGGTGGTTGGAGAGCGACTGTGGTTGCAACTTACAGCATTGGCAAAAGGGAGGACAAAGGAAGAGGCCGATCTATGCAAAAACTGCATGTGCTAATGTATATGTAGGGATGCCACTTTAGAAGTAATGACTGTAGTTCAGGCAGAAGTAAATAAAACCCTCACCATAACGGGGAAAGCCAAAACCAAGAGGTCTCAGGCTCAGGCAGTTCAAAGCCCCCTTTCTCCAGGGCTCTTTATCTTGAAACCAGACAAGCCTTCAGAGAGGAGATGCCTTCAAAGTGAGGGCTGCTCCCTGTCAAGGAGGCCACCCTTAGCAGTGTTGTAGCCCGTCTGTGAGTGCATGACATGCTGTCGGGTGCACTGATATCCCCTTCAACACTCGCCTTGTCTCCTCGTCCTTCTTCCCATCACTATAGGAGAAAGAAGCAGGCGACGTTCACACATTCACATTTAAAGTGCTATGGGTCATGGCTTCCCCCAAAGAGTTCTGGGAGTTGTAAAGTGTGCTGAGACTTGTCAGGAGGTGCCCATTTCCTTCCCCAGAGCTACAATTATATAAGAGTTCCTTGGAAGAGAGATTGATTGTTAAGCCACTCTGGGAATTGTAGATCTGCAAGGGAAACGGAGGTCTCCCAGCAATTCCCAGCACCCTTAGCAAACGACAGTTCCCACAATTCTTTGGGGCAATCCATGACTGGTCTGCGTCAGCTTTGAACTGTCAGGGCACCAGTACAGTGGTACCTCAGGTTATGTACTTAATTCGTTCCGGAGGTCCGTACTTAACCTGAAACTGTTCTTAACTTGAAGCACAACTTTAGCTAATGGGGCCTCCTGCTGCTGCCGGAGCACAATTTCTGTTCTCATCCTGAAGCAAAGTTCTTAACCTGAAGCACTATTTCTGGGTTAGCGGAGTCTGTAACCTGAAGCGTATGTAACCTGAAGCGTATGTAACCTGAGGTACCACTGTATACGAGATGTCTACAGCAGTCTTTCTGTCAGGCTATAGGAGAAATAAATGTACAAAGAAATGGTGCTTGAGTATGCTTTTTACCTTCTTCTTTTGAATCCATTTTCCTTTTGTGTCCTGGTATTCAGAATGTAAAGCAGGGACTGTCTACTCATGGGCATTTGTAATTCACCCAGAGAGGGAAATTGGGGTCTCCTAACAATCTTCAGCACCCTTAACAAACTACAGCTCCCAGAATTCTTTGATGGAAGCCATGAGTGTTGAAAACAGCATTACAGCACTTTCAGTGTATAGTCTGAATACAGCCCATGTCCTTACAGGCGGATGGAGAACAGGCAATCTTATATTGTGAGTCTGCTGCTTTATAGCATCAGCGAGGTGATGTCTTCATTTTAATAGACCTGTTTCTACAGCATCTTAAGAAGGTTGCCCCTTTTATATAAAAAAACAAACCAAACCAAACAAAGCTTCCATCCTGGAAAAAAGCTGCAGAAACCAGCCTCACGCAACCAGTAGGCGTTTCAAAAGCCGGGCCCTATGTCCAGCTCATTCATGCAAATTGCACACAAAACAGCATGAGCAATGTACAAGATTAAGCATGCAAATAAGTCACAGCTCTCTGGCTGCCAAAGCATTTCCATGGCGGCCTTCCTCCATGTGTAGCTGGCCAGCCGGCCATCACTGGGAGCTGTAGTCCACAACATCTGGAGAGAACTGTGCTGATAATCCCTGCACAGAAAGTAGAAGCAATGATGTTCCTTAGGATGCAATCAGAAGTCAAGAGCTGCCTTCTTCCATTTACTAAAGAAGCCCCCCTGACTCTCTGGTGCCTTATCTGACATCCTGCCCACCATCACCCTAACACTCCCGAAGCCAGCTAAAAACCACATCCATTCCAGGTACGCCCAGCACCTAGACAGAATCAGGACCAGCTGTGCTTCAAACCTGCCTGACAGGGTCCCTTCCCTCCCCTCCCCTCCTTTCCTCTCCTCGCCCATCTCAGCATCCTTGTTCAGGGAAATGTAAATATGCACCCATTTAAATGTTCTATGCCAACAAAATATGCACCCATTTACATGTTCTATGCAAACAGCAGCGTCTGCCTCCCTCTCTCTTTCTCTGGACAAAGTGGCAAGCCCCAGTCTTAGACAATAGGCTGTTTTAAAAATGTGCATACATTTAAATGAATTAACATATGCAAATAAACAGCTACTGAGTTCTCCTTCCCGTCTTGCTATTTTGGGTAAGGCTGGCAAAACCCACACATTTACATCATCAAAAGGGCTGCAGAATCGCAGGTACTGGGGATTCATCCCCGCTGAGCTCAGTGGGAGTTGTTTCTGAGTAAACCTGTTTAGGATTGCTAGAAGTGTGACATTTCCTTAATCCAGGCTTCGTTCATCTGGTGCCTTCCAGATGTTTGGGACGATAACAGCCATCAGCTTCAGCCAGAACCTGTGCCAGTTCGAGAAAAGCTGAGTCCTAAAATTAATATTATGAAAAGGCTGGAAATTGGAATATTTCGGAACATATGCACACCTTAAGATTCTGAAGTTTAATAACTGCCTCAGGGCCTGGGAAGTGTAGCACTGTATTGGGACAGGGGGTGTAATCTTCAACTGAGTTTGAAACACCCTCATCAAGCTGAAATACCCATGAGTCTCAAAACAATTTAAATCTGTGGTCCATTCCATATGGAGAATCTGCTGGCCAGTGGCCAATTGAGTCCAGCATCCTGTTCTCACAGAGGCCAACCAGATGCCTTGATGGGAAGCCATCAAGTAGGACTCAAACACAACAACCTTCTCCCTTCTTGTAGTTTCCAGCAACTGATCTCAGGACCTGGAGGCACAGCAAAACCCCTGTGGCTAGCAGTCGTGGATAGCCGTCCTCTCCATGAATTTGTCCGATCCTCTTTTAAAGCCATCCAACCTGGTGGCCATCGCTGCCTCCTGTGGCAGTGAGTTCCATAGTTTAACTATGTGCTGAGTGGAGAAGTGCTTTCATTTGTCTGGCCTGAATTTTCCAGCATTCAACTATGTTGGATGTCCACAGCTAGATAACTAAGGGGCCACATGTGAAAAGTTTATCACATTATGAGAGAGTGTATCAATAAGATTATTGATATATAATCTTGGGTTAGCTATGTCGTAGTTTTCATGATGCTACAACATATAGCTCACCCAAGGGAATATAAACTGGCTGGAGCTTGTGGGAGCTGTAGTTCAAAATGTCTGCAAGACACCAGGTTGGGGAACTTTGTTCTAGGCCAGTGCTTCCCAGATTTGGGTCTCCAGCTGTTTTTGGACCACAATTCCAATCATCCTTGACCACTGGTCTTGCTAGCTAGGGATGATGGGAGCTGTAGTCCAAAAACAACATGGTTCCAGGCAGGCAGACAAAAGTATGCTTATCACGCAAAAATACGGTGTTAGTCATTCTGGAGCAGAAAAGCAAGATATAAAAGTAAAGGGACCCCTGACCATTAGGTCCAGTCGTGGCCGACTCTGGGGTTGCGGTGCTCATCTCACTTTATTGGCCGAGGGAGCCGGCGTACAGCTTCCGGTTCATGTGGCCAGCATGACTAAGCCGCTTCTGGCGAACCAGAGCAGCGCACAGAAACGCCGTTCACCTTCCCACCGGAGCGGTACCTACATATCTCAAAACAAATAATGAACTGCCCTAATGGTCAGAGGCAGTAGATAACCCCGAATGCCAGATATTGGTATCAGACCCTCCAGATGTTTTGAAAGACAACTCTCATCAGCCCCAGCCGGGAAGGGGCTATATTGGGTTGCTCTGTGACGTGTTTACTCAGGAGTAACACCTAGTTGAGTTTTTATTATTTTTATTGCATTTAGACCCCACCTTCTCTTCCAAGGAGCTTAAGGTAGCATCCAGTGTTCTCCCCCTGTTCAGTTCCCACAACAACCCTGTGAGGTAGGTTCAGCTAAGAGACAGCGACTGGCCTGGGGTCATCCAGTGATTTTCATGGCTAAGTGGGGAGTTGAACTGTGGTCTCTCAGATCCAGGTCCGACACTCTAACCCACTCTAACCGCTGCACCACAGTGGCTCAGTGAGTCTTACTCCCAGGTAAGTGGATGACTGCAGCCGATAGAGCTACAGAATTTGTTCCCAAAGACCAGCTATCAACAATGTACAACTACCACATCCCCATAAGTGGGATGTAATTTTTAAAGGAGGGAAAAATCAAGACGCTGTAAAATTAAAGCGACTCAAGTAAACCACACACCTTTCCCCATATCGGAGCTATAGCTGCAATTTGTAAATGAATTTGTAGGTGGGCAGGCGAGCGAGTCTTTAGACACCTACCAAAAATTAAGGTTTTTTGTATTTTTTTAAAAAAGGTAAATTAAACCAGGTTTGCTTTTCATGTCCAGGAATGTTAGAGATTTCTCCCATTTTGGTGGGAAGCCTAACTCAGAGAGTTTTTTGGAGTGGACTAGCCATCTCTGAAAGTAAACCCAAAGTCCACCCAAACTCACCGACACTTACAGCTTCAGTCAGATGCAGGCTTACTCAGGAGCAAGCCCAACTGGACTCAGCGAGACTTTTCATTTCGTTTCCTTTGGTTTTAAAGAAAGCCCACCTTTGCTGTAAACTGGGGCCTTCCCGGTCTGCCAGCTGAGATGGTCAGCACTTACCCACGAGTAGTCCCATTGCGCGAGGAAAAGCATCCGCTTTTGCGGATCGGGGCCGCTGTGGCTTGCAACCCGCTGCTGCTGCTGCTATGCCAGCGGATGTCTTAACCGCGTTTGCAAAAAGTGGTAACTACAGTATATATAAAAAACGGGGAGTGATTGCGTTCACATCACACCGCTTGGCTCAATCCGGATCGGAATCCCGACCAGCCCTTTTAAAATAATAGCAGACCAGAGGAAGCAGGCGGCGTAAAAACCGCTCCCGATCGCTCCTCCGTCTCCCCAGCAGTGCAGGTTCAGAGTGAAAAGGCGGCGGGGGTTTTCCGCAAAGCGTACAGCGCTTTAACCCCTTCCTCCCCGGCGGCAGCAGCAGTAGCACCCCGGTAGGCAGGCAGGAGATCCGCACACCGCCACCCCCCGGCCGGCAGCCCCTTCTCGTGAGCAGGAGAGGCGCCCCAAGCGCAGCAGCAGCAGATCCGGCTTGCAGTGTTGGGAAGGGTGCGAAGTTGTACCCGTTACGTGTCTAAGTGGGGGTTAGGAGGAGATCATTCAAGTCCAGAGGCAAAAAATTGCATAAGGGGCCAGAGACAATAACGCAAACAAAATGTCATTTTTGCTGGAAAATCACCCCCAAGTGGGGACAGTTGCTGTTGTGTTCATTTTCTGCTTGCGTTGCTTCCCTTTGGGGCATCTGCTTTGGGCACCGTGGGAACAGGATAATGAGCTAGATGGTCTGATCCAGCAGCCAGGCTCTCCATATAGGAAACCAGTCAAAGACGGGTCGTGTTGTGCTGCTAAACTGGGAGAGAGACACCCAAACCTCCCAAGGATTGCATCCGAGCTTAGTCCCACCCAAATCAGAGCAGACCCATTGAAATCGATGCACACGTGACTTATTTAGGTCCATTCAGTTCAATGGCTCTTATATATACTTTCAGCAGACTCCTGACCATGCCTACTCAGAGGTAAGTCTTACTGAATTCAAGGGAGGGGTCACACTTTTAAGTTAATCCTGCATTAGTGTGCTGGCTTTGTATTTCAGGTAACCTTTTGATGATTTTCTCCTCTTTTTATGCTGTTGCTGCCAGGAGAATTCGGGCAGAACAGTGCATTTATTATTATTATTATTATTATTATTATACTTGTTTTGATTTTTCCGTGCCCTGTGTATTATATTATGCAGTACGAATGTGTTGTGTGTTAGCCCGCTGGCGAAGGGCGGTATAGAAACCCTAATATAATAAATAAATGGGTGGCTGCACTTACCTTGCAAAACAGCCGTGCTCTTTCCTTTTCCTATCTCTATGCCCCGCCTTTGCTTCTAGTATTTTTTGGGTTCGGGGAGGGGGCAAGACACGGTGTTATTATCCTATCAGAGCTGGTGCAAAGACAGCCCCCCAACACACACACACACACGATTCTGCCACCCATCATACTTTTCTATTGGGGCGGTCGTGGAGAAACTCCAGAAGGAACCAGGAAGTTCCGTCTCCGGCAAAAGGCGTTGCTTATCCCTTTTTTTTCTTTCTATAGTATCTCTACGCACATACAAAAGCGTCTCTACGCATGCGCCGCTTGAAGTCCCGGACGTCGCTTCGCTTCAGGGGCCGCCTCCGCTCACTTTCACGCGAGATACCGGGAAGCCTCGCGGGAGCTGGATTCAGCGGGAGCCGGGAAGGATTGCCGCCATGACCTCCGCTTTGGAGAACTACATTAACCGTATCCTTCCGCGGGCGGCCTGTCTGTCGGGAGGGGGGGCGCGCTGCATTATGAGACCGGGCGGGGGGACGACACACTGGTTTGAAGCGGAATTCTGCGCCTGCGCGTTAACGCTCCTGCTTTTCCTCGGTTACACGCGAGAATTTCCATCCTTTTGTGGGCTGGGTTGCCTTGGGTGGGATGCGCGCAGCCACTTCCGCTGCTCTTCTTTTCTTTTTTTCTTTTTTTAAATGGTTTTTAACCATTTGAAGCCAGCCTCCATCCATCTTCTCCCCTCCAGAAGGTTTGGGATACAGGTACTCCCCGTTCGACACAAAGAGGGAGCGGTTTTGGACTACAACTCCCATCAGCCCTTGCTAGTTAATCATCCAAGATGGCTGCTCTAGCTCGGGGTCAATGGGAATTGTGGTCCAAGATTGGCTGGACTTACTAGGGGTTGATGGGTATTGCATAGTTGTCAACTTTCAAATTTGAAAATAAGGGCTCAGCAGCCTTGAAAATAAGGGATCGGCAGCCTCACCTGTCCCAGGGACAGTCTACGGGATATCTAACAATCCAGGAAAGCGGTGGTAAACGGCGCTGGAATAAGGGAATTTTCCACAAAAAAGGGAAGGTTGACAGCTATGATATTGTAGTCTAAGATTTGCATCTCAACAGCAAGGGCACCCCCCCCACCACACACAAAAAATCCTTAAAACAGGTGGGGCATGGGAAACCTTTTCTATCGGCTTTGGTGATTGCAAGAGGTTGAATTTCTCACTCTTTCCTCAGTTCTTTGTGTTCTGTGCCCTCCTGGTCTACACACCTCTTCAACCTCACACTCAGCTTCTTAAAAGGCACTAAATCCAGAGGAAACTCCTTTTCCTGTTGTTTATATGTATGTTGTTTCAAAATATTTCTTTAACTTGAGTCTCAGGTACTGTTGCTGTAATTACTTCAGACGGCCGAATGATTGTGGTAAGAATTGCTTGTAAATATAAGTCTTACCCTGTTTTTAAATATGTAAATGATTGGAAATGTTTTGTACTAGATTATACTTACGTGGGAAAATAAAGCCCTGATCTTTTAAAGGCGGTTGAGTTGTATTTACAGGAATACACAAGTAGTTCTGTAAGCAGAGTGGCACTTAGGAACACAGGAAGCTGCCTTCTACTAAGTAAAACCATCTAGTTGGTCCATCTAGCTCAGTACTGTCTCCACTGACCAGCAGTGGTTCTCCAGGGTTTCTGGCAAGGGTCTCTCTCCCAGACCTACCTGAAGATGACAGGGATTGAATGTGGGCTTTTCTGCATTCAAACAGATGCTCCAAACACTGAACTATGGCCTTTCCCTCAGACTTTGAAGTAGATGCTTAGGCTGCACACATATCTTGGCTTTTGCTGGACTGCAAGTTGTAATACAATTCATCAGACATGTCAAGTAAAAATGTTCTGAATTAGGTGCCACTGACCTTAGTGCTATGTGGTTATAGGCAATTTACTAGAAGTGAGCATTTTGCCCAGGTCCTTGCTGAAAATAACTTAATATTACTTCTGCAAAATATGTCTATCCTAGAAGAGCTGGAAACTTGTTTGAGAGCTGAACAGATACAAATTTTGCAGGAGATATATAAATATCAATGACAGCAAGTTGCAAATCAGTGACCACTGTTCTCAAAAGCCTTATCTTCCTACTTTTTAAGGCTGCTGTTTGGGAAAAACAAAAGAACCCATGGAAAAATGAATTGCATTGATAAGTTAAAATCACTTAGTGAAGGGAGTTCCTCTGAAGGGTTACGTAAAAAATCTTTTAATCATTAAAGCTTTATCATAGTAAGTGGTGTAATGTTGTGTTTAGGACATGTTTATGAATTGAGATAAATATTGAGAATTTGGAGTACTTCATTGTTTTTCAATTTACATTTTTATTTCTTAAAGGGAACTCTCAAGGGTTTTGATCAGACCATCAACTTGATTTTGGATGAAAGCCATGAAAGAGTGTTCAGTTCTTCACAAGGAGTGGAACAAGTAGTATTGGGATTGTACATTGTAAGAGGTGATAACGTGTAAGTTTGCCTCACCCTCCTTTTTTTTTTTTAATAAGGTAATGCAATCTGAGCTAAAGTAGCAAAGCATTTGCTTAGCTCTCAAGGGGCCAGATTCAACTAAACAGTTGTGCTAGTTAGGTACAGCGCAAGTAGTCCCACCAGCACAACATACATTCACACACTTGTTCACTTTCTGTCCCCCAGGTTGGCTCTAATGGGGTCAGGAGAACCCCCAGAACAGCACATGGGGTGATTGTTCCACCTGGCAAAAAGAAGTCAAGGACCTTACATGTCTGATGAAAGTACAATCCATTCTTTTCCAGGTGGATATCAGAGAATCAGAGTTGAAAAGGACCAGGAGGGTCATCTAGTCCAACCCCCTGCAATGCAGGAATCTTTTGCCCAACGTGGCAACCCACAACCCCAAGATTAAGAGCCTCATGCTCTTCCCTCCTGAGCTACTGTAGCTTGACATTATTTCAGAAAGTTTCCCTTTTGATGTCTCTGTTTTATAGTTCATAAGTAACTATAACAATAGATTATATATCCAACAAAATCATGTCCAGAGTAGACCAATTGAAATAACCTGCTAAGTTTTTCTGTGCTGTATGTTAGGATAAAAAGATACCGTACTGTTCTGTGTATAAGACTATGTTTTTTTACTCTAGAATAATGTTCAAAATCTGGGCTCGTCTTATACACAGATAGTATCTCCCTCCATTTTCTTAAATGGGAGTGTCTTATACATGGGGGCATCTTATAGATGGAAAAATACAGTACTTGCTGAGTGGAAGAAATATTGTTTCAGCCTATCAACTTTGTTTCAGAGCTGAAGCATTTCACCTGCAGGAGTTTACAATACAGTACTTTTCTTTTCTTATAGGGCTGTAATTGGAGAAATTGATGAAGAGACGGATTCAGCCCTTGACTTGGGGAATATCCGAGCAGAACCTCTGAACTCAGTTGTACACTGAAGAAAGAAGTGTGTATAAAAGGACTTCAGAAATATCTGGCTGTACAAAACTATTTATAGGACGGCACGGCTACTTTTCTTACAAGTTGAGGGTAATTTTGTGTGTTATGGTTTGATATGTATAATAAAGTCTACATTTTATTGAAGCCTTGTGAACTTTTTTTTTTTAAAAAAAACCCATGACGCATTAAAATAATAGTAACCTTTAAAGTAGTCTTGCACTACATTTCTGACTTCGTAAAGTAAGCATGTACCTGGTGTGTGCGCTGGCTGGGGCTTATGGGAGTTGTAGTCCGAAACATCCAAAGCACACCAGGTTGGCAAAGCCAGAAATAAAATGCAACAACACACACTGCTTATCTCACTGTGACTAAAACTCAGACTGGGGAAGAAAAGGGTTCCCTATCCCTGCATTATAGGGAAGCACATGACTTGGGGATGATTCTTGTTTTGACATCTCCAGACCTTTATCAGAACTGGAGCATTGGAAGGGACCCCAAGGGTCATCTAGTCCAACCCCCTGCTATGCAGGAATTGCAGCTAAAGAAAATCCCTGACAGGTGCCCCCCCCCCAATCTCTGCTAAAAACCTCCAATGAAGGAGATTCCATCACCTTTTGAGGGATACCATTCCACTATCCAACAGTTCTTACTGTCTAGTTCTCGTTCAGCATCATCAATTTGAACTCCTTTTACTTCCATTTCAAAAGTTTGATTAGAAATCCTACTATTATTTTTTAAAGCTAAAGGCTTATTCTGACAAATTTATCACCACTTGCTAGGAATCTCTTAGGGACCCTTTGCCATCCTTGGTTGCCATTATAGCACAATTATAGCCATAATCACACAACTGACCAGATTAGCCGCAAACAGCTGCCCAAACTCAGCACTTTTAGTTTTTTTTAAAAAAAGTTCCCCATCGCATCATTTTATGTGTTACATTTATATCCCACCTTTCTTCGAAGGAGCTCAATGTGGCATGAACGCTTTGACCCCCCTCCATTTTTCCTCACAACAACCCTGTGAGGTAGGTTAGGCTGAAAGTCAGTGATGGGCAGGGAGATTAATGGCTGAGCAGGGATTTAGAACCCTGGTTCTCCCAGGTCTGACACTAACCACTATACCACACTGGCTCTCTGTTTAGTATTATAAAAATGAATTTCCTACTTGTAGATGGCACATGTGTTTGCGGAGCAGTCTATAGCCGATGAAAGCTTATGCCAGAATACATGTGTTAGTCTTTAAGGTGCTACATGATTCTTTGCTGCAAGAGACTAGTATCTCAGGTCCAGCTTTCAGGCTTCCCAGAGACATCTAATTGGCCACCAGAGACATCTAGTTGCCCAATGTGAGAACAGGAAGCTGGGCGAGTTGGACCTCCAGCTTCAGAGCTCTTGTGATGTCCTCAAACCAGCAGCTTCAAAATCTGCTCTTCCGGTCATGGTTATTCCTTCCTCTGCTGTACTCCGCACAAAGCACCATTACTGGGTGAAGCTTTTCCGATTTCCTCGCTGTTGTGACGCCTCATCTGTCCCACTCGGACTGTTCTACTTCCAGCTGCTCTTCCTGTGCAACTGAGAGGAGGAGAGCTCTGATGTCAGGTGCCTCTGAAATGCAGGAAGGGGCGTGGGATACAGGATATGTAAGATGATGCGATTGTGGAGAAAGTGGATCAGGCAGAAAACTCATATTGCTAGAATTCAGGGCCAGTCAATGAGGTGGAATGGTGGAAAATACAGTGGTATCTCAGGTTACATATGCTTCAGGTTGCAGACGCTTCAGGTTACAGATTCCGCTAACCCAGAAATAGTACCTCGGATTAAGAACTTTGCTTCAGGATGAGAACAGAAATCGTGCGACGGTGGTGCGGCAGCAGCAGGAGGCCCCATTAGCTAAAGTGGTGCTTCAGGTTAAGAACAGTTTCAGGTTAAGAACGGACCTCCGGAACGAATTAAGTACGTAACCAGAGGTACCACTGTACAGGAAAATGCAATATGCTACGCACACACATGTAAAATAACAGACTGCAAAATATAAATAAATGCATAATTTTTGTTTTGCTCGCCATTGTGAAATGCTATGGACAGCCATTCAAAATCTTCAGTTTCTCGGTACTCCACAGGCCACATTCAAGCATATCTTCTCCCCCATATGGACTAGAAACTCGCCTTAAAAAATTGAAACAGCTTCTCAGTAAGCCAAATAATTCTCAGTGGGTCGTTCCCCCCCCCCAGTGCTCCTGCGGAATTAAGACCTTGCCCTTTCTACTCCCCTGTCCCCCAAGAGTTGAAACAAGCTCTTACCTTGCTTCTGCAGGTGAGATCTCCTCGCAAATGGCCATAGCTACTTGTGCTGCCTCTGCAATACAGGGCATTCTCCGCCCTCAGTTCTCGGATTCGTCTCTGCAGGTGCTGCAGCAGTCTTGGGGTGCTGAAGAGGCGCTGGCTGGAGAAAGCGTCTGCATTCAGCGCCGGAGAACAGAGTGGGCCGGGGTGCAGGTATTCATTTCGGCCCTGCAGAAAGCAGGTAGGAGAGAGGAAGGAAAAGCTGTAAAATGCAGCAGAAAGGACTGAGGTCATCAATTAGGGGAGACAAACATCAGGCAGGGTGACGCCCTCCAGGGCTCACTCTGGCCTGCCAGACTCTCCCCAAGGATACAGCCCCCTCAAGTGCTTTTGTCTGGCTAGAGTCTGTTCTGCAATTGTGTCCCTTGGGTGGGGGGCAGAGAGTGGAAACTAACCTACCATACAAAGGTAAAAAAACTCATGTGTTGCCCCGCCCACTTTTGCCTTGGGCTCCGCCCACCACGCCCCAAGATGGCTGCCCAGACTTCATATCCAGGTCAGACCAGTGGCCCATCTAGATTGGAATCATCTGCACTGACTGGCAGCAGCTCTGCAGGATTTCAGAAGGAGTCTCTCCCGGCCCTACCTGGGATTGAACCGGGGACCTTTTGCATGCAAGGAAGATGCTCTGCCACTGAACCACAGCCCTTCCCATATGCTCTAGCACTGGACTGCAGCCTTGCTGGACAAGAGGGGTGCATGGAGGCAGTGGCTCAGTGTGCACAGAGCAGGGGTCCCAACTCTCACATTGCCCAAAGGGGGCAGGCCTTTGCCAAACGCCTCCCAAGCACCCCTTCCCCTTTACCATGCAGAACTGTCTGAATTCTGAACCGGATGCCTCCAGGTTCCTGTGAAAATCCATGGGCTTGTCCCTGGACAGGCACCTGCAAGGGGAGAGAGAAAGCCGCAAAACCTCTCACCATGGTGTAACCTGTTCTCCCAATTGATGTGCACTTTCCGATAGCTCCTGGGGTCCTCACCTCTCCACCTCCGCCTCCAGCTCCTCCTTAAACTCACTGGCCAGTTGGCAGGATGTCCGGCCCTTCCCAGAGGCCACACTTCTCTGGCTTTGCTGCTCGCCGTCCTTCTGCAGCTGCTGGCGCAGCGATGCGTCTTCCTTCCCCACCATCTCCTTCACCCAGCTGCTCTGCAAGGTGGCGATGTCTTCCAGGTGCTCCTGAAGGGGAACCGGATTGCCCTGGCTCAGTGGCAGAGCTTTTCACGGAGAAGGGTGCTAGAAGATCTGGAATGACCCCTGCCTGAAACCTTGGAGAGCTGCCAATGGTCTGACTCCCCAGCAGAACTTGCAGGCTTGGCAAACATTTTCACCGCCAAGCATCAACCAAGCATCAATCCATGCTGCCACAGATGGTGGCTGACCTTTGTCCGGAATGGTTGGCTGATGTTCCATCAAATGGGACAGGAACTGGGCTCCTGACAGCTGGGAATGGCTTCCTAGCCTTTGGAATGAGAGTCCCACCAGCTTACAGGGATGTGTTCAGCCCCACCAAACAACAGCACCTCTCCCCTCCTGCTCCTTTCCTTCTGACCGTGGAGCCATCCTCTCCATGAATTTGCCTAATCCTGTTTTAAAGCCATCCAAAATGGTGGCCATCCCTGCCTCAGGGCCACTAATGAAGCTGGAAGGTTCCAGGTAGAAAAGAGAAAATATTTCTTCAAGCAGTGCATAGTTAGAACTACGGAACCTGCTCCCACCAGTTCTAGAATTATAGAAGAGCTTTACTTCACTGACTATTTTATAATTTTAAGAAATTCTGTGTATGATGAAAATTTATTTTTCTTTACATGTGCAGCTGTGGATAGGTGCTCTTTTAAACCCAGGTCCTCTGATCAGAAGGTCGGCGGTTCAAATCCCCGTGACGGGGTAAGCTCCCGTTGCTCGGTCCCTGCTCCTGCCAACCTAGCAGTTCGAAAGCACGCCAAAAAGTGCAAGTAGATAAATAGGTACCGCTCCGGCGGGAAGGTAAACAGCGTTTGCGTGCGCTGCTCTGGTTCGCCAGAAGCGGCATAGTCATGCTGGCCACATGACCTGGAAGCTGTATGCTGGCTTCCTCGGCCAATAAAACGAGATGAGCGCCGCAACCCCAGAGTCGGCCACGACTGGACCTAATGGTCAGGGGTCCCTTTACCTTTACCTCTGACATTGCATGAAACACAGCGGTTTAAATCCAGAGGAAGGCAGCCACAGCTGCACAGAGCTATTGGGAGCGGGGGGCGGTTTTTGCTCACCTGGACTAGTTGCTCCTTCAGATGATCTAGAGCCGACTGGTTCTCCAGGTGAAGCTTCTCCTGCTGCTGCCTCAGCTCCCGTTCCTGACATGGCAGAAAAGTCACAGCAGTTGGCCAATTAGAGGACTGCACTTGGAACAGATGTATCAAAAGCTGCCTCCTACTGAGCTGGGGCTATATACTCCACTCTGGTGTTCTGGGCTCTGGCCGGCAGCCAATTTCTCTCCCATCATTAATGGAGCAAACCTGTTTGATCCCACACCCTCCTTGCTCAGTGGCCCCCAGGCTGCCTTAGTTATATCCCACCCCCAGCCAAGAGATGGCAGCTCAACCCCATTCACCTTCTCCCTCTGGGTCTGAAGGGCCTGGTGCCTTTTCGCCTCTGCCTCGTGCTTCAGTTCTCGGAGGTAGTGCTGAGTTTCCTCCGTCACCTCTTGCAAGGCCCGGAGGGCGTGGCTGGAGGAGAGGAGCGCTGGCTTCCTTGGGGGGTGAAGAGAGGTAGCCTGAGATAGCGGCCAGGACTTCCAGGGTCTTTGGGGGAAAGCGCAGTCACTTAGCAGGTCACCCCCCCCCCCCAAAAAATTCACACAATCCCTTCCTCCGTGTAAATGCAACGCACGAACAGAGGAGTTTGGATTTGGATTTGATATCCCGCTTTATCGCTACCCGAAGGAGTCTCAAAGCAACTAACATTCTCCTTTCCCTTCCTCCCCCACAACAAACACTCTGTGAGGCGAGTGGGGCTGAGAGACTTCAGAGAAGTGTGACTGGCCCAAGGTCACCCAGCAGCTGCATGTGGAGGAGCGGAGACGCGAACCCGGTTCCCCAGATTACGAGTCTATTGCTCTTAACCACTACACCACAGGCTGCAAAGCCACAGGCCAATGTGAGACTGTGGGGAAAAACAAGGTACTCCCATGGTTTAGCAACTGGGCTGTTGGACTCATCCCCAGCTGGCTGTGAAAATCACTGCGTGGCCCATTGGCTGAAAGAGAGAACACAACTGTCCCGGCCTGCCTCACAGGGTTGTTGTGAGGATAACATGTTGGGTGGGGGGGAAACTGTGTGCCTGAACTCCTTGGGGGGGGGGATGGGCAGGCTAAACATGGGCCATAGATAAGATGCCCAACTCTCTGATAGCAACAAATAATATTTTAAGGACTTCGAAACCAGATTTGGCCCCCTGGACCTGAGGTTTGCCCTCATTCCAGTCAATGAGGATTGTAGTTAAAAAAAACAACTTTTTTTTTTAAAACACCCAAAAGACCAGAAGTAAAACTGGGATATAATAGGTTTTGAATTACCCAAGAAAGATGTAAAGTTATTTTTGTATGCCACAACTGCTGCTCGAATTTTAGTAGCCAAGAAACGGAAAACACAAGAATTACCAACTGTGGAAGAATGGCAGATGAAAATGATGGACTATATGGAGTTGGCTGACCTTACTGGAAGAATCCACGACCAGAAAGAAGAGGAATACCAAGAAGAGTGGAAGAAATGTAAAGACTATTTGAATAAATATTGTAATATTAAAAATTAGAAATTACTTGAAAGTACCAAATAGGCCTAGGATTAAATTAGGAATTAGTTAAATAAATGAGATCTAGAACTTTAAGAAAAGTTAAGAAAATGGATTTTAAATGGAATATTGTGTGTTAATAATGATATTAGAAAACTGCTACATTCAAATACAAGGAAATTCAGATGGGAGGGGCCAGAGGAAGTAAAAAATATGTTTATGAGGTTAGGAGATTAATTAACCAATTAATTTGTGTTGTTTAGGTGTTTGTTGTTATGTTTTTATTTTCTTTTTTGTTTAGATTTGTGATTTTGTTTCTTTTTTCTTTGTTGTAGTATGTGTTATATTTGTAAGAAACAATACAAATTATTTTTTTAAAAAACAAAAAACCCTGTAAACTGTATATGCAGACAACAGGAAGGTGTGAAGCTATTTTGGAGAAATAAAAGCAAAGCCTCCCCACCCCCTGAAATCAGGTTGCAGAGCTAAAAAAACAACAACCAAAGACAGAGGTGATGGGGGAACCATGGGCTGAGATTCCCTCATTGCAGGGGGTTGGACTAGATGCCCCTCAGGGGTCCCTTCCAACTCTGCCATTCTATGAATCCATGAAAGGCAGGAAGCTAGAAAGTGGCTAGGGCTGGTGGAGGCGAGATAAAATATAAAGAACTAATTTCAACCCAGGAAGAGTTCCGTGTTTCTGCAAAAGCAATGCCATTCAGGCTTCCTCCCCACAGGATCCAACTTGTACCCTTGCAGTGTCTGGGCCAGGCCAGCCTTTTGGGGTAGCAGGTCCCGGAGTCTCTGGCATGCTAAGGCAACGTCCCTGGCCAGAGAGTCGTCAGCCCTTGCAGTCTGTGCCTGGGACGTCTCGCGCTGCTCGGCCAGCAGGAGGCGCTGCTCTTCCTCCGTCCGCTGCAACTGCATTCGCCACTTTTCCTTTTCCTAGGCAGAGAGAGAGACAGAAACCACGCTGCCTTGATGAGAGATCACTGATGCACCCCAGGTTTGTCACAGCTAACATTTACAGTGGTACCTTGGGTTGCATACGCTTCAGGTTACAGATGCTTCAGGTTACAGACTCCGCTAACCCAGAAATAGTACTTCGGGTTAAGAACTTTGCTTCAGGATGAGAACAGAAATCGGCGCAGCGGCAGCGGCAGGCCCCATTAGCTAAAGTGGTGCTTCAGGTTAAGAACAGTTTCAGGTTAAGAACGGACCTCCGGAACGAATTAAGTTCTTAACCCAAGGTACCAGTGTACATGGTATCAGTGTGGAAAGGCTAAAAGGTCCCAGGTTCTTTATTTTAATATATATAAGTTTTATTAAATTTTCTGTTTTACCATTTAAAGTACTCATTTTTACATCCTTAAGTGTAATGGTTCTAGGGGTTGCTCGTGCGTAAGCCGGTGCAAACACCTTGCTGGGTTGCCTGAGTGAACCTTTTCTGTCCGGACAGCCACTCACCCGTGGCTGTCTCAATCGCTGGCAGAATCCGTCAGTGGGCGTTTCTTAAACTTCTTCCAGCAAAGAAGCTCTTTGACGCCTAGTCTCCTCCTACTCTCTCTGCACAAAAGCCTTCTGCGCAAGGAGGGCGTGGGCAACGGAGGACCCCTACTCTCCCCGCTGGTCCCCGGCAAGGAGTCATGGGACCGCCTCGCCGCTTCCCCCGTCTGCCCCCCTTCTCCACTGGTGCTACGCTGATTCTCTTCCCCAGAAGATGGGCTGCCTCTCCCAATCCTGGAACGCTCTCTGGAATCCCTCTGGATCTTGCTGTCTCCCTCCGGCACTGATGGCAGTTCCCTGACATCCAGATATCAGTGACTTCCCTTCTTCTCTTTCCATGGATCATTTTACATATCTTGAATCCCTGCATGTTTTACAGAAACTATACCATTAAGTACTCCATTATTACACCCATCATAACTTATTTACACTGTTGAATTTATCTTAATGCTGCCAGCGTTTTCAGCTGTACGAGATTATTTCCCATATATTCCACAAACGTTTTCCAATCTTCTCTAAACGTATGTTCTTCTTGTTCTCTTATTCTATATGTTAAGCCTGCGAGCTGCGCATATTCTGTCAACTTAAGTTGCCATTCTTCTTTGGTTGGGACCTCGCTCATTTTCCATTTTGGGGCTAACAAAACACAAGCCGCAGTCGTGGCATACATAAACAACCTTTTTTGACACCTGGGAATTTCAGTCTGAATTATCCCCAATGAAAAGGACTCTGTTTTTTGGAGGGGAAGTACTTTTAAACATTTTTTTTCAATTCATTATGGATCATTTCCCAGTGCTCTTTTACCTTTTTACAAGTCCACCACATATGGAAGAACGTTCCCTCCACCTCTTTGCATCTCCAGCACTTATCTGATTCAGTCTTACACAAGGTCCCAGATTCAGTACCCAATGGCTGAGAATGTCCCCTGCCAGAAACGTGGGAGAGCTGCTGCCAGTCAGTGCCAACAACACTGAACTAGATGGACCAACTTCCTATTTAATGCAACTGCTTCTTTTAAAAGAACCATAAGGACTAGAGTCTTGATTTATTTTTAGGCTAAGGGCAGTATAGTTCAGTAGAAGAGCACTTGCCTTGCATGCTAAAAAGGTCCCAGGTTCCATTTCCAATGGCATCTCCAGGTAGGGCTGGAAAAAGACTCCATGCCCAAAACTTCTGGAGAGCTGCTGCCAGTCAGTGTAGGCAATACTGAACTAGATGGATACTGAATACTGAACTACTGGTCTGACTCAGTAGAAGGCAGCTTCCCAGGCCACACCTGGCATCAGCCCAGGTCTGCATTCTCCTTTCCCCTTAGGCTTCCCACTTCCATAGCAGGTTGTGGGACTTCAGGGCTGTGCTAAGGTGAGGTTTTGAGGAGGAGAGAGGTGGAACTGCAAAGCCAAACTGTTGTTGCTGTTATAAGAATTCTAAGGTCCCAAATATAAATGTTCATAAATGTACAAGGCAAACACATACATAAGTATTTAACCACGTGTCTGAAATAGTACAGGGGAGCAATCCTGAAGCCAGCTTGACACTTCGAAATTGACCTCAAATATTTGTCTGCAAGGAGAAAGGAAATGGAAAAGCCTCCCCATTGTATTTTTGCTTACAAATCCTGTCCTAAGGGCATATTTGTGTATGAATAGGTTGAGCCTGGGACCTGGGACCCCAGAACTAAAGTATTAACCATCACAAAAGAATGGCCAGGCTGCCCAGGTAATGTAATCAGCGGCCATTATCAGGTATCCTGGCAGACAGCATTTCTGCTGTAGAACAACCTCCTTCTGTGATGTATGTAGGATGTTTTAGGGAGGTGGTCTTGGGCACCAGGGTGGGCGATTTCAAAAGTCTATATAACAGCTTGTGCACTATTGTTCTGGGTTCCTCCTCCCTCCTGCGTGTGGTGAGTGGGGACCCTGCTGCAACAGTTTAATAAAGATCAGGCTTACTAGCTGCTTTGCTTCTCAATATACTCTGGTTGGCCTCTGTTATTTTCTCCTAAGGACTCTGTACAGGCTCTTGGATACCCCATAAGGGAAAAGGAGCAGGTTTTTCCCTATAACATCCTGAAGCTACAACTCTTGTTTCTGGGGGAAGGGGATCCCAGAGTACATGAAGGGGTGCTTCTTCCCCGCTCACCAACTCCAGCTCTTCTCGCAGCCTCTTCAAGGCTTCTGCCTTCTCTGCTTGCAGCAGAGCCCGGAGGTCTTCCATGGCTCCCTTCTTCTCCCGAGCCTCGCCCTCCAACACCTGGATCCTCTAGGGCAGAAAAAAACACATCAGGAGAAGCTGTTTTAATTCAAACCTCCCTGTCCTACTTGCTCCTTCTCTCCTCTCAGGGGTGGGGGCCCTGCTTCAGCCCAAGGAGATCAGCCCCAGGGCTGTATCCCTTTGTAGACAACGCTTCCGGGGTCACATGCCACTAGAGGGCGGGGCAGAAGGCAAAAAGTGGGCGGAGCAACGACTCTTATCTTTGGACATTAGGCCATGCACAAACCAGGGGTTTCTCAGCTCTCCACTCCCCGCAAACACACACACACACACACCGTCACGGGGATTCAAACCACCGACCTTCTGATCGGCAAGTCCTAGGCTATGTGGTTTAACCCACAGAGCCACCTGTGGCCCTAAAATGGTTCATTTTACATAGCACTAAATCCCTGCATATTTTATATAAACTAAACCATTCAGCAGGGATATCTAACAGGTCAACTGCGATCTACTGGTCGATCCCTGAGAGGTTTTGTTGGATCGCGATCGGTTGCTGGGTCCTCCATCAGGCCCTTCGCCCCGCCCTCTAGAACGCTATACCGGAAGACGGATACCTCTCACTGTGAGGCGATCTCTTGGTGAGCAACTTTTTCTATCTATTCCTTCAGCCTGATCCCCCCCACAAATGGGGCTTCCCTCCCTAAAAAAGCTCAACAGCTTTGACCTGAACCCTCCCAAAACTGCCAGTTTTTAATTGTGTGAGTAGATTGCAGTCTCTTGGAAGTTGGCCATTCCTGCCATTCAGCATTCCATTGTTTCTTCCATCAAAATTTATTTACCCTGTTGAATTTATCTTAACGCTGCCAATGTTTTCAAGTGTACACAATTATCCCCCATATATTCAATAAATATTTTCCAATCTTCTTTAAACGAATGTTCTTCTTGTTCTCTTGTTCTCTAAGTTAGATCGGCAAGCTGCACATATTCCAACAGTTTAAGTTGCCATTCTTCTTTGGTTGGGACCTTGCCCGTCCTCCATTTTTGGGCTAACAAAAGACAGGCCACCGTAGTGGCGTATATAAATAACCTTTTTTGACACCTGGGTATTTCCATTTGAATTATCCCCAACAAAAAAGACTGTTTTTTGGGGAAAGGTGCTTTTGAATATTTTCCCCCCAATTCATTATAAATTATTTCCCAATGCTCTTTTACACTTTTAATTGATATCGCCTCTTTGTGGCCTGGATGACGATGTGTGTGCATAGGGAAAATATTTGCACTGCTGCAACGTTGCCTACAGAACAAAGGTACTGTTCTTCTGTCTCCCACTGGCATGCAGCTCCCATAGAAAGGAATGTGCCCCTCAAGACTGCAAAAGTTTCTTCCCGCCTGGTCCATGTGCATCCTTTTCTCTCCATCCCATTCCTTCTGCCAGCGGCTGTCACAGCATAGCTGCCAACCGTCCCTTATTTGGCGGGAAACTCTCTTATCCTAGCGCCGTGTCCCTCTGCTGTCCCGGATTGATGATATCCCTTAAATTTCCCAGGTTTCATGCTCGCCCGGCTCGGGAGGGAAGCAGTGACTCGGGGTCCTCCGCCGCGAGAGCGCGCGCACGAGCGTCTCCGTCTCTCCCTTTTCCCCCTCAGGGGCGCGTTGTGAGGAGACAGGTGGCGGTGGGCAGGCAGGCAGCCCCTCTCTTGCGAGACTTTCACCACGCTGCCAGGGGAAGCCGGAGGCGGCCTGAGGGAGGAGGAAGAGGAGGGGATGGGGAGGGACGCAGAAGGGCGGCGCTTCAGTGGCTGCACCGCAACCACCTCATGCCGGGCTCACGGGCGAGAGTCTCTCTCCCTCCCTCCTTCTCTCTCGGGCAGGGAAGGGTCGATGGAACTCCTCGCACCAGGACGACGGCAGCCCCAATGTGCATAAGCTAAGCAAAATCCCTTATTTTGGTTGCTGATCCCTTATTTTCGAGGCTGCTGGTCCCTTATTTTCAAATCTGTAAGTTGACAGCTATGTGTCACAGAGATCACAGAATCGCTCTCCTCTCTCAACAGCTACCTTGCGGAGGTCGGCTGCTTCATCCCGCAAGGCCAGGCTGAGTTTCCTCTCCTTCTCCAGGGCTTCCTGGAGTTCCCCCCGCATCTTCCGCTCCTGCTCCTCCAGGGCCTTGCGCTGCATCTGGAGGGCAGCCCTCGTCTCGGCCTCCCGGCTCTTCCGTTCCTGGAGCAGCGAGTTCTGAGCCTGAGAAGAACAGGGTAGAGCTATGATCCCCAGAGCAGTTTTCGCCATCGCTCCCTCTTCCCAGGGAACTCTGGGGAATTGCAGTTCTGTGAAGGGAACAGAGGGCCTCTCCTAACAACTCTCAGCACCCTTTTTTAAAAAATCGAAGCTAAAACATTAAACTGCAGGACTTTATTCACCATCAACAATGTGGATTTTTGCCCAAAAGACAGTTAAGAAATGCGTTAGATGTTTTGGAATATTTGAACTGTAGTTGTTTTTCAAATGTTTCAAACTGTTTTGAAATGTTCTTGCTTCCTTTCTATTTTAAAATCTGTTTGCCATAAGGAGGAAGAATGGGCTATAAATGCATAATAATAATAATAATAATAATAATGTACCCCTACCATTTCCTGAGCTTCCTGCTTTAGCTCCTTGGCTTGCTGTTCCATAGCTTTCCGCTGCTGGGCAATTTCAGCATTTCGCTCCTGGGAAGAAAGCGGAAAATAATAATAATAATAATTTTTTATTTATACCCCGCCCTCCCTGGTTCAAAAACCAGGTTCAGGGTGGCTAACAACAAATTTAAAACACTTAATTGTAAAAGCAGCATAAATACAGTATAAAAACATGAATAACAATAAAATTCAAAGTTCAGAAATCAATTTAGGGGAAATCCATCTAATAAGCATTAGATAATCACCAGGACTAGCTGGCTGAATTAGTCCTACTTGGGCCAGCGAGGAGGCCAGGGGAGAATTAGCTGTGGGGTCTCAGAGCGGGAAAAGCCCACAGAATTAAACCAGAACGGCGGTTAAACTTAGGACAGGGTCGAGAAGTCATTGCCGGCCTGAGAGACGCATTGCCATGTGAGCAATCTTCTGGGTGCTGCTTGTGAGTGGTAGGCGGGGCCAGAGCAAAAGTGGGCGGGGCCAGATGGCTTGACCTGAGGGCCAGATGAATAGGTGTGAGGGGCCACATTGGGTCTCTGGGCCTGCAGTTCTCCACCCCTGCCTTAAGAACCCAAGAATCCAGTTTGGACCAAGTCAGGCTTATGGTGTGGGGTTAAAAGGGAAGACACCCCACCAAACTTCCAAATTAACCCCTTGAGGGAAAAAGGTTGGGATACAAATGTTATTGCTAGCGCAAGAGCAGCCCAGCAGCAGCCCATGCCTCAAGGCATCGTGGGTAATAGCCACCTTTATGGTCTTGCGAAGGTCTTCTGCTTCTTTCTGAAATTTGGCCGCTTGCTCCTGGAGGGCTCTGGCTTTTGCCTGCTTCAGGCTCTCTGCAAGCTAAGAGAGAGAGAAAGGGGGAAATCAGTTAGAACATGCCACATTTCACACTGCTTTTGGTCACTCAAAGAGCCACTGCAAATAATAATAATAAATAATAATAATAATAATAATAATAATAATATAATATTTATACCCTGCCCTCCCCAGGGTGGCTAACACCAGATATAAAAACAATTGATTGAAATACAACTTTAAAAACAAGAGTAAAATACAACATTAAAATGCAGGCTCATTTCAGTAGAAACTCAAATCAAAAACTTTTGGGGGGATGAAAACGTCAAGTCTTCACCAAGGCTAACTATCCAGACTGGTCCTACGTGGGCCAGAAAAAAGCCAGGGAAGTCCCCAAATAGGAGTTCCATCACAGAAGGAGAAAGGAAAAAAGGGGGAGGGGATCAAGTTAATTCCAAGCCAAAGGCCAGGCGGAACAACTCTGTCTTACAGGCCCTGCGGAAAGAAATCAGATCCAAAACAACAACAACAACGAGAAATAATAATAAAAATATGCCACTCTGGGTGGCTTCCAACAAATTAAAACAAAATACAACATCAAACATTTAAAACTTCCCTAAACAGGGTTGCCTTCAGATGTCTTCTAAAAGTCAGGTAGTTGTTTATCTCCTTGATATCTGATGGGAGGGTGCCACTACTGAGAAGGCCCTCTGCCTGGTTTCCTGTAACTTCTCACAGTGAGGGAACCGCCAGAAGGCCCTCGGAGCTGGCTTAACGATGGGGGTTTATACTGAGTCAAACCATTAATCCAATTAACTCAGTAGTGCCTACACTGGCTGCCAGCCACTCTCTAGATTTTCAGGCAGAGAGTCTTTCCCAATCTTCCCTGAATATGCTGGATATCGAACCCGGGACCTTCTGCATGCAAAGCAGGTACTCTGTCACTGGGCTACAGCCCTTCCTTCAAAATAAAATAAGTTCCCAGTCCTCAAAGTTCTGAATTAAAGGGATGATTAAAATCAGAAGCTGCCTTACACTGAGTCAGACCATTAGCCTGTCTAGTCCAGTGCTGTCTACACTGACCAGCAGCAGCTCTCCAGGGTTTTGGACAGGGGAAACTGCCAGGAATGGAACCTGGAACCTTCTGCAAGCCAAGCAGATGTGAAGGGCCATTAGAATATTGTTCTATATATGATCCCAAAAACTGTTTGAGGCATTTTCCCCTCTCTCATATATTATCCCCAAATCACCTTCCTTAAAGGGAGGAGGGAGGTTTTTACACCAGCCAGAAGAACAAGGCTTTTTCTTCTTGCTTAGATGTTACAGTGAAAATGGGCCTCTCTCTCTGGAATGTCTGGCCTAGGAGGGTAGAGATAAGAGCAAGGTTGAATGGGTGTTATTGTAACCCCAGAGGGAGGCTGAAAAGGAGGAGGCGAACTGAAAAGGAGGAAGGTAACACAAGAAACAAAACTATATCTTATTATATACATGTGAACATGTGTCTATGCATTCTAAGGGGTATAAAAAGCTGGCACGCTCAGAACTGGGTGTGCAGATTGCCAGCTTATCGCGCTGTGCCTTTGTCCTGCATATGCATTTCAAATAAATCCTTTTGAATCCCGCAAGGTTGATTGCCACTTTGTGTGAATCTGTGCTCCGGGGACCCAATGGCAAATATGGAACAAGTCCAACAGATGCCCTGCTCTTCCCCCCAGCAGCACCCACAAAAAGATGGTTAGCAAAGGCAGTAGTGGGGCCAGCAAATTCATGCTGTATGCAGCATTTGGCACTTGGGGGGTGTTATGTACTGAAGTTCTCACCCTGGGCCAGCAGGAGGATACTGTAGATAGTTATGCAAATGAAGGATCGAAAGTGACGTTCAGTGATTGGATAGTTTTAGAAAGTTGCAACAGTTACGTTGTTCTGGAGCTCTATATAAGCAGGCTGACTGAGCTCCTCAGTTCAGTTCTGTTCCAGCTTACAAATAAAGAGCTGCTTTGGAAGAATCGCTGTGTCGTCTGATATGTTCGCCCACAACTTACCAGGGGGTGGGGAAGCCAAATTTATTTTTTGCAGAAAATAAGAAGCAAAAGCAACTTCCTAGCTCTAAGGACTGTAGAGAAAAACTCTGGGCACGACTCTCAGCCTACAATGAACCGCCCCCAAACACCTCCTGGCGATACCAAAGATGTTGCACAATACAAACAGGCAGCTGCTGGTTTTAATTATATTTCAAAATGCTTAAATGTCTGTTTTTAACTTTGTAATTTGTGGAGAATTTTAATGGTTTTTTGTTTTTTTTAATAAACCAAGTGCTATTTACAACCTGTGTTAAATAAAATAACAATTAAAACGGCTTAATCCAAAGGCAGGATTTGGGTTTCATGGTTGCAGCCACGAACCACACCAAACCCAAATTACAGCTAAGGCAGTGAAGCTAAGCCCGTTTCCTCCATGCAGTGGGGCTCGAGAAAGGGGAATTCTCGCGGGGATGTTGCCAAGGGGAGCTGCCATGCCTACCTCTCGCAGGGCCTGCTGCTTTTTGCCCTCCAGCTCTTCCTGCAGCTGAGTAAGTTCTTCTTCCTGCAGGTGGGCAGAAAAGATGTCTTCACAGCTGTCTAGTGAGGGGTTCCCTAACACACATGTGGTGGTACCGCCTGTGATGAGTATGAGTTACTCGTGCGTAAACTGGTGCCTCTCTAGGCTAATTTGCCTTGTTAAACCTTTCTGACTGCACAGCCCTTTCTCATCATGACTGTCTCAGTCACTAGCAGAATCCGTCAGTGGGCGTTTCTTGAATCTCTTCCAACATAAGAGTTGTTTGACACCCAGTCTCCTCCTCCTCTCACTGCGCGGGAGCCTTCTGCGCAGGGAGGGCGTAGGTAGCGGAGGACCTGTCCCCTCCTCACTGAGTTCCAGTGAAGAGTCCGTGAGCCCTCTCTCCGATTTCCCCATCTGCCCACTTTTGTTCCTGGTGTTGCGCTTAAATGCTTCCCCCTCCACTGAGCTGCTTCTCCCCCTACTGCTGGGTCCTTCTCCAGCATCATCTAGGAGCCTCCCCTTCGCCTCCCGCTCTGATGTCAGTTCCCTGACACCGCCCTTTTGCATCTACAGTGGTACCTTGGGTCTCAAACGCCTTGGCTCTCAAATGCCGAAAACCCGGAAGCAAGTGTTCCAGTTTTCAAACGTTTTTCGGAAGCCGAACATCCGATGCGGCTGTCAGCTATGTTTCCGGGGAACCTGCGCCAATCAGAAGCTGCGCCTTGGTTTTCGAACATTTCAGAAGTCAAACCGACTTCCGGAACAGATTAAGTTTGGCGCTTTGGTTTTGCTATTTATTTTGTGTTTTTGAGGCGTTTTCGTTTCATTTCTTTTTTTGTGTGACTGTGTGGAACCCAGTTCAGATACTGATTGATTGTGTGACTGCGGAAATGGATAAAAGCCCCCCATCCAAACAACAACTATCATCAGTGCAAGTAAGAAAATAATAATTTTAATTTTTATCATGTACAATACTGTCTTATTTATTTTATAGCACAGTACGTTGATCATTGCTTTCATTTTATAGACCAATGGTCTCGTTAGATAGTGAAATTCATGTTAAATTGCTGTTTTAGGGGTTGTTTTTAAAAGTCTGGAATGGATTAATCTGTTTGTTTGTTTTTTAATGTATTTTTATTAAAGATTTTCTTGATTTACAAAAGTATGTGTAATGTCTCTCTCTTGTATTTTTACCATGTAACATTTTTACAAATCAGTTTCATTTGTTGAGACATTAGGAAGAAAAGGGAGAAAGAGGTAGAGCGGGGGGGAAGATGGGTGGGGGTGGGGTCGGGTGGCGATGTTTCTATTTTACTTACTATATGTAGAGTTTGGTGTCAGCGTTGCTTGTGCAGGTTCTCTGCTGTTCACTTGTGTTCCTTTGGAGATGAGAGAGGTTGGGGTTGGCCTAGGGTGTGGTTGTTCATTTGTGGTTGGCTGTGGTGATCTTTGTTTTCATATGTGAGTGGGGTGGGTGGGTGTTTTGGATCAGGTTCGGATTAATCCGTTTTGCATTGCTTTCTATGGCAAAGCGCGCCTTGGTTTTGGAATGCTTTGGTTTTGAAACGGACTTCCGGAACGGATTGAGTTTGAGAACCAAGGTACCACTGTACATTAGAACCAAAAAGGAGCCTGGCAGCTGCATCAGACCAATGGCCCATCTAGTCCAGCATCCTCATCTCACAGCGGCCAATCAGATGCATCTTCTGGGAAACACACAAGCTGGACCTGAGCACAAGAGCCCTCTTCCCTCCTGCAGCTTCCAGCCACTGGCATTCAGAAGCATTGCTGCCTCTGGCCATGGGGTCAAAGCGCAGCCATTGTGGCTAGTAGCCATCGATTGACCTCTTCTCCTTGAATTAGTCCGATCCTTTTTTTAAAGCCACCCCAGTTGGGGCCACCCCTACCCCTGCAGCAGGGAGTTCCTTAGTTCGACCGAGCGACAAAGTCGCCACGCACACAGTTGCAAATCCCGCCCCGCAAAAAAAAGCCACCTTCTGTTGCCGCAACAAGTCCAGCTGCTTCTTGAGCTCTTCTGCCAGGCTCTCCGCAGCGATGCTCCAAGACACCTTTTCAGCCTCCAGGGCAGAGACAGTCTGGCGCAGCTTCGAGAGCTCCTGCTCCTTCTCCCCGAGGCTTGCCTGCAGAGCCGAGATCCTCCGCTCCAGCCCCTGCACCCGCCGCACGCCGGCCTCGCTGGCCCCTGGAGCAACCTGTGCTTGGAGGAAGTCACACAACAGTGGCCTTTCTTGGTGTGAGCAGGCTGCAAAGCTGGTGCAGAAGACCCCTGGGAAGATTGACACGTGGCAGGTAAGATCTGGGGGGAATTTACGCAGCTGCCGCCCTTCCCCGGATGCACAGCCAACCACAGGGCTGCCGTACGCCCGGGATTTCCCAGATATATCCAGGATTTGTCCGTTGGAAATAGCGTCCGGGAGGAATTTCTGAAAACCGCAAAAAATGCCTGGGAAAACCCGTTTGTATGGCAACCCATGTCAGAAGTGTTGATTTTTTTGGGCAAATTTCCCTTAAAATAGCTCAAAATAGTCCCCCTCCCCCCGAAAAGAAAAGCTCAACAGCTTTGCCAAAAAAAGCTCAAAGTCTTTGAGCTAATTTTTCTTCAATTTATTTTTATTAGTTTTCCAAATTATTACAAATCAAACCAAATTACTTAAATTTAATACAAGTTCTTTTTAAAAAAATCAGGTTTCCCGCTCCTGTTGCGACCATTTTGTTTTGGGCTATTTTTAAGGAAAATTGCCCAAAACGACATGTCCCACATAGGTTTCCATACCTCCAGATTTCACCGGACATTTTTGCGATTTCCGCCTGGAAATACTGCTTCCGACTGGATATTCTGAATATGCCTGGGAAATTCCAACGTATGGCAAACCTAGCTTAGCAACCCTGGTGACTGGGCCTCAAAGATGGCTGCCAAGGTCCAGTGGCATGAGCCCAGAGTCTGCCTAGCATTCCTACCTCCTGCAGTGGTCCTGCTCCATCCCCTGAGGTTTCCTTCACAGAGGCCAGCTCTACTCTGGAGGACTTCAGCTGATGCTTCAAGGAAGACAGCTTGCCTTCCAGTTGGCTCACCTGGAACTTCAGCTCTTCCCTCTCAGCGGCTAACCGAGACACCTGTTGGAGGAGACAGCAGGAGTTCAAGAGGCCCGTTGCCTGCTGAATTCAGCATTCAGGTCCACAAACCGGCCAGCCTTCCCACAGCCTGATGGTTGTCAGCTTGTGGCAATGCAGGAGACGGCTTTCTCACTGGTGAAACTGGGCTTATGGAACACACACCGGGTGTCGAAGCAATGATTCTCCAACCTCAACTTCGTTGGACTGTTCATGTTGTGCGGATGCCTGATTATCGTCTTCTGAACCAACTATGCTACTCAGAACTTTAAAATGGTAAGCGTAATGTGGGTGGTCGACAACAGAGGTTCAAAGACTCTCTCAAGGAAAATCTAGAAAAATGTAGTATAAACACCAACAACTGGGAAACACTGGCCTGCGAGCGCTCCAGTTGGAGAGCAGCCTTTACCAAAGGTGTCATGGGCTTTGAAGACACTTGAACTCAGGACGCAAGGGAGAAACCTGCTAAGAGGAAGGCATGCTTGGCAAATCCACAACGTGATCAACTCCTGCCCGGAAACCTATGTCCCCACTGTGGAAGGACATGTGGATCCAGAATAGGCCTCCACAGTCACTTATGGACTCACTGTTAAAACCGTGTTTATGCAAGACAATCTTACTCGGCTACGAGTGATCACCAAAGAAGAAGAGGAAGATGGAAAACACTCCCTGCTGAAGGAGCATTACAGCAGCAGGAAGAAGAAGAAGAGTTTGGATTTGATATCCCGCTTTATCACTACCCGAAGGAGTCTCAAAGCGGCTAACATTCTCCTTTCCCTTCCTCCCCCACAACAAACACTCTGTGAGGTGAGTGGGGCTGACTAGCCCAAGGTCACCCAGCAGCTGCATGTGGAGGAGTGGGTAATCGAACCCGGTTCACCAGATTACGAGTCTACCGCTCTTAACCACTACACCACACTGGCAAGTGTACCAACACCCTGGCAAGTGTACCAAACGGGCAAGTGTACCAACGATGCTCTTGTTTGCTTGCATTGAGAATGGCATGCGCAGAAACGTCTGCATGGCTGCCGCACACTGCGGAACAGGTACGGGCACAGCCATGGCTCCCCCCAGTTTTGCCTTTGGCCCCGCCCCAGTGGCATCAGGCCCCCTCCAGAAAGTTGCCCTTGAAGAAGCACGGCCCTCAAGCTGGAAGAAAGCTTCTTAACCCTCACTCTTCTTCTGTGATGGAACTCCTATTTGGGGACTTCCCTGGCTTTTTTCTGGCCCACGTAGGACCAGTCTGGATAGTTGGCCTTGGGGAAGATTTGACGCTTTCATCCCCAAAAGAGTTTTTGAGTTTCTGCTGAAATGAGGCTGCATTTTAATGTTGTATTTTAATCTTATTTTCAAGTTGTATTTCAATCAATTGATTTTATACCAGTGTTAGCTGCCCTGAGCCCGGTCTTGGCTGGGGAGGGCGGGGTATAAATAAATTTTTTTATTATTATTACTCTGCTGATGCAATATTCCAGAACGGGTTTGGGGTTTTTTGCAGGGGAGAGAAGGTGTAAGGATGCATGCCTAAACTTTAGTTTGAGAGTGGATTGGCAAAGTGACATTGTCATCTGGCCCCACTGGCAGTGGTTTGAGCAAAAGAATCTGCTGTATTGATCTTGAAGAGGAAACGTTGGAGTAAATACAGTACACCTTCTCTTGTGATGTTTATATTCCACCATTCCTGCAAGCAGCTCTCAAGCTGGCGTAGATGGCTCAATCCCCTCCATTTTATCCTCACAACAACCCTGTAGAGTAGGCTGAGGCACAGTGACTGGCCCAAAGTCACCCAGTGGGTTTCGTGGGTGTTTGAAGATTATTGAACATGGGTCTCCCAGGGCCTCATCCGACACCCTAGCCCAAGAGTGCAGGCTCCACAGCCCTCCACATCTGGCTGGACTGCATTTGCCATCCTTCTGACCATTATCCATACCGGCTAGAGCTGATGGGAGCTGGTAGGACCAGTCTGGATAGTTGGCCTTGGTGAAGATTTGACGTTTTCATCCCCCAAAAATGCTGGGGAGGGCGGGGTATAAATAAAATTTATTATTATTATTATTATTATTGAGATTTCTGTGAAGGGCAGTCCAAATACTTGAGTTGTGTCTTTGCTTGATGCCGATGGAAGAGATCCCACCAAAGGCTTTGCAACCCTTGCTACTCACGTCTGCCTGGGCAGCCCCATGCTGGCTCCTCTGGCTCCTCAGCACGCTCAGCTCCTGCTCCAGCGCCAGCAGGTCCCTCAGGCAGGCTTCCCGCTTGTACTCCAGGAGTAACAGATCAGCCCTGAATCACAGAGAGCAGCAGGTCAGGCGACGGAAATGGGAAGGAGAGACGGGGAGGGAGAAGGACCTTGTGGCCTCAGGTCAGCAGCAGAGGAGGAAAGGGTGCTGGGCTCAGCATTCTGAAGTACCTCCATAATGATTTCTTATTTTGATATCTGTGCCACTGCATTTTCACAGATGCAACTGTCTCGTATAGGGCTTTTATTGTGAAATCGCTACATAGGAAATCAATACAGTGGTACCTGGGTTTTCGAACAGCTTAGTTCACAAACAACTTGGAACCCAAACGCTGCAAAACCGGAAGGAGGTGTTCCGGTTTTCGAATTCCTTTTCAGAAGCCAAACGTGCTCCGTTATGAGTCCCCCTGTTTCCTGTTGCACTTCTAATTTGTGTCCCCTCCCCCCCGCACAGTAGTTCAAGTCTTCCATTTCCAATCGCAGTGTTCTGAGGTGATAATTGGAGCTTATATTTGGTGCTTTTGTTTTTGCTATTTGTTTTGCGTTTTTTGTTTTGAGGCTTTTTCAGTTAATTTGTTTTTGCGACTATGTGGATCCTAGTTCAGCTACTGATTGATTGATTGATTGATTGATTGGTTGACTGATTGACTGTGGAAATGGATAAAAGCCCCCCATGACTATCATTAGTGCAGGTAATATTTTTTTTTAATTTTAATCATCTACAATACTGTGTTATTTATTTTATAGTACAGTACATTGATTATTGCTTTCATTTTATGGATCAATGGTCTCGTTAGATAGTAAAAATCATGTTAAATTGCTGTTTCAGGGATTGTTTTTAAAAGTCTGGAACAGATTAATCTGTTTTGCACTACTTTCTATGGGAAAGTGCCCCTTGGTTTTGGAACGCTTTGGTTTTGGAACAGACTTCCGGAACAGATTATATTTGAAAACCAAGGTACCACTGTAATGGCCAGGATAATCATAACAACTGAAAGAACAAGAAGATTCCTGCATTGCAGAGGCCGGATGACCCTCGTGGTCCCTTGCTGATGCTGACTCCTTACACCTCTGCGTGATCACTGAGGTGTTTTGGGGAGTCAATGGTTCCCCACCCGGGTCTGAGACCCTAGCTAGACCCGACCCCATTACCTACGGCCCTGCCCTAGCCACCCCTGCCCCACACACCTGGCCTCATCCACTTGGCTCCGCTTCTCTTCCATGATCAGCTGCAGCCTCCTCGCCTCCCTCTGGCTCTTCTCCAGGGCCTCCCGAAAAGTCTCCAGCTCCAGAGCGACATGCTAGAAAGAGGAGGAAAGTCGTGGGTTCTGCTCCTCTGCCGTCCCCCTCCAGGTCAAGGGTAGTTTAGAGCAGGCTGTACAGTGGCTAGACCACGTCCTTTGCCTGTGGGACTCCCTCCCACTAGAGTTTTGGCTCTGTACCTTTTTCTGCTGGAGGACACTCTGCAGGGACACGTCAGCTTCGCGGATCTGGGCCCTTTTCTGCAATAATTTTTCTTCTTCCGATTCCAACTCCTGTCGAACAAAGGCTTTTATCATTATTGTTTTTAAGCCCGTTTGCCTGTCCTACAAAAAGCAAACAAACCCATAAATCCCGCCCTAAATGTTGGGTTTCTTTTGATCACACCTTTGTCCGTACTTTGCAGTCTTATCCAACTCAGCGCCCTCATTTTAACATTTCAAAACTCGACTTCCTTCCTCCTCTTTCTGCGGTTCCTTAAATTGATTTTTTATCATCACACCTATTAGCAATATTTTTTTCTCCTTGTGATGTTATCTGAGTTATCAATATTCTTCCTTGCTCGTCTTTAAATAGTTGCTGTGGATCCAGTTTGGGTTTTATATACATTACCACTCCTCTCTTCTTTGTTACATCACAGGCTACAAAGTCCTTTCCCAATCTTTTATTAATCAAAACCCTTTTGATTCTTCGAAACGTGTATTTCCTGGAAGCAAATCACTTCCAAATTTAACTTTTTTAACCACATGTTCAATCTTGTTCCTTTTGGTTTTATTATTGTCCATTTACATTCCAAGTTAAGATTTTCAACACCATCTTGTTCTTCATTTATTTGTCTCCCGTCTCAACCTCTGTTGATTCTTCTTCTTCCAAACCAAATGCCCTTTCTCCTGCTAATTCTTTTCCATATTTTCTCCAGAATTTGCCTGCTTCATTGGGATCCCGACACCTTTGTTTTCTTCCTTTATTTGTAAAAGATACTCCTTCAGGATATTCTCAGCGATAAGGGATTTTGTTATATCTCAGTGCACCCGTCAAATATTTATAATTTACTCTTTTCTTTAACAATTTCATCGAGATTTCTTTCAAATTTTTCTTTTCCTTCCCTTTTAGAATTCTAGACCAGAGTATCCTGCAGAGGACTTTTGTGATAACTAGTAAGTTGGAGTCTCAGACAGGTCTTCTTTAAATAAACAACAAAGATTTATTTAAGGCAAGATAGTATACAACACAAAATGGATTAAACTTAGGTTACTTCAGGAACATAGTGCGATTTCATGTCAATTCATCCTCAGCTGTTTTTGTGTGATAGGTTTGGTTCCTTTATACGGTGACACGTTCTTTCAGTTATCCACCCCATTTAACAATCCTGCTCCTGAGGTAATTTAAGTAATAGACCAAAGGGCTCTCCACACCCCCTTCCTTCACTGGGTTTGGGAGTTTCTTCTTTTCCTTAAAAGAATTTCTCCCCTCCAGACTAGATTTGAGTCCCTACTTGTTCCTTTCCAGCTCCTATTTTTCCTGGCTCAACCTCTGCCTCCCAGTAAAATTCCAGTCTATTCCTTCTACAGGACACCACACTCTGTCCTTCACAATATGCTCAGAGTGGAAGTTGATTTTCCAGAACCAACTCTTTCTCCCATTCACTCTTTATACCTCAACCTGTCTCCTAACCTGCCTCCCTCATTTCCATCCCTCTTAATCCCTTAACTCCTAATCCCTTAACTGTCTCTCCTCAAATCCTCTCCTTTTAAACTCTCCCTCCTGGAACCACGGCCAATCAGAGGCTGCCGTTCATTAACCATTTGCTGGCAGGGGAAGAAAGAAAAAATAAACATTTATTGTTCCAATCTGTCCAGCAAAGCCAAATTTTCCGCCACACCTGTCCCTTCCCAGCTGCACATACCTCAGTAGAGAGCCCCTTCCACCTCTGACTTTTGTGATGTTCTGCATCCACCAGGAGTTACCTCGAGGTTTCTGTAGCCTCCCAGCTCAGCTCTCTTCCCACTGGGTTCTGATCCTCTGCTCGCATCCCACTTCCACGACTCGCTGGCCCTGCATAACCTGGCAAACTCCTCGTCTTCCTCTTTGCTGCCTCCATCACTGCAACCGGGGGACCTGAAAGGCCACAGGAGAAGGAGGAGGAGGAGGAGGAGGAGAAGAAGAAGAAGAAGAAGAGTAGTTTGGATTTGATATCCCGCTTTATCACTACCCGAAGGAGCCTCAAAGCGGCTAACATTCTCCTTTCCCTTCCTCCCCCACAACAAACACTCTGTGAGGTGAGTGGGGCTGAAAGACTTCAGAGAAGTGTGACTGGCCCAAGGTTACCCAGCAGCTGCATGTGGAGGAGCGGGGAAGCGAACCCGGTTCCCCAGATTACGAGTCTACCGCTCTTAACCACTGCACCACAAGAGCAAAGAGCACTGTGATCACCTTGCTGCCTTCCCCCAGAAAGCACACCAGAGAGGGACAGCAGAATTAAGGGCCACAGCATTTGTTGTGTGATTTATCCAGAGCTCAGAACCCCAGGTGGGAGGATTTGGGCCCAGCAGCTAAGATGGACATACATTCCTGGCCAGCATGCATTGCAAGGATGCTTAATAAATGCCACCTTATTTCCTATTGCCTGAAAGGTTATATAGGCAGGACTTGTTTACTCCATGCTTTATTTAAGCACACCGTTTAAATTCCTGCATTGAGAAAAGGCGGATTCTGTGACCTGCGTGAATCATGCAAATTGTGCACACATTTGCATACTTTATTAAGGTTTTGCTAGCTCACAGGAGGAGCAGGGATACTGAAGTCCTCCTGTCCTCGGCTGCCAGCAACTTATCCAGTCACCTCCCTACCTTTTGTGATTCCAGCAGGCATCGCCCATAGGCTTTCGCCACCATGAGGGCTAGTGCCTTATTCTCCAGAAGAAACAATTTAACAAAGTGAAAGTTCAGGTTCACAAGATGTGGAATTGGGAAGAACTGAACTTGAGGCAGGAAAAACTGAGAAAGACCCAAAAATGGACATATTTGGCCATCTTTATCTCAACAGTCCAAGGCTCATCAATATTTACCTCAGCAAATCCCGCTGCGGCGGCAAGAGGCTCTTCTTGACACTGAGGCTGGTGGCTATTTAGAAGACAAGAAAAGCACTTGATCCCAGGTTTTCAGACACAACGGGGAGAGGAAAAGCGCCACCCTGGATTCCCCAGCCCTAAATCCAGCATTTTCCGCTAATGCAAATACTGACACAGCCCTTCCTGGCTCCGAGTAACCTCACCTGCCAAACGTTTGCCCTGAAAGGGCTCCATCCAGCCCTGGTTCAGCTCAGACTGAGGATCATGGTGCTGAGAGCCCAAACTGCCACCTAAAGAGAGGACCAAAAGGAAAAACGTCAGAGAAGTTTCAAAGTGGCCTGGCCATGAGAGTCCTAAGAGAGGCTCTCTCTCTCTTTTCAGAGGATTAATTCACCCAGAGTAGTACAGTGCAGTGGTCAGAGCATGAGTGAGCACCCTGGGGGCTTCTGGCTGTTGCTGAACTCCCATCAGCTCTAGCCGGTATGGATAATGGTCAGAGGGATGGCAAATGCAGTCCAGCCAGATGTGGAGGGCTGTGGAGCCTGCACTCTTGGGCTAGGGTGTCGGATGAGGCCCTGGGAGACCCATGTTCAATAATCTTCAAACACCCACGAAACCCACTGGGTGACTTTGGGCCAGTCACTGTGCCTCAGCCTACTCTACAGGCTTGTTGTGAGGATAAAATGGAGGGGCTTGAGCCATCTACGCCAGCTTGAGAGCTGCTTGCAGGAATGGTGGAATATAAACATCACAGCAGAAGGTGTACTGTATTTACTCCAACGTTTCCTCTTCAAGATCAATACAGCAGATTCTTTTGCTCAAACCACTGCCAGTGGAGCCAGATGACAATGTCACTTTGCCAATCCACTCTCAAACTAAAGTTTAGGCATGCATCCTCACACCTTCTCTCTCCTGCAAAAAACCCCAAACCCGTTCTGGAATATTGCATCAGCAGAGTAATAATAATAATAAATTTTATTTATACCCCGCCCTCCCCAGCCAAGACCAGGCTCAGGGAAGCTAACACCAGATATAAAACAACTGATTGAAATACAACTTAAAAACAAGATTAAAATACAACATTAAAATGCAGCCTCATTTCAGCAGAAACTCAAAAACTTTTTGGGGGATGAAAACGTCAAGTCTTCACCAAGGCTAACTATCCAGACCGGTCCTACGTGGGCCAGAAAAAGGCCAGGGAAGTCCCCAAGTAGGAGTTCCATCACAGAAGGAAAAAGGAAAAAAGAAAGAGGGAGAGGAGATCAAGTTAATTCCAAGCCAAAGGCCAGGCAGAACAACGCTGTCTTACAGGCCCTGCGGAAAGAAATCAGATCCTGCAGGGCTTGGTCTCATGAGGCAGAGCGTTCCACCAGAGTACAGACATAAATCCCTAATGTGGATTTACTGTAAAACAGCAGCTAGCTTATCAAATCATCATTGGAACCATAAATCTTGGGCACACAAAGAGCATGAAAATGTTGGCTCTTATCGCAGCCGGACCCGAGTTCAAGTCCCTCGTCTGCAACAGACATTCTGTGGTGCTGGTCATGTCACCCAACACTTTCAGCCTCAGTTTTCCCCCTTAGTTAAAAGGCAGAGTGACCTGATCCAAAAAGTTGGATGCATAAAGACGGCAGAACCCTTAAAACACACACACAAATCAGGGCTGAGGAATACCTGGCCAGCCAGGTGTTGTTGGACTACAACTCCCATCATTCCTGACCATTCTAGCTGTTGGGTCTGATGGGATTTGGAGTCCTACTATATCTGGAGGGACACAGGCTCCCCAACCCTAACCTAAATGATGCAAGGGAACGATCCTGCTCCAACTCACACTCCTTTGATTCCAGAGCCTCATTGTGCCCATCTGTGCAATGGGCATCCATGATCCATTCCTTCCTGCATCCCATACAGCCATCATTGGCTGAGCCTGGAGCCTTATGGGAATACACAGTAGCCCGAGTGGCACCACTGTCCAAGCCGATCCTTGACAGAGCCAGCCTCTGTGTTTTACCAGAGTCCCAGGCTCCCTGTGGATAAAGACACAAAGGGGTTTTTGATCCACCTCCATCCTCTTCATTAGAGGGTACCAAAGATGCTCTGATGGTGCACGGGCAGGCCACATCCAACGAACCCCTTGGGCAGCTGGACCGCTCCACGGGGTGGCCGCTTCCTGCTGTCCCCACAGATGGGGACCCACCATCCAAAACAGTTTTTACGTTAGATGCTGGGAGCAGCTGGGAAGGCCTCAAATCTTCAAGGAGCAACGGGCTCTCTGTATTTTCGTGAGCATCCTGAACCCACTCAAAAGAGTCCTCTGAACCTCTTTGCTCCTGCTGTGGCCCCAGGAAGATGCTTCGCGGAGAGATCTCCGAGCCCAGAGACCCCTCCCCAGAGCTCAGGCCCCTTGTCTTCCATGTCTCATCCGTGGACCACTTCTGACTAAGCCATGAGATCTGCTCTCCTAGAGACTCTGCGCTCTTAATTCTGCGCGGAATACACAACGGTGGAGCATCTCTCGAACTGCCAGCCAACTCCTCCTCCTGGTCCCATTCCTTCTCAGACCCTCCCTTAGGCAACTGGGCGATTCCTTGCTTTCTTGCTGAATCTACCGAGAGACAATCCGAGGCTGCTTCATAGTCCGCGAAAGGCGAAGAAGTATTAACTGGATCGCGAGTAGCGTGTTTTAGAGACCCCGAGTCAAGAGCCAAGGCACTGTTCTCTTCTTCAGAGCCGGGCAGGGGATCCACCAGGACCTCGTTAAACTTGGCCGCAAAGTCTTCCGTGCAAACCGAGTCCGATCTGCTCCTGTCTCCTAGGGCGGCCCCCAAGTCGAGGAAACGCACCGGCCACCAGGCATAATCCTCTTCCCAAGAGGACGGGTCTTCCCCCGGAGAGGCCTCTCTGTCCCTGACCCCAGAGCATCCGTCCAGATCTGCACGGAGGAGAAAGCAAACGAAGAGAGCAGTGAGCTTCCTCCTGGATCAGAATTCATACCTGCGAAATCTCTCCCAACGATGGCGCACCTGCGCTAGCAAGGAGGCAAGTTTCCAATCTGGCAGGAAATCTTGCCAGGGCCACAGGATGGATGGAGCTCATTTACTTGGCGATCTAACCTGGGTTCAGATTTGCCCAGCGGGCGAAGGAGCAGAGCACAGCCAGTGACCAAAACCCCACAGATTCAGGACCACAAATGAAACGTCCATTTATTGATGCACAATGCTTCATTCAAAGGGTATGATTATCTTCGTCAGGAAAGGCAATTCTGTCTGATGCAGAAACTCTTTGCAGCAGGGAGGCAGAAGAAGGCACCGATCCAAGCTACCAGTGTTGTTGTCTGGCCTGGCAGCAGAAAAATCCAACGTGATGGGGTTTTTCTCCTCCCTCCAATGTAGATTATTTTAGCGTTCCAATGGATTATTTTCCAAATTTGAATGTCCGACACAGGCCAGACTACTTACGTATACACTGTCCTCCCACCCCACACCCTTCCTCCCAAGAGCTGAAGTTGGTGAATCATAAGGTTTTCCTATTTTATCCTCAAACTAACCATGCGACGTAGACTAGACTGAAAGGAAGCTGGCCTTCATCACTGAATGGGGATTTGTGACCAGGTCTCTCCCTGGCTTAAGTCTTACATCTAAGACATGCAGACCAATAAGTAAATTGTGCCCAGTTTGCAGAAGGGAAGACTGAGGAAAAGAGGCTTGGGACATGGTTAAAGGTCAGCCTGCGGAGAGGGTAGGTCTTACCTGCTGTGGCATTAGTGCCCGCAGTTTTCTTGAGAGAAGCCTTCCCACTGTCACTGCTGCCCTTGATTATTCCGCTGGGTTCCTGAACATAGGGGTGGAGATGAAAAAACACATTTCCTTTGTTGGTCTTGGATAGGGAGCGATGCAAGAAGATGCTTTATGCTGTGTGAGACCACCGGCCCATCTTGTTGAGTGTTGTCTGCACTGACTGGCAGCAGCTCTCCAGGGTTTCAGACCAGGGTTATTCCCAGCCAGGGATTGAACCTGAGACCTTCTGCATGCAAAGCAGATGCTTACCACTGAGCAATGGCCCCTCGCCATCATAGAAGGTGGTCTAATATGGAGTCAGACCAGCTGGTCCATCTAGCTCAATGCTGTCTACACTGACTGGCAGCAGCTCTCCAGGATTTCAGGCAAAGGGACATTCCCAGTCCTACTTGGAGAAGCCAGGGATTGAAGCTGGGACCTTCTGCAAGCAAAGTGGATGCTCTACCCACTGAGCTAAGTGCACGGGACAGCAGGACAGCACCAGGACTGCCATGGATAATAGGTCTCACCCTGGAAAAGTCTCCCTTCGCAATCCAGGGTATCTTTTAGTCAGGGCTGTATAAACCCAGCGTTGCCCAACAAACAACTCCAGAAAAGCCCATCCATTCCCTACTTACTTACCTGGAGCTGGCTGAGTTGAGCATCAATAGAATCTAGCAGGTAATCACAATGATCCTTCGCCCAAGGTCCTGGTCTCTCGGGAACGGAAGACATTATTATCACTCCTAGGAAGGGGACAAAAGGCAAAGAATCTGGGCCCACAGGGGCAAGGAGGCTCCCTTGGCCCTGCAAAGAAACCCAACGTCCAGGTGCTGGGGGACAGGTTTGTTTATTTTTATTTTATTGACCAGGATTTATGTACTGCTTAATCATTGATACCTCTACATGAAATAAGACATTAAAATTATCAGTAAAGTCGGGTGTTTAAAACAAGGCTCCATATCGTGCAGCTTTAAGAAGGCTGCCAAAGAATCCTAGGAAATGAAGTTGCTGGCAGAGCTCTTCCGATGTTCTTATTGCAAAGCCCCGTCAAATGGCTTCTGTGCAAAAGTATAAACCGGGCTCCCCAACGAACTAGTGTTTTCAACTTTATGGGGGCGATGGGGCGGGAGTCTCGCTCTTTCCTCCTGCGCGATGGAGTGGAGTAAAAGTTTCTGCCTGCGGGGCTCCTCCTTAGGAGGAAGTGTGGGCCGGGTGGGAGCTCCGGGTTCTGTCCGAGGGTCACTCACGACAGCTCGGGGCTCTGCATTACTGCCCAGCCGGGCGATCAGGACTCACCCGTGGCCCCGAGGCCGCGCCGCGCATACCTCCGCTGCGCCCCAGCGCGGAGCCGCCTCTGCAACCGTGGAACGTCCCCGGGCCAGGGTTGCCAGGCAACCGTGGAACGCTGGGCGGCCGGAGCGCTCCTATTGGTGGGGAGTCGTGCCCGTTGCCAAACAACGCGGCTCGGCGGAAAGTTGCAAGAGGCGGCGGGAAGGGGTGCGTCTCTGTCGCGCTGCAGAGACCCACCATTGGGGCGGGGGGCGGGAGCAGGTGTTAATGGTAAAGGGTGCCTTTGTGCACGTGCAAAGCGCTTCTCCTCGGCAACCCCCGAGTCTTTAGTATTAAGGGAAAGCAAGGCTATAAGCATGGGCGTAGCCAAGGGAGGGGGGCAGATCCGCAAAAAGTATTGAAAGTACTCAATTACTTCCCCCTAGATGCCTGCCCTCCCCCGCGCCCTAGGAAGCTTGCTTCCCGTAATGTCGTCTTTTGGGGGTATTTTAACCTGTGACTGCCTCCCCACAAAAAAGCGCAAGGACTACTTGAGGGGGCGGGATCTCCTTAAAAAAGCTCCTAAAATAAATATTTGGCTTCCCAACAAAAATCCTGGCTACGCCCATGGCTATAAGACTGTAGTCTGCAGATCCAAGCGTCAACTATGATCTGTAAATGAAGGGGGGAAATGCGCCACAAGGGGGCACTGTTGGTCTTATACCTCCACCCAGCTTTCTCCCAGGACCACAACCATTTTGCAAGCGCATCTGACCCTTTTTACAGCTATAATGCAATGTAGAAAGGGATTTTTGTGTAGGTGGAGACCCTGAGTCCTGCACACGCACACCTTTCCATAAGTACTTTGCTCCTTCCTGTTGCACCACCGCCGCCAACTGCAGGGTCCTGAAAAGAGAGGGCATGAATGAGGTCTTCCTCCATAAGCCTTGAAATGAATGGTGGTTGTGCGGCACAGACTGTGTTTATTTCATTTGAGTCCTGCACAGGCCTTCATAGAAAATCAAGGCCCCTGCAAAAGGAAAAGGTCCCAGGTAAAGCTTCACTTGTCATCCCCCAAATTGGTGAGATTCATTTGACATTGACACAAAACCAAGCCTTTAGTGTCATTTCCTCTGGAATGCTCTTCCGAGAGATTCAGGAGGTGCACCTTCTGAATCGCCTTCAAACTTTTTTTTTTTTAATGCTGCCAGGCTTATTCTAAAAATTAAGAAAAACATCTATAACAGCTGATTGATGATTTGCATCCACACTTTTTATGTGATATTGTGTGTGTGTGTGTGTTTGCTGAACGTTGCTTTGGTATTTTTTGTGCAATTGCAGAATAAATGTATTTTATAAACAAATATGCACCACCTTCAGTTCTACGATGGAGGCAGGATAAAAAGAAAACAACAGTTTTAAAAGCATCCCACTAAAATGGTCCGCCTGTTCCTGAGTTCAAGAGCCCCTCTACATCCTTTTTCAAAACTGGCAGTGATGAACGGAGCCCAAGAGAAACGGCCTTCCCCTGACACAGCAGTTCCTCCAACCTGGTGCCTTCCAGCTGTTTTGGACTACAACCAACTAGCATGCCACAGTCCAAAACCAACCGGAGAGCACTAGGTTGCAGAGACGGCTCTAGCAGCTGTGATGCCCATCACATGCTGGAGGATCTGATACATGGAGTGGTGCCACCTCAGCTGCTACTTACGGGACTGCATCTCCTGGTATGTCCCGCAGGGTTAGGGTTAGGGTTCAGTGATGGCTCCAGCCTGATGGAATGCTCTGTCCCCATGAGACTAAGGCCCTGCAGGACTTGATCTCCTTCCACAGGGCCTGTAAGAGTGAGCTATTCCGCCTGGCCTTCAATTTGAATTAGCCTGATCCTCTATTCTCTTTTCCCTTTCCTCTTCTATGAAGAAACCCTTTCTGGGACCCCACATTTAAATTCTTCCCTGGTCTCCTTGCTGGCCCTAGTAGGACCAACTTGGCCAGTTAGCCCTGGTGATCATTTGATATCTACTGATTGGGGTTTTTTTCCCCCTTCCCAAAATGACCCCTGAATTTTTGAATTTTATTGATACTGATGCTGCATTTTACGTTGTATTTTATGCTGTTTTATAGTTGCATTTTAATCAATGTTTTATATTTGCTGTTAGCCGCCCTGAGCCCAGTTTTTAAATTGGGAAGGGCAGGGTATTAAAAAAAAAAATTATTTATTATAATGGAGGAGGAAACAAGGTCCCCTTGGAATCCACTGGAATGATAAGTGGCCACTCAGGCAATTGCAGGGATGCAGTGAAGTTTCCTTAAGAAACAGTTCATTGCCTATCATTGTGATTAGGCTGGGCTTCATGGTGCTTCTTGTGGCTTCAAAGAAAATTGGGGGGGGGGATGTCTTCAGCGACCTTTCCTACCCATATTTCCAGCTAATCAAGGTACTCAGGCACTAGGTAGGCCCCCACTCCCATAACCAGAAGCTTTTGCCAAATCCAGATGGGAAAATGGGAAGTTATAATACAAAGCAGCATGCCTCTGAGCATATGCAGTGTGTATTTCCTTCCAAAGCCAACTGACCTCGCAGGTGGAAGAACAGAGAACCGTGAGCCCCTGAACTTTCCTGTTTACACATTCACCACGAACTAGCGACCTTTAAGCTGCCCATTGCTTCCAACTTCAGTGAATTCTAAGCTATCAGGCAACGATGCTCCAAGCCAGGGATGAGGAACTGGTGGCCCTCCAGATGTTTTTTAACGCCCCACTGGCCTCAGCCAGCACAGCCAATGGTTAAGGGGTGATGGGGGAGTTGCAATCCAGCAACATCTGGAAGGCCAGAGGTTCCCAATGCTGCTTCCAAACCAAGAAACAGCCCAACCTCCCTATGATCCCCCACCTTTGGGCAGAAGCGATGGGTCTGAGCACAGTTTAAGGTTTAAAACTCCTGAATCCACTTTTTATTACTATTACTGTGTCAGCAAAGAGGGATCGCTCACAATAATATTTGTTTGAAAGTATTACATTCAACCAGCATTTACGGTAGAATGACATTATAATCCTCTGGTGAGACAAAAGTAGAAAAGACCAGGAAGACGGTGCTCTTGTTAAGTGTCGCTGTCACGCAGGAGAGGACAGGAAGAGGCTCTTGGTTAAAGGGGCTGCTTTGCCGAGTGACTCCCCTGCTGCGATTAAACTCCCCAAATTTGGGTGCCATGCCTGGCCACAAAGCTTCTGAGGACAGCAGGAGTGGGTGGCAGGTTGCTGAGGAGAAAGGACATTTCTGCACCTTCTCCAGTAATGCCAGGAAGTGAGTTCAAAGGAAAGGAATGGATGCCCACAAACCTCCCAGACAAGCGGTCTGATATTTCCCCTGCAATATAACTCTTACAGAGCATGGCAGGGACGCGGGTGGTGCTGTGGGTTAAACCACAGAGGCTAGGGCTTGCCGATCAGAAGGTTGGCGGTTCGAATCCCCGCAACGGGGTGAGCTCCCGTTGCTCGGTCCCGTTGCTTCGAACCTAGCAGTTTGAAAGCACGTCAAAGTGCAAGTAGATAAATAGGTACCACTCCAGCAGGAAGTTAAATGGTGTTTCTGTGCGCTGCTCTGGTTCGCCAGAAGTGGCTTAGTCATGCTGGCCACATGACCCGGAAGCTGTACGCCGGCTCCCTCGGCCAATAAAGCGAGATGAGCGCTGCAACCCCAGAATTGGCCATGACTGGACCTAATGGTCAGGGGTCCCTTTACCTTTACAGAGCATGGCATTGTAACATTTCTTTCCATATTCTCCCCGTTTTATTTCTTAAAGGCAGACTGTGGAGTTGTGCCATCTCTAGTCAAGCCGCCGCCATTTGCTCAGGGTTCGGGCCAAATGCTCAGCTCTTTGACTTGGTCCGTTGGGCAGTATATTCTGCTTTGGGAACGGGATGTCCCTATCCTGCTCCAATCCCTGCGCATTCAGGTGCCGGTGCCTAATGAGCCTAGCCTGCACTTGTCAGGTTTCATTTATTTAAGCGGCAACGAGACCTTGTTATTGCCGAGTTGAAGATAAGAGGGAAAGTGACAAACTGCTTTGCTAAGACTCACCGTCAAGTAAGCACAGACAATAAGGCATTGGAAAGAGCTGTGATTCCCAGTCCGTTTTATTTTTTAAAAAAATGAACTGAATTAGGCCTTTAAAGTGAAAACAAAAGCAAAGCAAGAAACCCCTGTATCTTTTATTTTTTACAGCATTAAAAACTGAACTGAGAAAGAGTGTACAAAGAGTTGAAAACCACTGCTTGCTCGGTTGTTCCGGCTCTAGGTAAAGGAGCATCTTAGGAAGAGGGGCATCCAGGTGTCTTCAGCAACCTCCCCTCTCTTACCTGGTGCTTTCCAGATGTTTTAGACTACAACTCCCATCAGCCCCAGCCAGCACGGTAAAGTGATATTGGGGGCTGATGGGAGTTGTAGTCCAAAACACTGAGAGGAAACCAGGTTAGGAAAAGCTCGTGCGGAATAATCGCATCTGAGGCGGTCCAGCAGACTGGATCACATTGGCTCGGAAGTTCTGGGAAAATGCTACAGTTTGTGGCAGGGGAAAAGAGTCAGCCTGGCAAAAAGCCAGACACCCATCGTCCTCAACTATTGGAGAGCAGCTCCTCACAATGCAACGGACCTGTTTTAATTCTCCAGCAAGCCATTCCCATTTCTGAAGATGGTGCATCAGCTGTCTGGAAAGAGAAAAAAACGAGACCCCCCCATTGCAGAAGTGTCTCCAGCTGCAGAAAGTAAAAGGAGGTGAAGAAACGTAATCCCTGGAGGGAGATATCCTTTCCTGTCCCACTGTGACTTCAGGCCAAATAGGTTGGTGGGTTTTCAAGCATTAAAAACAAACCATGCCATACTTGTACAGGTAATGGATGCAACAACAACAACAAAATGGTTTCTGTGCCCACGTTGGTGCAACAATGGCTCTGTCGCTTCCCTTTTGATTCTGGAAAAACGACACCCGTTTGCAGCCTCAGAGCTCACAGAACTGCCTCCACGCTAGGCTGTATCTATGAACAGGGGAAAGTCAATTTTCAAAAAGTGTGTTTGAAAGAAATCATTTATCCAAATTAAAACCCTCTTTCAATTCATTTGGAGTACAACTGTCCTACACACACACACACACACACACACACACACACAGACATCAGATTTTCAAGAACGGTATCAAACTTCTTTCGCTTCTGCCCACGAGTTTTGCAGCATGTTGTTGTTGTTACCTAAGAAAAACTACCCT